ACTTATGTCTGTTTTTCACACTTAAACAACCGTTGCAGCACCCTCGTGGTCATGTGATCAAAATTGAGACGCTTGGCAACTGACTCATATATATGACGGTTGCCGTGTCCCTGGGTCATGTGATCACCTTTTGTGCCCTTCTGACAAGCGAAGTCCGATGGGGAAGCCAGATACGCTTAACAACGGTGTTACTAACTTACCAACTGCAGTGATTCGCTTAACAACGGTGGCAAAAAAGGTGGTAAAATGGGGCAAAACTCACATAACAAAGATCACCCTTAGCATCAGAAATTTTGGGCTCAATTGTGTTTGTAAATCGAGGACTACCCGTATTGGGAATTGTAATTAGCTGCATGGTCAAAAGGGGTTGCTTGGTAGTTAGGCTCCCTGTTGAGCTTGTGGTGTTTCTTCACTTAAGCTTAAGTAACATTGCAGTTGGAGGTTGCAGTCACACAGAGGAAGGGATTTTTTGTTTATCCTGAAAGGAACGTTTATCTGAATGGGCTACCACCTTTCGCCAGTCTCTGCCTCTGTCCAGTGTGTTGTCTTTTGTTTTAGCTAATTTCTCACCTTTTGCCCCGGAAATAACTGTGAGGAGGTGAGGGAAGGGAAGATTGAATGGAAGGAAGGCTTCACTTCCATCCCAGATGCAAACAGTACATTCCTTTGCTCTGATCTCAAAATAACAGAGTTGGAAGTAACCCTGGAGGTCTTCTAGTCCCACCTCCTGCTGAAGCAAGAAACCCTATATCATTTCAGACAACTGGTTGTCCAATCTCTTCTTAAAAATCTTCAGTGATGGAACACCCACAACCTCTGGAGGCAAGCCATTCCACTGAGTAATTTTCTGTCAGGAAAATTCCCCTTAGTTCTAGGTTGGTTCTGTCCTTATTAGTTTCCATCTATTGCTTCTGGTTCTGCCTTCAGGTGTTTTGGAGAATAAGTTGAGCCCTTCTTCTCTATGAAAACCCCTTAGATATTGAAACACTGCTGTCATGTCAGCCCTAGTCTTTCTTCTCAAGCAAAAGCATTATTGCTTCAACTTTCAAGAGCCACCTACAGTTCTCACGGTTCAACTCTCATACATAATAACTTGCTCGCTGGTAAGGAGTTTGGTATCCAACAGCATATCCACATTCCCACTTCTCTTGCTACTTCCTACATACTGTGTTTCCTCCCGGAGAACTTGATCAATTATCCCAATTAATCAGCTGTAAGCCCCAGTTATCCTCTGTAAGTTAGTGTATAGAGGATCCATCACTGCTTCTTTAGGGCACAGAAACTCATGGTGCCTCTCCACTCCTTTGTTAAGGGAAGAGCACTTAAGAGTTTTCTGCCAGGTAATCTAAAACACTGGAACCCTCAAAGTTACCCTCTATGTGTTCCAGTGCTGCCGAACCATAAAAAAAGAACAATTCTGTTAGGAATAAAACAACCCCATGAAGCACTTTTGGCAAGATGCAATCTATGGGTTGCCATGTCTTGGCTATGAGTTATGTAAACTATGTCAAATAGTGTATTCTGCCATGGTTAATGTAAATTGTAGCTATATAAAACCCAGATGCTTCCATTTTTCCACTGCTACTGCAGAATTTCACCAAATAAAGGAGGTACGGGATGGGCTTACTTTGCTTTACAAATAGTGCTATATGAGACAAGAAATGTAAACTTGGATCAATAAAAATAATTTTATACATTGAAAAAGGGCAACATACTTTGCATCCTAGATAATTAAAATTCCTCTTTCACATTCGCAAACTCATCAACTCCTCTTAATGTCATATCAAGCAATTTCTCATGACATGTTTTGCAAAATGTAGTCAGAAATTATAGTTTGGGTGAAATGGCAATGGAATTATTTATAACAAGAAAGCCATTTTTGAGGGGGGGAGAGAAATCCAGAAATCTACTTTGTCTTTTCCATTTCCATGATGGAAAATGCATTTATTCATAGAAATGCTTTCTTTCACCATCCTAAAAACCTTTTGTCGTGAAATATCCAGAACTTCCTCTGGCTGTAGTTTTTGAGTCAGTTTGTTGATTAATGAATTTATATTGCTTTATCCCTTAAAAAGTTACTCTTATGTACTGTATGACCTCTTTTTGCTGGAATTTAGAACTTTGGTACCATTCCCAATGTTGTCTTCTATTGCATCCAAATAACATTTAACCTGACAATGGTTAGTTTTTAAATTGTGAAACCGTTATTTCATCAATTGCCTTTGATTTTTAACCAAGAATAGGATTGAGTCGCTGATTCAGACTTTAACAATGTAATAATAGAATACCTTCCTAACTGAGAACAAAATAATGTTGTTTTTCCACTGTAGACTAACCATTAAAGGTTAATTCCTGCTTTTTTTTTCTCCCTACCTAGGGACTTTCTTTTCTTAGACCAAAGAGTATATTGCAAAGGAAAATTTTAACACTTTCATTCCTGGTGGAATTTGGCTGTCTAATACCTGTTGTATTATAAATGAATAGCATAAGCATTCAGTCCAGAGATTTGAGCATTCATTCTCATACTAGGAAGAAGTATTTTAAAAAGCAGAGCTATCAAATGCTTATTTATATCTCATATTTAAAGCAGAATTTACTAGGTTTGTTGAGTGCCGTATTCAAACTGACTCACAATGGTTTACAGTCCAGTAAGAAACAGATATGCAACAAAACTGTAATTAAAGCATTTGTAAAAACAGCAAAAATAATAATCAAAAGATAACTCTGGTGCCACATTTCAGAGCCTGAGGTTGAATTCAGAAATGTATCAACAAAATGACAGCGTGGATATATTCATTTCAAGCCTGTTTGCTGATTAAAAATGTTTTGAAACAGTTCTACTTTACTTCAGCTCTTTTTTTTTCCTCCATAGAATGCTAGAATGAATAATATACTGAGTTACAGTAAAAATATTGAAGGTTAATTTTGAAACATACCTCCATCAGGCAAGGAGCTGTAAGGTTCTTGATTGTCATGTCTCTTCTCTTCCCTCCCTCTTGCTCTATCCCTGTTGCCGAGGGAAGCATGGAGAATTAGCTAACTGAGCTAGGCTGGATAAGAAGCAGGAAATAGCAGGCCGCATCCTTTTGATCGGGCTGAAAGCTCTTTTTGTCCACTCTCAGTCTTGTGTCTTTATGTGTGCCTTGCTTATTCATAGGCATTTTGCAGTGGCCATTTGCAGAATTATTGGCTTTCAGTGCTGAGAAACCCGTTGGAGGGATTTTGTTGGTGGAAGGAAAAAGAACAGCAAAGATACACGGAGCTTCCTTCTACTGCTCAAATCAAATGTGGATGTCAGACTCGCTATTCCTAAGCACTGCTAAATAGTTGGAAGTTATTTCCTTAGGGGCTAGCTTTTGAAGTTTCTCCTTCTGATTCTATCTAAGGCACCTTCTGATTTTCCAAAAGATTAAGCAGGAATAATAGAAAGCATAGAGCAAAATCTGAGGAGTGAGTTGAAGAACCGAAGTCCAGCCTACCAGAATCTGGGATTTATGTTTTTCAGTACATGAGATTTTTCTAATTAGACTGGAAACATTAAAGTCTTGCTGTTGCTTACTGTAATAATGTTTGAGGGGCTCAGACATTCAGCCAGCAGCTAGCTTTAGGTTGGGTGGAATGTTTATCTTTCTTTATGGAGCTGTCCTTGGTCCTGGAGAGCTTGGCCCAACCAATTAACAAGATAAGTCTCCTTAGAAGCTCAAGGCCTGACTATGTTTCTCCTCCTCCTCCTCCCCATCCTTGTCCACCTCCCATGTATACCACTATCATATAACTTGGAGGTTTCTTTAATATATAAAGGAATTGTCATCTGTCTAGAACAGTGTGAGTTCTATTATAAGTGTATGTGTTCGCTGTTCATGTGTGAACAGTTCCATGTGTATATTTCAAATATACTGTATGATAATTAAATCTGATCCAAACTTATTCAACTAGTCAGGATTAACTCACATTACTGATTTCAATGGTTTAGTTCAGTCACGACAAAGTGAGGGTCCAGCTCATCACTGCTCACATATCTAGAGCATAATATATCTTTAGCCACCATCCATATGCAGATTTTAAATATTTGGTTAGTTATTTTGGGGGATAAAGACGGTAATGATAATTTTTTCACAGTATATTACCTGCATTACTATGTAATATACATACGAATGTATGTTTAACATTTCTGCAATATAGTACATTTACTCTGTGGTCTGCATGTCACTTGAGTGATGAATTCAATTGATGCCAATTCCAATATTTGTTTATATGTGAAATGTTTAATGCTGTATAACATAGCACGTGGCTGGTATTCATTTAACCAATCTAAACTTTCTAAAGATGTGTTTTACAATAGAATAGGAACTAAACATATTTGCTTCATTGAATAACCAAAAGTGATTCCCGCATACAGTCATCGGAGTTTGAATACTTTCATGAAATCTTGGCCTCTATATAATTCCAACAACTTTTGTTTTTCTTAAATAAGAAAAAATACCTTATCATAAAAGGCAATCTCAGCAATGAGATATTTTTATAGAAACAATATCAGAGTTAAATTTCCCAAATAATATATGTACATGTATGTACATAGGTATGTTACAGGCATGTAACTTCTCATTTTGTTTGCAGTCAGCATGTAGAAAGCTTTCTCTCTCAGCCTTCTGCATGCTGCTTCAAATTCTAGAGTTATAATTGAATGTCTTTGGATGCACCAAATTAGAAAAGGCTAATGTATGGGGTATTTTTTTTGTTCTCCAGTTCATCTTATTCTGCTGAAGTCAATTCAGCTGGCTGATGTATCTATATGGGAAGTTCTTCTGGTATATAGAATTGCATAGACACTATCCTATTATTAACTGAAATTTATTATTGTAAACTAATAATAAATCAAACTAATTGTAAATTAGTTTGCTGCTCTTTTATCTTATTGAAGAAAAGTTTGTGAAATTATACTTGGGGAAAAATAGCTTTCAGTTCAAGCAGCTATCAAAGGTCTGCAATTTCTTTTTCAGGGTGATAAATGGGACACTTCACTACAATTTCACAAACCTGGATAACTTCATGCAGCTTCTTTGGGAAAATAAGCTACGTCCTGGTAAATATAAAACCAGTCAATTCATAGCTCTGTTTTACAATGTTTAGGTGAAGGTATTTGGAGTTATGTGCAGTCATTTGCTTATCTTGACGACTACAAGACTTTTAACAGGCAAATGTTGCAATTCAAGAAGTTAAACTTCCACCATATCTGATAGATATTTTTACATTGCCTTAAGGACAAAGGCCAATTGGAAGTCACACAGCCTTTGCAAATAATGTTAGCATTAAAGTGCTTATACTCCACAGCGCTGAACAATTATTGTTTTATATCTAATCCCGGAAAAATCCATCACTAGCACTGGATAGACACATACTCTAATGGGCACCTTATCAAATGCCAGTGGATGTGTGTGCATTTCATATTTAGCCAATGTTGTCAGAAACAGAGAGTCTGCAACTATATGTTGTTGTTAGGAAAAAATATGCAATTCTTTTTTTAATATACCACTCCGTTTTTTGGGAGATCAGTAGGGAACCCATCCAATCTTTCAATGGATGTAGAATTGTATGATCAGATTACTGAATGAATAAAAGCTGTAGTCTCATTTTAGCTGAATATAATACAGGTAGTCCTCGACTTACAACAGTTCATTTAGTGACCTTTTGAAGTTACCACGGCACTGAAAAAAAGTGACTTATGACCATTTTTCACATTTAACAACCATTGCAGCATACCTATGGTCACATGATCAGAATTCAGACATGTAGCAATTGACTCATATTTATGACAGTTGCAGTGTCCTGGGGTCACATAATCACCTTCTGAGACCTTCTGACAAGCAAAGTCAATGGGGGAGCCAGATTCACTTAACAACCGTGTTACTAACTTAACAACTGCAGTGACTCACTTAACAACTATAGCAAGAAAGGTCGTAAAATGGGACAAAACTTACTTAACAAATATCTCAGTTAGCAAGAGAAATTTTGAGCTCAAGCACTCGAGTCAAGGACTTATCTGTATATATTCTGTCTTCATCTCTTGTGTCTTTTAACACTAGAGCAGTTGTGGCGAACCTATGGCACACGTGCCATAGGCGGCACTCAGAGCCCTCTCTGTGGGCACACCTGCCATGCCCCGGAGATGGCAATTGTCCCTCTTCAACCAGCCACCTGCTAACTCGCTGAGGTCCCACATGGTCAGATGCATCCCAGCACCCATCCGCTTGCTGGCCTCTGTGTGCAGGGGCCGATGGTGTCAGGCAGCAGCCACCCCGGTCTGTCTCACCTTGCCCTGTGACAATGGCACCCCCGCCTTGCCTCGCCTCACCCTGCAGGACGAGCCTCCTATCCACTGCCCCACCTGCCAGAGACCCCCTGGATCTCCCCCAACCCTGCCCGGCCCCCACAGGCGTCCTTCCCCACAAGCAACATCAAGATGATCACGCGTACCTTGGCCTCACCGACCCAATCTGCCATGAGCACCACAGCCATGCCCACCCAATGGGCCATGCCCACCTGGCACCCGGCGATAAATAAGTAGGTTTTCGGTTGCATTTTGGGCACTCGGTCTCTAAAAGGTTCACCATCACTGCACTAGAGGATCCTGCTCTGTGCTTCTAGAGTGGTGCTAAATATTACTCCTGTTCATGTGAAACTGTTTTACTTCGTATCAGTCCATTAGCCTATCTATAGATTAGTCTATTTGTTGCCTTACAGCTTCCTTGATACCTGACAGTCGCCCTGGTAAGGGTGATTTTTTTTTTTACACACACATGCACACACATATGTGTTTGTGAATAAAATGGTAAGCTTATAGTACAATAAAGCAATTTCAATTTCTAAAGCATCAACATCAGCATCAGCTTTCTTGGCTGATGATGCTGTCTTATTAGGTCATCTAATCAGAGAGACTTAAGGTAGTTTATAATGAAATACTCAATAAGACAATAAATAGAGGAAGAAATGATACTTTGGAGAAATACTTAAAAATCCATTTCAGCTTTTCCTCATCATTTGTCGCTTAGCTTACGGCTAAGCTTCATTTGGAAAGGGAGGAAGGGAAGGGAAGGGAAGGGAAGGGAAGGGAAGGGAAGGGAAGGAAGGAAGGAAGGAAGGAAGGAAGGAAGGAAGGGGGGATAGATCAGGAACATTGAGTATATATTGTGGAGGGAGAGACTATTTAGTAGTCTGATTTTGTTATCACTTTGTGAATGGACAACACGCACACAGACCCTTGTAAGAATGCCCTTCTGTTCTCATAATTCCACACGTCCATAAGCCAAAAAAGGTGCAGAGCTCTTATTTAAAGAGTAATCTTGTCAATTCCAACTGTCTGCTATTCTAGTAAGTTTGTCTTAGCACCTCTACTAAAGCCCCTTTGCTTGAAGTGAAGAGGGTAAAGAGATGACTTCTTTAGCTAGCTACTAAAAAAAAAAATCTCAGTGAGCTGAGTTCACACAGCAGGCTAAACCAAAATGAAACAAACTGATTGTTGATTAACAAGTTATTGGAACTTGCCAGCAAAGAACGTGTTTTGTTGCAAAGCTGTGACTTTTTTGTGCTATTCTTAAAAAAGGAACAATATGAAAAAGTAGTGAGGAAATGGTTGCAATTAGTGCCTTCCCTAAAGCAATTTTGAGGTCCATTTTTCAATGGGAAAATAAAATCAGTAACTTCAGTGTGACATTTATTTGAAATGAAGTAGGAATTGATACGATCATAAGAGCCTCCACTGCAATCTGAGTAGTATAGGTATAGGCAGTCCTCAGTTTAATGACCAAATTGGCGTAGAATTTCCTTTGTTAAGTGAGTCGTACCTAATGTTATGACCTTTTTGCCATGGTTGTTAAGCAAATCACTGTGAATCCAGCTTCTCTCATTGACTTAGTTTGTTGGAAGCCAGCTGGCAAATGGCAATCATATGAATTCAGGATGCTGCAACCATTGTACATGCTTGCCGGTTACCAAGCACCCAAATTTTGATCACATAACTGTGGGGATGCTGCAATGGTTGTAAATGTGAGGTCCAGTCATAAGTCACTTTTTTCAATGCCATTGTGACTTTGAACAGTTACTAAACAAATGGTTATAAGCCAAGGACTACCTTTATAGACCAGACTCAATGATGGAGAATTGTATCTGAACCAAATGAATGCTTGAGCAGACATGCCCACTTAACCGCCCAAGTAGAACTTTGCAAAAAGATTTCTCAAATTGTTTTGTACCTCAGTTTCTCAGTGGCATTTTAAGAATGCACATCAGGAGGAAATTAGAGTGTACTGATTAAAATAGTCTGGCAAGTTCTTGATGAATTCTCAGTTCAGCCATGAACACTAAATACACTTTAACCTATTTTTTATTCCAAGTCTCTAATAAGGGGATAACAGAATGTACATAATAGAATGCATTCATCCCATAGAACTTTTATAAGGATCTGGAGAATGTGTGGAAAGCTATGAAAAAAGTGCTGTATAAAATAAATATTATATCAGAGTGGGTGAATATTTAAAAGTATTTCTCAATGACCTGCCTTGTTCACCTGAACATCAATAATTAAACTGATAGTGTTTAAATTATTGGTAAGAGGGCACATGGTTATAATTATGGTTTGAAATCTGAAGTGCCTCCTTCAGATATATCCATTAGAGGATTTGCATTTTTAAGAATTCAATACGCTTATTTGCCTGTTGTTATCCTAAATTATTAGCTGTAGAGGTCCTTCCCTGCTTTACGCACTGTAAATGAAATTGGTCCCCTGATTCCTTGGATATTAGTTATAATTCACAAATGAAGACTAAAGCGGGCTTATATAGAAAAATTCAAAACTGCTATCGATTCTCGATTGAATTATTTTGCCTTGGTTTTTATATTAAATGAAGGTTTTGAATTGATGGGAAGTCCTTCAGGATACTTCACTGACTTTGATGATAAAAAGCAAGTGGTAGAGTGGAAGAGCCTGATTGTACAGATGGCCCAAAGATATATAGGTGAGTTAACCAAACTCAGTGTTGGTGCAAACATTTATAAAAAGCCACGCTAGTGAAAATCTACATATTTTTTTTTGTTCAACCCCTTTTGGTTTGAAAATGCTGTGACTTTCAATTTATGCAACCGGCTCTGGTTGGCTAAATGGCTGAACATTTGTAGGGAATTCCACAGGCAACAGACAACTTTTGATAAGGGATTTAGAGCAGTGGTTCTCAACCTGTGGTCGGGACCCCATTTGGGGTCGAACGACCATTTCACAGGGGTCGCCAAACAACGCAGTCCGCCATTTTTCCCTCCCTTTTCCTTAACTGTGCTATTCCCTTTTATTCTATTGGCTTTTGAAAGCCAATAGAATAGACTCTCTTGAATAGAGTCTAATTCTATTGGCTTTCAAAAGCCAATAGGAATTGTCCAGGCTGTCTCTGCCCTGCTGAGCCTGCCAAAAGTCCTATTCTGCAAACGGTGCTGCACCAGTTGAGTAGTCCTCGACTTATGACCGGCTGGGTAGTCCTCGACTTACGACCAGTTGGGGGTTGCGGCATTAAAAAGGTTGAGAACCACTGATTTAGAGGCTACATTAATGCTGAGATAAAGCAAATTCTGGATATATCAGCTTTTGAGCTGAGCATCACACTAGGCCTTGGGGCGATATACTGGGGATCATACTATACATATTAGAACTCTATATTAATTCAACCCCATTAATATGGTTATTTCCTTTTCTTTTACATTACACATTACAATTCAGCAACAGATCTATGGAGGATCACGGAAATTATTTGCACTTCTTTGGGAAAATCGCACCCAGTTCAGAGGTTCCTGGTTGTGTTCTCCTATGTAGACAAATCTGGGATCCTGTGTGGAATAAATGGGTGGCACGGTGGCTCAGCAGTTAAGATGCTGGGCTTGTCAACTGGAAAGCAAACAGCCCAGGTTTGAGATCCAAGCTCCATGTGACAGGATGAGCTCCTATCCTCGCCCCAGCTCTTGCCAACCTAGCAGTTTGACAGCATGCACATGCAAGTAGATAAATAGGTACCATTTCGTTGGGAAGGTAACATCGTTCCGTGATGATCGTTCCGTCATGCGGTCACATGACTGTGGGAATGTCTTCGCAAAGTATTCAATGGCCTTAAAACGGAGATGAGCACCACTCCCTAAAGTCAGCAACAAATAGCAGAGTAAAATTCACAGGGACTCTCCCCCTCTCCTTTGTGGAATAAACTGTGTGTAAATCTGTTGTATCCCAGATTGATCATCCATGTCCATCTCTTAAAGGCAAAATCTGCTAGCATGGAATTATTTGGCCCAAGAGTCATTCACTTGAGACTTTGCTCAGAGCCTAATGAATGAGTTCAATACATTAACTCTAAGTTTGGCTTCCAGAGAGGTATGGATTGAAACATGTTTCAAAGTGGAATTTTGAGACCTGGAATGAACCGGATCACCATGACTTTGACAATGTATCAATGACCGTAGACGGTAAGCTGTTTTAAATCCCTTTTTTAAAAAATTGTTAATAATATGGAAAGAATTCCAAGGAGACGTTAGATGCAAGCGAGGAAAATGTTGCTCATTTTAGATCTTGTAAAGCTCAGACTTAATATCAAATAGATATTAATTTTGCCATCCAAACTCTTCCAAAACTAAGTTATTGTGCCTAGTTTAGCAAATAGGAATGTTATTTAGTCTTTTATAACAGTGGAAACTTTGGGCTCAATTATGGTCATACATCAAGGACTACCTGTGACATCTAGAGGAACCATTGTGCAAGCATTCTCATGGACTTGCCAAAGGAAGGGACATAGCAGTATGAGTGGCTGTTGGGAGTTCCCTCTTATTATATTATTCTCTCCCCTATCAGAATTTGGGTGCTCCCATGGCTGTTTCGGGATCTTAAGTCGAGGGAAGTAATGTAGCCACGAGGGAAGATCATTGGAGTGACAGTGAGAACTGTAGAGTTTCTTTCATTGCAAAAGGGTATCTGAGGTTTTTATGCACGTAGGTATAATGGTCTCATTGTCACAAGGGGCTTGATTGTATCTGGTAATTTCGATGAGGAATCTCTTTGTCTTCTGCAAAACACTTTGCATTGCAATTGTTTCTAAATTACATAGGTACAAATTGGATGCATTCCGGTGTTTATGGGCTCATAACTCACAGGAGTTCTGTCACTGCTGCTGAATAATTGTCCTGCACTCAGGCCCATTCTTCCAAATATTTGAGAGGTGTGTGTGTGTGTGTATATAATTCCAGCAGACATATACTGTAACTCGTGGGGTGAAGCAGACTTCTTGCGCTTAAGCCTGAACCACAATACAGGTAGTCCTTGACTTACTACATTTCATTTAGTAATCATTTGAAGTTAACAACGGCACTGGAAAAAAGTGACTTATGACCATTTTTCACCCTTGTGACCGTTGCAGCATCCCCAGGGTCACGTGATTTACATTCGGATGCTTGAGAATTGATTCACATTTATGACGGTTACAGTGTCCCAGGATCATATATCATCTTTTGCAGTCTTCTGACAGGCAAAGTCAATGGGGAAGCCAGATTCACTTAACAACCGTGCTACTAACTTAACTGCAGTGATTCACTTAACAACTTGTGGCGAGAAAAGTCGTAAAATGGGGCAAAGAACAAATTTCTCACTTAGCAACATAAATTCTGGCCTCAATTGTGGTTGTAAGTCAAGGACTACCTGTAAAGCTGTCCTTCCCTCGGCTGCTGCTCCTTTATAGCTTTATAAAAAGGAAATTATCCTTGAATTTATATATATCGAGGACCATGCCTATACAAGAACCAGCGGGGTGCTTTAAAACATGATAAGCTTGTGTATTTTATTGGCACTCACAATAGAATCCATAGTCGTAAGTTCCATAGTCACATACAAGACACACAAGTTCAGGCAAGTGTTACATTTCTGAATCAACTGTTGTTAATACAGAAATGCTCTGAAATATGCCCTGCTTTCTTAGATTTCAGCCTAGCGCAATCTGAAGAGCGAGATACTTTCTTGTTGCATTGATAAGATAGCGCAGTGATGGCGAACCTTTTAGAGACCGAGTGCCCAAAAACTGCTCTCCCACCCCCGATCCTCCGCCTGCGGACCCACCCAGGCGGCCCAGCAGCACCATGGCAGCCACGCCCTCCGTCCGCACCCCGCAGCATCAACTGCGTGTGGCGGGTGTGAGGGCGAAGTCTTGTCCCCGCTGCTCGGCTGCCATGTCCTTGCTCCACACGGGCTGCACTCAGGGAGATTCTCCTCTGGGGGGGCTGCTGGTGAGGAAGGGGCCACAGGGTCTGAGGTGATGGCGCACATGCCCACAGAGAGGGCCCTGAGTGCCGCCTCTGGCACGCATAGCTTCACCACTGAGATAGCGTATTGATGTCACATGTTTAGTCTTTACCAACTCTTCCACCTTACACCCAGGATTTCTCAACTACTACGACGCTTGTTCTGAAGGATTAAGAGAAGCCAGTGGTCAGCTAAAATTAGGAGGCCCCGGAGATTCCTTTCATCCATTTCCCAAGTCTCCAATTTGCTGGAACCTCCTCAGCCATTGCTACAACGGCACAAATTTTTTCACTGGAGAGACAGGAGTCCGGCTAGACTACATCGCCATGCATAAAAAGGTCAGCTTGTTGTTGTTGTTGTTTTTTAATGGCTGAGAACTTTAAAAGTTCCCGATCCAAGTTAAATGTTCTCATTTATTTATTTTTATCCGATTAAAAAAAAATACAGACAAGGTGGAAAATACTGGATTGAATAAAAAGTGCCCATTACCTCTTGCAGAGAATTATATGGCCTGTTCAAAGTGCCACTATGTATATTACCTTGTTGGCTTATTTATCTCTAAAGCTTTAGTTTCTTCTACTAAACCTGGAAGCTACAGGTAGTCCAGAACGCAGCAGTGATGGCCACGTTGGGCATGCCTCATTAAGCCTGTGTGGCCTCTCCCCAATTGCTTCATGAGCTGCTCAGGTTAACAATGAACTTCCCAGTGCAATTTAAGGTGCTTGGTTATCACCTTTATTTGAGGGATCACCTGTCTCCAATTGTTTCTGCCAATCTGGTGTGATGGGGCAGAATGGATTCTCTCTCGGTCCCATTGATTAAGCCATGTCACCTAGTGGGACTTGGGGGAAATGATAACCTTCCAGAGATCTGGATACCTTCCATCCTTCAGGAAGCTATTAAAGACCTGGCTTTTCTCTCAAACTTCAGGCAAAGTTGAGGCTGTGTCCCTGTTGGGTAAATTTTTCTTGCTTATATGTTGCTTTTGAGGCTATTTCTTTGGAGGAAGGGGGAATATGTTTTTGTATTTTACATTTGGATTTTAAGCTGCCCAGAGTTATTGAGAGTTGGATGAACTATACCAGGGGTCTGCAACCTTGACAACTCTAAGACTTGTGGACTTCAGCTCCCAGAATTCCTGACTGAGGAATTCTGGGAGCTTGTCCACAAGTCTTAAAGTTGTCAAGGTGGCAGACCCCTGAACTATACAATGCGAGGGTGAAGGTTCGTTCTCCGAGCTTGTGGGTTGGTTTCTGAACATTTCGTTACCAGCCTAGGTAACATCTTCAGCAGAGTTCAGGGGATGTCAGGGTCAGTGTTTTGTTTATAAGGGCTTCAGGTGAGGGTGTGTCAAGTAAGAATCTGTGGTAGGTCTTACGATGGGTCAGGTGTGAATCATCAGTGAGTCAATCTAATCTACCAAATCAACTGTAACCATTGCAACCAATTCTACCTGGGACAAACATCACATCAATTAAAAACCGGGATCCACAAATGCCAGCTAGCAGTCAAACGCCACAGTCCAAATCCTTAATCTCTACCCACACTGGCACCAAACAGCACTAGTTTGATTGGAGCGACACAAAAATCATCGGCCATGCTGCCACCTGCCACGCTCGTGAAGCCTGGCACTCCACAAGCAATTCCATCAACAGACATAATGACCTACAACTAGCCTACAAACCCCTCAGAATCCAAATCAACCACACAGCCAATCAGAGACAGCATCGACCTTCAACCAACCCATGCAAGCCCCCCCTCCCACCAGTAGTTCAGCTCTCAATGACCCTGATCTGATGTAACCTCCCCATCACAATACCCATTACAAGCCTCTCACTCATGACCCACATCTAACCCATCACAAGACCCTCACTTGACACACCCACACCTGAAGCCCTTATAAACAGAAGAACACAAACACTGACATCCCCTAAACTCTGCTGAAGATGTTGAGATTCTAGAAAGAGTACAGAGAAGAGCAACAAAGATGATCAGGGGACTGGAAGCTAAAACATAAGGAACAATTGCTGGAATTGAGTATGTCTAGTTTAATGAAGAGAAGGACGTGGGGGGTGATAGCAGTCTTGCAATATCTCAGGGGCTGCCATAAAGATGAGGGAGTCAAGCTATTTTCCAAAGCGCCTGAAGGCAGGACAAGAAGCAACGAATGGAAACTAATAAAGGAGAGAAGCAACCTAGAACTGAGGAGAAACTTCCTGACAGTTAGAATAATTAACCAGTGGAACAGAAGTGGTGAATGCTCCAATACTGGAAGTTTTTAAGAAGAGACTGGACAGCCATTTGTCTGAAATGGTATAGGGTTTCCTGCCTGAGCAGGAGGTTGGACTAGATGACTTCCAAGGTCCAACTTTTTATTATTATTATTATTATTATTACGGATTATCGCACAGTCAGCCAGATGTTCAGACTGGATTTGGCATTTTGTCTACCTATCGAGTCCTTACCCAGGACCTGGGATAGGCAGATGTGGATGTTTGATGGTATTACAGGTATCGTCGCAGGATGGAAGCAGTTCCTAATAAGGCCGCCTTTTGCAATTGACTAATAGCGAATTTGTCAATGCCAATGGTGTTCAAGTGGTGCTCCAGTTGTTTTGGGATTGCACCCAAGGAGCCTATGACTATTGGTACTACCCTTGCTTGCTTTTGCCACAGTCTTTCTATTTCTATTTGTAGGTCTTTGTATTTTGTTATCTTCTCCAGTTCTTTCTCTTCTATTCTGCTGTCTCCAGGCACTGCCACGTCCACTATCCAGACTTTTTTGTCTTTCTTATCGACAATTGTTAAGTCTGGGGTGTTATGTTGCAGGTGCTTGTCTGTTTGAATTCTGAAGTCCCAGAGCAGTTTAATTTTATCATTTTCTATTACTTTCTCTATTTTATGATCCCACCAGTTTTTGCTTACTATTATTATTATTATTATTATTATTATTATTATTATTATTATTATTATTATTATTATTATTATGGATCATCGCACAGTCAGCCAGATGTTCAGACTGGATTTGGCATTTTGTCTACCTATCGAGTCCTTACCCAGGATCTGGGATAGGCAGATGTGGATGTTTGATGGTATTACAGGTATCGTCGCAGGATGGAAGCAGTTCCTAGTAAGGCCGCGTTTTGAAATTGACTAATAGCAAATTTGTCAATGCCAATGGTGTTCAAGTGGTTTTCCAGTTGTTTTGGGATTGCACCCAAGGAGCCTATTACTATTGGTACTACCTTTGCTTGCCTTTGCCACAGTCTTTCTATTTCTATTTGTAGGTCTTTGTATTTTGTTATCTTCTCCAGTTCTTTCTCGTCTATTCTGCTGTCTCCAGGCACTGCCACATCCACTATCCAGACTTTTTTGTCTTTCTTATCGACAATTGTTTTTATTATTATTATTATGGATCATCGCACAGTCAGCCTGATGTTCAGACTGGATTTGGCATTTTGTCTGTCTATCGAGTCCTTACCCAGGACCTGGGATAGGCAGATGTGGATGTTTGATGGTATTACAGATATCGTCGCAGGATGGAAGCAGTTCCTAGTAAGGCCGCCTTTTGCAATTGACTAATAGCAAATTTATCATTATTATTATTATTATTATTATTATTATTATTATTATTATTATTATTACCACCTAGCCTGGTAACGAAACCTTCACCCTCATCCTACACCTGAGCTACAAATATTTGCCACTATTGCATATGCTGTATAAATAAATAAAATAAAACTTCAAGTAGAAATACTCCCAGTAGAGCTTATTGATCAGGATGGACAGCTTAGTACGAACAAGGGCTTAGCGAGCCACAGAATCACAGGTAGGGTAAGAATAAAATAGAAGCCATTTATTTATTTATATCCCAGCTTTATACATTTTTTTACAAATAACTCAAGGCAGCAAATATGCCTGATACACTTTTCTCCTCCTATTTTTTCCACAACAACAACAACCCAGGTTGGGCTGAGAAAGAGTGACTGGCCTAAAGTCACCCAGCTAACTTTCATGGCTACGGTAAGACATAAACTTACAGTTTCTGGCTTCCTAGTCTGGTACCTTAACCATTAGACCAAACTAGCTGTCAGAGACCAAACTGGCTCTTGGAGCCTAATAGTAATTAATATTATAAGCTTAATATTATTTATATCTATAGAAACGTAGTTACTCTCCTATCATTATTTAATAGTATTCCTCTTCCAATGGCATATTTTAAAAAAAATCTTAATTTGGTGATAGATTTTGGACCCCATACAAAAAGAGATATTCCCTGGCCTTGTTTTGACAAAATAGTATAAGAGTAGGAAAGCAGGTGTATGCTTACTAGATAATAACAGTCATCACAATGCTTCTAATCACCAGGGAGCTGGGAGTGCTCTTCATATCTTGGAACAGGAAACTGAGGCCATGGGACAGATCCAGAAGATGTTCCCCAATTTTGCCTCGGTCCCCGTATACAATGATGAGGCTGATCCTCTAGTAGGATGGTCGATCCCACAGCAGTGGAGAGCTGATGTGACCTATGCAGCTATGGTAGTAAAGGTAAGGTTGATGCTGGCGAAAGTGGAAGTTTTTGTTTGGGATTTTTATTGGATAATGGGGAATCACAAAGTAAACAGAAGCTCGTCTAGACTGTCTTGCTCAATGCGCTCTGCGTGCTGTGGCAAACATTCAGGCTGTCAGGGCTAGGCCAGGGTGGTAAGCATTTAGACTTCAATCTAGACCAGAAAGGGACCTTCCCTAGTTTGAAGTCCTTGGAGCATTTGGAAGTTGTTAAATACCCTTATGATCTCAAATCATAAACCAAGTCCTTCTTAGACTTGACCAGTATTGCTTCCCAATCGACTAATACTGCTTGCCCACATAACGTATTTGTTATGCTGCAGGAGCCAACATAATGCATTCCTGTTACTCCTGGGTTTCAAGACCACACTGTGACTAAGCACTTCAGCTCAGAAGAACTGGAAGTAAATACATGTGGTCCTCGACTTACGACCACAATTGAGCCCAACATTTTTGTTGTTGAGTGAGACCTTTGTTAAGTGAGTTTTGCCCCCGTTTTACGATCTTGCTTGCCACAGTTAAATGAATCACTGCAGTTGTTACGTTAGTAGCACGGTTGTTAAGTAAATCGGGCTTCCCCATTGACTTTGCTTGTCAGAAGGTCGCAAAAGGTGATCACGTGACCCTGGGAACAGACCAACCGTCATAAATCTGAGTCAGCTGTCAAGCGTCTGAATTTTGATGGGGATGCCGCAACAGTCGTAAGTGTGAAAAACAGTCACGAGTCACTTCTTTCAGGGCCGTTGTAACTTCAAACGGTCACTAAACGAACTGTTGCAAGTTTGAGGACTCCCTGTAATTGTTTTTCCCCTGTTTTCAGTTTAGAGAGCTTTATTTAAAGAATTCCTGTTTAGGCCCGAATGGAAGCCCTTTTCCTGCAAATGTCCATGAATGTTATGATCCGCTATGTTCCTTTGCATCCATGAATTATTCAGAAATACTAAGAAATACACAGACATTACCAAAACTGATTTCCTCTGCTTCTGCCTAAAGAACTGGACTGAAGCTGGGCAGCTGCTAAACTGGGACTGGTCTGATGAACCTTTTAGCTTTGTCTGTTGTTTTATAGCAGGGGTTCTCAACCTTGGCAACTTTAAGACTTGTGGACTTCAACTCCCAGAATTCCTCAGCCAGCTTGAAGTCCACAAGTCTTAAAGTTGCCAAGGTTGAGAACCCCTGTTTTATAGACTTTGCAATATTTCACAGTCAGGACTTGTGCATCACCTACTGGAGGAAAACTGCATCTGCACCTTGCAATTTTTGTAATCATAAACACACTGTAAAAGTAGCGTCTGCTTACCATTTTACAATTTAAAATACCCTTTTGGGTAAAGCGGGCGTTACGTCCAGCATATCATCTTGGCTTAGCCCTAGTGCTACATTCCCTTTTGCCATTTAATCCTACAATTTTCAATCAGTGAATACGGCTTGATTTTAGATTACTAAAGACGAATCCATCCATCATAGCTTATAGCTTGGTCAACAGTTGGAGAATTATCACTGTAGATTTTGAGGCAAGACGAGATGAAACCTGGATGATCTCCTGGATGGAATTAGAGAATTTATTTCATTTGCTTCCGTCATTTGCATGCACTTTCCATCCAAGACTCAAAGCAACTTGCAATTCAGTCATATCATAAAAACCGTAAGAACAATCGAACAGTATCCCAAAATACATAATATCATAAATTTACACTATCTTAAATAAGGTATTTCAACAATTAAGTAGGCATTCGTGTGCAAATATGGGATGGGAATCAACCTATCAGCATGTTGACCATGGTTTTCTGTTTAATATAGTCGATGACCTCAAAGCAACCAGGTGATGTCTCAGATGAATTTGTGAAGATAAATAAAGTGACTTATATACTATGTAGCTCACTATTACATGAATATTAAGCAGCATATTGAGAAAAAAGGAAAGATAGAAGAGGGTCTTCCCCTTCACACACATTGGTTGTATACCTCAAATCTTTTTTATTTTGTGTACAGTAGTTCTCGAGTTCCGACTATAACTGAGCCCAAAATTTGTGTTGCTAAGTTGTTATGTGTGTTTTGCCTCATTTTACAACCTTTCTGGTCCCAGTTGTTAAATGAATCACTGCAGTTGTTAATTTAGTAATGCAGTTGTTAAGTGAATCTGGCTTCCCCCATTGGCTTTGCTTGTCAGAAGGTTGCAAAAGGTGATCACATGACACACACACACCTTGCACACTGCAACTGTTATAAATACTTGCCAGTTGCCAAGCATCCCAATTTTGATCATGTGATTATGGGGAAACTGCAGTGGTCATTAAGTGTAAAAACGGTCATAAGTCATATTTTTGGTGCCATTGTAATTTTGAATAATCACTAAACCAATGGTTGTAAGTCAAGGACTACCTGTGTTTGGGTAAGAAGTAGAAGCTGGAGGACAGTGTCCAGCAAGAAGGTCATCCTAGGACTAAAAAACAAAGGTCATCCTTTTAAAGGGGGAGAGGGAAATCCTAATCCCCCCCTCCTTTTTTTTTTACAGTGGTAGATCTTTTGAACTACTGAGAATTAAGCATAAAATAAAATGCTTATTTGATGAAGTGTCTCTGCCCCTATTTGTGAGTTTTATTATCTGAAGGCTAACTTTTGCAGTTGGAGAATGAGTGTCTGGTTGACAAGTTTCTCCTACGTTAGCTATTGAAAGATCATCTTAAGAAGTCTCTATTAACTTCTTGCTGGTCCAGAAGACCAGAGGCTATTCCCTTAAGGCAAGGGTAGGCAACCTTGGCTCCTTTATGACTCGTGGACTTCAACTCCCAGAATTCCTGAGCCAGCATGGCTCAGCTTGGAAACCTCTCCCTTTTCCCTCAGCATGGCTGGCTCAGGAATTCTGGGAGTTGAAGTTCACTAGTCATAAAAGAGCCAAGGTTGCCTACCCTTGCCTTAAGCAATACCATAGAGCAGTATTTCTCAACCTTGGCTACTTTAAGACGTCTGGACTTCAACTTCCAGAATCTTTAAGACGTGTGGACTTCAACTCCCAGAATTCCTCAGCAAGCAGATGCTGGAAGTTGAAGTCCATAGGTCTTAAAAGTAGCCAAGGTTGAGAAACAATGCCCTAGAGATATTTTCCATATGTTTCCCTGAGGAGAGAAGAGATTTGGGTTTTCAAAAAAGAAAATTCCTGTAGGTTTATTGTCTGTATCATTGTTACATAATGAAAAGCAATATCTGCCTTCTTTAAATAATTAAATGAATGTTTAGGGTATCGGAATTATTCTGCACCCTGCTTATATTCCCTGCTGCTCTGTGTACCGTTAGGACAGAAGTAGATTTTAGTGCAGATCAGCTAGTTCTTGGAGCCAGTTGGCATCCATGTCATTAACAGGAGATGTGCTTGGCATTGCTGCTGATTTTGACCGCCAACAGTCACTCCATACTTTTTAGTCACAGTTTCGCAGTGGGGAGGAGAGCTAAGCAGTAAGATTTTCAAACAAACCTGTCATTATTGACATAAGAGGTTTACACAGTACAAGTACTGCTGAGATGAACTTCCCCCAAAGTGAAATAGATACATGCCATTATTCAGATTTTATTGCTAGTCTGAATGTATTAGATGGAGAGAAGTTATAAAAATATTTTTGAATTGTTGGAAACCAGGTTGTAACCAATCCTTTTTCAATATATATTTAGCAATAACAGGGTTTCTTTCAACAGTAAGTCACCAATTCTATAAAATCCTCTACTTTCTCACTCCTAATAATAATAATAATAATAATGATGATGATGATGATGATGATGATGATGATGTTGGAAGGGACCTTGGAGATCATCTAGTCCAACCCCCTGCTCAGGCAGGAAATACTATACCAGGCATGTCGAACACAAGGCCTGGGGGCCGGATGCGGCCCACGAAGTTGTTTCATGTGGCCCGCGAAGCCATCCTGGAAACAGGGAATGGCCCTGCTGCCTTGGCCCTGGCCCAGGCCGGCCAGGAGCCAATGTACAATTTTGTGGTGGCCATCTATGCTGAAATGCATTCAGTCTTAGCTCCACAAGGCCCTCTGGAAACAGCGAGGAACCAGCCCCTGCCGTGTTGGCCCCACCCTCCAAGTGCATGCTGGGGAGGTGTCATCCTTTGTGAGGAATGAAGAAATGCACCATCACCTGGAAGTGGCCAGCAAATGGCCTTTACCTACTTCACATATCCAGCTTGATGGGTTCTGCCTTGGTCCCACCCCTTTCTGCCAGAGACCCTCAGATCTGTCCCACTCCTATCCAGGCCCCCACAGGCACCCTTGACGCGAATGATGTAGAGCTGGTCACGCCCACCCAGTAGGCCACACCCACTCCATCCACGCCCATCCAGTAGGCCACACACCCCCTGGCCACCACCCCCAGGGCAACCGCAATGCTGATGCGGCCCTTAATGAAATTGAGTTTGACACCCCTGCCGTATACCATTTCAGACAAATATTTGTATTTGATCAATTTATCCTCACACTTTAAAACAGAGGTGTCAAACTGCCAGCCCACGGGCCAATTGCATCATGCAGAGGCCCCGCCCACCTCAGCTCTGGCAATGCAAGAAAAGTTGAGATATGTCACAAACCGTCACGTGACGCGGCGAGTTTGACACCCATGCTTCAAAAGATCAGGGAATGGCAGAAAGGAGAAAGAGTCAAATATAATTTGCATCTTTTTCAAAATTCACTTTTCAGCATGGATTTCAAGCAATTGACGTCAGCTTCTGAATGTTGAGAAGGAATGGTGTTACCTGACACACAGTCCAGAATTTGTATTCACTGAACTTTAGTGGAATGCCATGCAGTATGAAATAGAAACAAAGATAGTTTTTTCCCCCATGCCATCACTCTGCTGAACACTTAATTCCCACAGCACTGTCTTGTTTCTCATCTTTTCTTGTCTTTTTGTCTTTCCTACTATCTTTTCCTATTGTTGTTTGTAACTTATGATTTATGATCTATGAGCTATCACTTGCTATTTATATGTATATTGTGAGGTTATGCATCGGAGACAAATTCCTTGTGTTTCCAATCACACTTGGTCAATAAAGAATATTCTGTTCTGTCCTATTCTGTATTCCTATTCTATTCTGTTCTATTCCATTCTGTTCTTGTTCTGTTCTGTCCTGTTCTATATTCCTATTCTATTCTGTTCTGTTCTATTCTATTCTGTTCTACTCTTGTTCTATTCCTATTCTGTTCTGTTTTATATTTCTATTCTATTCTATTCTACTCTACTCTACTCTACTCTACTCTACTCTACTCTACTCTATTCCATTCCATTCCATTCCATTGCTATGAGTTGCCTACTCTTTGGTTTTTCACCAAGGAATGTTCGTTTATTTCATACACACACACACACCTTCCATAAATTAATAGAGCTAGTGTGAATTGTCTTTCTCTGGCCTCATTCAGTTTAACATGAACACCTTTTGTGATTTTAAATGCAGTTTTATACAACTCCGTTCTGCACAACTCAGTGTTCTTAAGGGCTAATCTGCTTTTTTGTGCGTATTTTGGTGTGGAACATTAATCCTTCTACATCTGATTAGTTATGCTGTCACAATCCTCCTCTTAAATTCCTAATTTTAGCTGCCTAGGGAATTAGGTCAATTTAAGCTATTGGAAAGGCTTACTTAGTAGACCCTGATGCTAACATGTTACAGTGCTTTTCTTGTTTTCAAGTTGTCACAGAGATTCTGGGTTTAATTTCTTCTATAGGCAGAGATAAATTACAGCGCAGTCATCTGTTGGAATTAGAACTGAGGCAGGAAAAAAAATGAAAGCTGTACAGTAATCCCAATATGAAATATTTGTATTCAGCTATGTATACTGTATGCTTTTTAAGGAAGACTACAAAAGTATCAAAGAGGATTTTTGACCCAGCACACAGCTGAAAACTTCAGCTTTTCTTTTAACTGGCTGAAACAACTTCTGTTTTTTCCCCTTGTTGCAGCATTATACTTGAAACATATGCCAAATACCTGTTGAATTCCTAGTAGCCAAAAGAAACAAATCATTTACTTATTTAATCAATTTATATATTGTATGTTATACTAATAAATAACTTTGGAGTTTCAGTGCATTGTACAGTGCCGTATTTCTCCATATTGCAACCCAAAGGAGGCTGAATTCTGCTAAGTATACACTAAATAGTTTTCATACAGAATAAAGCATGCAGATTTTGAGGAAATATTGCAAATCTATTTTAATATATATGCATTTCATAATCTGAGTTGCTTTGTTGCATTTTTTACTGAATACAGAATACTCATAGCCATGATTTATATATTATATAATTTCATATGGGAGATGCAAATCACCTTTTCCCCAACCTAGTGCCTTCAAATATTCCTAACCTGGTTGTGGATGATGAAAATTGTTATCCAAATACATTTGAAGGGCAGCAGGTTAGATAGGATTGGTTTAAAATAATGACCTCGTCCTGCAGTGGATTTGCTGTCAAAAATCTTGAAAAGCCTCCTATGAAAATTACATCTATTACTTGTTATGATATACTTTATTGATTAGTCAATTGGCCATATCAAATGTGACCATCAGTCACAGTAAAATACAGTAAAATGAGATCAAATAGTTATGGTGAGATACAATAGAATAAAATATAGTAGGTAAGATAAAATAAAGATAAAAGAATATAAGGTAAAATAGAAGAAGAATACCTGTTTTATTGAACTAACGTAATAACTCACATATTTTCAAATGGTGTTCCTTTACAGGTAATTGCTCAGCATCAAAATCTTCTCATCGCTAAACCCAACAATACCATCAACTACACTTTGTTAAGCAATGACAATGCATTTCTGAGTTACCATCCTTATTACTTCACCCAGAGGACACTTACGGCACGCTTTCAGATGAATAACACAAAGCCCCCCCACATCCAGATGGTGAGGAAGCCGGTGCTGACAGTAATGGGCTTGCTGGCTTTGCTAGGTACAACACCCCTCCCCCCCCATTCATTTTCACAATTGCTAAATACACTGTCAAATCAAGAGTCCAGGCAGTTCAAGGTTAGTAGTTCAATGGTCAAAGCAAATTGGCGGCAGATAAGAGTCAATGGAATTCAAGGTGGGCTGGACTTAAATCTCTTGTGGGCATGAAGGGATTCGAGACTGATGATGCGTTTGACCCCCTCCCTCGGGCTCAGCCTGGTCATTTCCTACACACCCTTAAGTATTCCAGGAAATGAAGTATCTAGTATTTAAAAAGAGGGAAGAAATATATTATGTTGACCAGCTGACGTTAATTCAGTTGAACTGGGAAATAAGCCAATCAGTTATCAGTCAATAAGTTAAAACTTCATACCTGTTACCACGTACTGGGGGGGGTGAACAATGTAAGTAATAGGAATTTGCTTTCCAAGAGCAAATAATTAATGATTAAAGCACCAGGCTAGAAACCAGGAGACTGTGAGTTCTAGTCCTGCCTTTGGCACAAAAGCCAGCTGAGAGAACTTAGGCCAGTCATTCTTTCTCAATCCAACTCACTCCACAGGGTTGTTGTTGTGGGGAAAATAGGAGGAGGAAGGAGTAGTGCATATGTTTGCCACCTTGAGTTATTTATAAAAATACTAAAGGGGATTTAAAAAAAAATATGACCCAATCTTAGAAAGAGAGATTTAACAAACAGAAGAAACAATAACAGCCACCTAGGTATCTTCAACTAAAGGTTTTTCTGTTATTTCAAACTTCAGCTCTTCTTATGCCCACATCAAATCTTTTGATGAAATGTTCTGTCACAGAATTAACACTTCATGAGGCTGACTTCTGGAACTAGGACAACATGCTTTAAATGCTCCTCTGTAAGTTTCCCTTTTTTTAGTTCAAGGTTTTCTCCCTCTTGTGCAGGAGAAGAGCAAATTTCTGCCAACATTTCTAGTCACAAATCAGAAGACTGTAATGCCTTGGGAATATTAGCCAGCTTGCATAAACCTTCAGGACTACAATTGTCGGACAGCTGGCAAGCATCAATACTGATCTATTCAAGCAATGATAACAAGACATCCTCAAACATCAGTACTGTGATTCTAAACATAGCCAACTATCCTAAAGACAGAGGTAACATTTTTCTATGATTTTTTGAAGGGCTATTAACCTGATAACCTCCAAAAATGAGATTTACATTCAGGTTGGGGGAAGTAGGCTCTATGCACTGCTAGACGAATTCAAGAGAGGTCTTTTCTCACAGGGTAATGGACAGTTCCTAATAACTACAGCATGACGCACACACACTGCCTCATTCTAAAGCAGACATGTCAAACACAAGGCCCGGGGGCCGGATGCGGCCTGCGAAGTAGTTTCATGTGGCCCGCAAAGCCATCCTGGAAACAGTGAGGGAACAGCCCCTGCTGCCTTGGCCCTGGCCCAGGCCAGCCGGGAGCCAATGTACAATTTTGTGGTGATGGCCATCTATGCTGAAATGCATTCAGTCTTAGCTCCACAAGGCTGTCCAGAAACAGCGAGGAACCAGCCCCTGCTGCATCGGCCCCGCCCCCTGGGTGCATGCTGGGGAGGTATCACCCTTTGTGAGGAATGAAGAAATGCACCATGACTTAGCACTTGCCCCGGTCCCACCCCCTTCTGTCAGAGACCCTCAGATCTGTCCCACTCCTGCCCAGGACCCCACAGGCACCATTGATGCAAACAATGTAGAGCTGGCCATGCCCACCCAGTAGGCCACACCCACCCGGCCCCCCAAGGGCAACCACAATACTGATGCGGCCCTCAATGAAATTGAGTTTGACACCCCTGTTCTAAAGTGATCACCAAATTAGGATTTAGTTTGAATAGTGGCACGGGAGGGTCATTCTTTACGCAATAGGGGAAGAGGTTCGGAGATTTGAACTCAGAAGGCGGTCAGCAGATGATCCCTGATGGCTTAACTTGAATAGACAATTCACAGAATCTAATTAGGATATATTAAGTATGCAGAATTGTGTTTTGTGAAACAAATTGTATGTTCACTGTTTGGGGTTTTTTGTTTTGGTTCTGGTGTTGAGACTGAGACAACTTCATGGTGTGGTTTAATCTCTTAAATTTCTAACTGTGAGAAAAATCCACTTGGTGAAAAGCTTGTCACCCTTTGGATCCTTCTTGTGAGCAACGTGTTGCTTTCATTCCCATAGAAAGAGTTGTTCGAAAGCAGTGTTCAGAAAGAGTCAGAAAACAGTGAAACTGCTCCCCAGGTTTCACTTCAACAACAGCCTGGGTTTGAGTTTCTTGATTGTTGTCCCTCACTCATCAGGTGACATTTGAAGTAAGCCCACACCTTTTTAACTGGGCACCTGCAGGAGAGTGAGAAATGGTGAGCAGCTATTGGAGTCATAGATATCAACTCAGGGGTTAAAGTATCTACTTTGAGCTTTGGCTGTTAAATTGCCTTCCGTCAGAACAGTCTTCTGAGGAATGTATCTTAGTCAAGCTCAGCTGGATTTTTTTCCCCCTATTCCCTTTCATATTTCAGGATGCAAAACCTTTTCAATTGCTGATGGAATGAAACAGCGTCAGCTTGGGGTTTTCAGGTTCCCGATGACTTACTTCTCTGTTTCTTTCTAAAGCTACTTTGTCTAAGAGTTGAGGCCCAAAACTTATCGCTTGCATAACAGACTGTGAACCAGAACACTGTATTTCTAAGCTACCGTGTCTGATTTGATGTTCAGCTTAAGCCAAACTTTAAACTATTACATTTTCTTTATCTTCCCAAAGAACTGGTATATGTAACATACTACATGGATAACAACCTAACCAATCCATATTTGCAATGGAAGAAAATGAGAATGCCAGACTTTCCTTCTCAGAAGCAACTGGAGCAAATAAGAGATGCTCAGGTAGAGTATCGTGCATTTGAGAAATGGCTCTTTGTGAAATCAAACCCAGTACATGCTTGTTTGAGAGTAAATATTTCTGAATTCAGTGAGTTTTTTCCTAAGTACATTTTGTCACCCTATATCTCTGTCACATGAAAATTTAATTCAAAATAATCACCAATGCGTTGTGTACATGTTTATGGTGCAAACCTGAAACTAAAGAGTAAACTTTTTTTATTGATCTACAGACTGTGCTAGAAACCATTTGTTAATTTTCCCTGACTTCATCAAGATGTGTTGGATTTCAACTTCCACAATTTTTAGCCATGGTTGGTGAAAGCTTAGGATGGACGAACGGAAGGAAGGAAGGAAGGAAGGAAGGAAGGAAGGAAGGAAGGAAGGAAGGAAGGAAGACAGGGAAGAAAGGAAGGAATAAAGAAAGGGAGGGAAGGAAGGAAGGAAGGAAGACAGGGAAGGAATAAAGAAAGGGAAGGAAGGAAAGGAAGGAAGAAAGAAAAGAAAGAAAGAAAGAAAGAAAGAAAGAAAGAAAGAAAGAAAGAAAGAAAGAAAAAGAAAGAAAGAAAGAAAGAAAGGCAAGCATTAAAATATCCAGGTAAGAATAAACATTAATAAAGTTTTTTATAGCTTTGAGTGATATATTGCTGCTTAAGTGAACAGATGATAGGATAAAATCCTTAAGATTTTAGCTCATCTTACAACAAGAAGATCCTTCCCATCTAAAAGCTGAGGGGGAAGAGGCATTTTTACTTCTTTCCATTGATTAAAAGTTTAACCTTTGCAACAAGGCAAACATATGCAAGGTTTGCATATTTTCTGTATTCTCTTTTGAGCTGCCTTATACCGGTCCCTTATTTCAAATAGCTTGTCCCCCCTCTTTGCTGAATGTCAGTATTATTCTGCTGAATTAGACCCAGTCCAGCATTCTCTTCCTTGAAGATCTCACAAGCAGAGTGGCTGGATTGTGTATTCAGAGGCAGACGGCTCTAGTCAAAAGAAGTTCCCATTGACTCCTGGTTGTTCAAAACAAAGTACCTACTGTAGCCTTTGTTAGGTTCATTTCATGTTTTTCTGGGGTAGAACATAAATAAAACGGTCTGTTCTCTCCGTAGCATTCATAACAATGTAAGCTTCAGTCACAGGTTTTTCAATGAGTCCTAAGCATTAAAGCAGGAGTCTTCAAACTTGGCCCTTTTATGACCTGTGGACTTCACTTCCCAGAATTCCTGAGCCAGTCATGCTGGCTCAGGAATTCTGGGAGTTGAAGTCCACAGGTCATAAAAGGGCCAAGTTTGAAGACCCCTGCATTAAAGAATAAGCTCCACTGGATACAGACATATTTACTTCTCAGTGCATTTAGAGTTGCTCTCATGTGTTTATTTAAAAAGCGCAAAACTTCAAATTCTACAATTTCTTGAGTAGAAAAACAAAACATCTAAACCTCCAGATCTCTTCAGGTTAGCAGCCCTTTTGAACAGTCTGCTTTTCATAGCAATAAAGAGCTCCCTTGAGAGAAATTCTGAAAGAAAACTCTTATTTGGCTATCAAATCTCTAGCCTCGCTTCCAGTCTCTTGGCTCCACTGTCCGCTCTGATCGGCTCTCCTTAAATCCCTGCCTTTAACAGGAATTTGTATGGTATGGAAGTCAGGGAGGAATGGCTATATAATCCAAGAACTGCTCTCATTTGAAAAACCCTTCCTGGTAAAACTTCAAAACCTAAGTTTACTTTAATACTTGTGTGAACGTGTACCCTTATATTAGAACACAGATTATAGAGTTGGAAGGGACCTTGGAGGTCTTCTAGTCCAACCCCCTGCTCGAGCAGGGGACCCTGTACCATTTCAGATAAACAATTGTCCAGTCTCTTTTTCAAAGCCTCCGGTGATGGACAGTGGTGGGATTCAAATATGGGAACAACTGGTCCATTCTGGGCCTGGGCAACAAAAAAATTAGCTACCAGTTCTGCCGAAGTGGTGCGAACCGGCTGAATCCCACCACTGGTGATGGAGCACCTATAACTTCTGAAGACAACTTGTTTCATTGGTTGATTGCTCTCACCGTTAAGAAATTTCTCCTTAGTTCTAGGTTGCTTCTCTCTTTGGTTAGTTTCCATCCGTTGTTTCTTGACTTGCCTTTTAGTGCTTTGGAAAATAGTTTGACCCCCTGCGCCTGGCTGCGTCTGATAGTTTCTTTATTCTCCAGATGTAACCGATATGTAGTTATTCCTTCTCCCAAAATCAATTGAAGGAACTCTTAATTCTGAAGGGAGGCAGTGCCACAGTCCTTCAAATAAAAGAATTGTCATCATTTTTTTTCCAAGTTACATTTTCCAGGATGCTTTGTGGGGAAAGTCAAAATGGCATAAAGCTAATATATGGTCTGCAACACCACTAGCGCCACAGAATAATCTCTAAATGAGGGCACCTCCCCCTCCCCCCCCAATCTACTCACCTATCCTCTGAATCTCTTCTGTCTTGTCCTGTAGAAATAAATCAGGGAGTTGTCCCAATCGGATTCATTCCTTTTTATGTTAACTAGATGTTTGCTCCTTGCGGGCCAGCTTTTTCCATGGATCTGACACAACGGAAGGGGTTATGTAAATGTTTATGGTAATAGATATCTTTACAAACAAAGCCAGAAGGAATGCTTCCCTTCGGATTTCATTTTTGATCTTTTCCCCGTGCTCTCCTATTAGGACATGCTTGAACACTAGGGAATCTAAGCACCACCCGTGTCCCCTTGAAGCCACTCAGTGGTTCAATGCAAACGGAGCTCTTTTTAAAAACAAAGGAACGCATTGCAGATGATCTTAGCAAAACACAGACAGAATTTCTGAGGAGAATTGGAAATCAGAAATGTTGGCCTCAGCTTCCTTCATGTATTGGGAACAATATCCCTTCTTGAGAGTTGTGTGCCAACTAGGGGACAAATCTGAAACAAACAGGGAAAGGAGTCTAAGCAAGAAATAGATGGGGTGTCCCAGCTATATTTCTCCATATTTCTCTTTGTCTTATGCCTCCCACATTTTCTCCACTAACTATACACATAAGTGACAGGAAGCAGGACCAGTTGGCTTTGCCTGCTCTCCACTTTTCTTTTGAATGTGCCTTTTCCTTTGCAGTGCCTGCTCATTGGAATGACCTTCCCCACATCCATGTGTGGTTTTATATATATGGTTGGCCCCATCCCTATCCCAGCCAAATTGACTGGAGTACTTGCATGAAAGGATGTAATATAAATTTGGGTTCCTGACGTATTGACATGTTGCTGGTGGATCGTAGATCACCTAGAGCAGTGGTTCTCAACCTGTGGGTCGGGACCCCATTTGGGGTAGAACGACCATTTCACGGGGGTCACCAAACAAGGCTGTCCGCCATTTTTTCCCCTTTTCTTTGGCCACGCCCCTGGCACCCGGTGATGTATAAGTGATTGGGGGTCACCACAACATGGGGAACTGTATTATGGGGTCGCAGCATTAGAAAGGTTGAGATCCACTGACCTAGAGTCACAATTATTCAAGTTGGGAAGCCATATACATTTCTTAAATAAATAAATAAAATTTGGGGGCCATTATTTGCTTGTTAGAATTACAGCTCACTTTTCCTGCAGGCGGTGTGTGCAAGACTCTCCCTCCCATTTTCCCTCATCATCACAATCCTGAGAGACAGATCGGGCTGAAAGGGCCCAAAGTCAGCTAATGAGCTTCCATGGGTGAAGAGTGATTGGAAGTTTGGTTGTCCTTGTTTAATATCTGAATTTACAGGGGTGTAAATGTAACACCTTTCTGCTGTTCTTTAAGTCAGTTGCACCTCATCCTGGGATTTCATTTCCTGGAGCAACATTTAGGCCTGGGAGCATGAGTTAAGAAAAGAGGTAAAGATTTCTTCTCCAGATGATCATGATGGGTTCCCAGGGTTCAACTTAAGAGGCCAGTTGATCTTCCCAACAACCATATTTTTATATGAAGGCTTAAACATGAAATATCTTATGTAAAAATGCAGAAGCCACCCCAGTTACAATGCAAGAGTCAAACAAGTGGCTTTTTTTAGATCAGGTTCTCCAAACTCGGCAACTTTAAGACTGGTGGACTCCTCAACCAGCATAGCTGGGAGTTGAAGTCCACAAGTCTTAAAGTTGCCAAGTTGGGAGACCCCCCTGCTTTAGATGGTGGTCTTCTACTGATAACATTCAACTTGCTTAACTATAGCTGCGCAACTCTTAGGTGTCACTGGGGTTCTTGGATCGTTCTTCAGCATCTCTGCATTTTTAAACATTAATTTTAAATCTATTTCTTAGAACCCTGTGGTGAAAGGACCATTTCCATTACCTGCAAAAGGCCATTTAAGGCTGAAGCAAGAACTTCCAATTCCAGCTGTTTTCCTCCTTCATATGTGTGCAAAGCCCCTCTCTGCTCCCAATCAGGTGGGTGCTTTCTTTTGCCACTCGCTTGCAAACACAGAATGTTTAGTAAGGTGCAAATCAAGTGACTTTGTTTTGTTTCTGAGCCTGGAGTTAGGAGAGGCTGGGAGATTCTTGGCATTCTTCCCATGACTCCCACAGTTCTTCTATTATCCTTTATCAGCACTATTTGATCCAAAGAAGGTTTTTACACAGCTGTGCACCAGATGCCGCTTTTTTCACTGGCAAGTATACCCTTATTCAGAATCGGTAAAAACCATCAAGGTTAGAAAGGATAGAGGCAGCTTTCCAGCCAAAGGGAAAACATGGCCTATAAAGATCTGTGAAGAACATTGACCCATCTGGCTGTTGAATTATAGGTGTCTTGTTCTCTCACCACTGGCAGTGCTTGCTTTTATAGTCCAACAGTATAGGAAGGATTACAGGATTTTCTGTCCTTGCTTCAAGACATAATTATCACTGGGGTGTAAATATATGTCTTAGGGATATTGCTTCTGGCTACTCATAAAGGGTGCACAGGACAGACTTTCGTAGGCCTAGAAGATAAGCAGGTCTCCGAGAATAAGTGTGTCCAGTTTACACTAAAAAAGCTGCATTCTCCAAGATAGCAATAGCAGCAGCACGTAGACTTACCGTATATACCGCCCATTAATGCGTTACAGCCCTCTCTGGACTGTTTACAACAGACATGTCAAACTCGTGATAATAATAATAATAGTAGTAAAATTGGAAGGGACCTTGGAGGTCATCTAGTCCAACCCCCTGCTCAGGCAGGAAACTCTACACCATTTCGGACAAATGGCTGTCCAGTCTCTTCTTAAAAACTTCCAGTGTTGGAGCATTTACTGCTTCTGGAGGCAGGCTGTTCCACTGATTAATTGTTCTCACTGTCAGGAAGTTTCTCCTTAGTTCTAGGTTGCTTTTCTTCTTGATTAGTTTCCACCGGTTGCTTCTTGTCCTGCCTTCAGGTGCTTTGGAAAATAGCTTGATTCCCTCTTCTTTATGGCAGCCTCTGAGATATTGGAATACTGCTATCATGTCACCCCTCGTACTTCTCTTCGTTAAACTAGACATACCCAATTGTAGCAACCATTCCTTATACGTTTTAGCCTTCAGTCCCCTAAATTTCGTGCAATATATCGGGATGGTTTTGCCATTGCTGGGAATGGGGTGGGCGCGGCTTCTGAATGACGCATCTGGCCCATAGGCTGGCAGTTTGACACCCCTGGTTTACAATGTCAGCATATTTTCCCCAGCAGTCCTCCTTTTACCAATTGGTCAATTCAAAATTCCTTAAAAGATGTTAGGGAGAGTTGCTAAAGAGAAAGGATCAATAAACATCTTGCATTCTTCCAGCATGTGAGATGATACTCCAAGGCCAGGCTTCTTTATTGCACACAGCAAGTCGTAACATTCTACTTAGTCAACTCTAAATGCTATTTTGAAAATATTCTATCAAAATCCAAAGCCTGGTTAGTTTTCCTGGTTAGTCAGCCATCCTTCAGGGCTTTGTTAGTTGTGTGCACTGATGCATTTTCGACACCCCCAAACCTAAATGAATCAGTCCACACATGAAATAACCTGAACTGAATCTGAGCTCATATTTTCCATGCATGCAGTGTTTAACGCAGGTGGTTCTGTCTCGGCAGGTGAACGGCATTCGTTTCATTGGTCTCATGAGGGGACAAGTTCTGATAACATGGGATGACAGCTGTGTGAATTCAAAGTAGGTCATTTTCCAGAAATCCACCATTGTTTTCCATTCATTCATTTTCCAGATAAAATATTATTAATTTAATAGCTATTTTCAATTGTGCACAGTGTAACAGTTCTTTGTTAGCAAGCAACTAGCTGGAAAATTTCTTCCCCATCATACTTCTAACCTCTAGTATAGTTACATAAGACTACAGAAACCCGGGACTGATGAATACTTTTCAGCTCATCTGTAGCACTAAAACATCCGAATTGTATAGTATAGGAAGGTGGCTTGTGCTGTTTGGAACATTTGCAGAAAAGACTTGAAATCTGTGCCTCTATCGTATTTTCACCAATAATCCATTTATTAGAGACAAGGCCACCTTCCACAAGTGAAAAAGAAAAAGGGTGAGAGCAGAATCTCTCATAAGAATACAACTAGAACAGTATGGGTAGTCCTCAACTTACAGCCATCCGTTTAGTGACCAAAGATACAATAGTGCTGAATAAAGTGACTTATGATCGGTTTTCACACTTAGGACAGTTGCAGTATCCCCATGATCTCGTGATCAAAATTCGGGGCTTGGCAACTGGCATGTATTTATGTGATCGCCCTTTGTAACCTCTCCAGATGTGCTTCTGACAAGCAAAGTCAACGGAGGAAGCCACATTTGCTTAACAACCACACGATTCACTTAGCACTGCAGTGATTCGCTTAACAACTGTGCCAAAAGGTCACAAAATAAGGCGCAATTCGCTTAACAACTTAAGTGAGTAGTGGAATGGAATAGCAAATGGAAATTTTGGGCTCAAATGTGATTGTAAGTCAAGGGCTGCCTGCATTTCTCAGCCTTGGCAACTTTAAAATGTATGAATTTCAACTCCCAGAATTCCCCAACTATCAAGGCTTGCTGGGGAATTCTGACATTCGAAGTCTACAAATCTTAAAGTTGCCAGGCTTGAGAAACTGTACTAAACAGATGTCCTTGAGACAGTTCAATCTGCCCCCATTTTCCAGCAAAATCAATAGCTTTAATATTTAACATGTATTTATCAATCTCAAAGACAGTTCTTTGTCCAGTGCAGGGATAGGCAACCTTGACTCTTTTATGACTCGTGGACTTCAACTCCCAGAATTCCTGAGCCAGCCATGCTGGCTCAGGAATTCTGGGAGTTGAAGTCCATGAGTCATAAAAGAACCAAGGTTGCCTGCCCCTGGTCCAGTGCATGAGAATGGATATTATTATTATGGATCATCGCACAGTCAGCCAGATGTTCAGACTGGATTTGGCATTTTGTCTACCTATCGAGTCCTTACCCAGGACCTGGGATAGGCAGATGTGGATTTTTGATAGTATTACAGGTATCGTCGCAGGATGGAAGCAGTTCCTAGTAAGGCCGCCTTTTGCAATTGACTAATAGCAAATTTGTCAATGCCAATGGTGTTCAAGTGGTGCTCCAGTTGTTTTGGGATTGCGCCCAAGGAGCCTATGACTATTGGTACTACCCTTGCTTGCTTTTGCCACAGTCTTTCTATTTCTATTTGTAGCTCTTTGTATTTTGTTATCTTCTCCAGTTCTTTCTCGTCTATTCTGCTGTCTCCAGGCACTGCCACGTCCACTATCCAGACTTTTTTGTCTTTCTTATCGACAATTGTTAAGTCTTGGGTGTTATGTTTCAGGTGCTTGTCTGTTTGAATTCTGAAGTCCCAGAGCAGTTTAATTTTATCATTTTCTATGACTTTCTCTATTTTATGATCCCACCAGTTTTTGCTTACAGGCAAATGATATTTTTTGCAGATCTTCCAATGCACCATTGTTGCTACTTTGTCAGGCCGCTGCTTGTAGTCAGTCTGTGCAATCTTCTTGCAACAGCTTACCAAGTGATCCACTGTTTCTTCAGCTTCTTTGCATAGGCGGCACTTACTGTCTGTTGCTGTCTTCTCAATTTTGACTTTATATGCATTTGTCTTTAAGGCTTGGTCTTGTGCAGCCAGAATTAGTCCCTCGGTCTCTTTCTTCAATTTTCCTGCTCTTAGCCCTTGCCAGGTCTTGTTATTATCTGCTTTCCCAGCTATTTTTTTTAATGTATTGGCCATGTAGTGCTTTGTCTTCCCATGCCTCTATTCTGTTCTTCATTTGGTCTTTCTTGTAGGCCAGTTTGGTCTCTCCAGTAGTCAGTAAGCCTTCCTGATATACTAATTTCAGTGCATCATCATTGTTCTTCAGATATTCTTCCAAAGCCACTTTTTCTTCTTCATCTGATGTACTTGTAGCATTCCATTATTATATATTATTACTATTATTATTATCGAGCATCGCACAGTCAGCCAGATGTTCAGACTGGATTTGGCATTTTGTCTACCTATCGAGTCCTTATCCAGGACCTGGAATAGGCAGATGTGGATGTTTGATGGTATTACAGATATCGTCGCAGGATGGAAGCAGTTCCTAATAAGGCCGCCTTTTGCAATTGACTAATAGCGAATTTGTCAATGCCAATTGTGTTCAAGTGGTGCTCCAGTTGTTTTGGGATTGCACCCAAGGAGCCTATGACTATTGGTACTACCCTTGCTTGCTTTTGCCACAGTCTTTCTATTTCTATTTGTAGGTCTTTGTATTTGTTATCTTCTCCAGTTCTTTCTCTTCTATTCTGCTATCTCCAGGCACTGCCACGTCCACTATCCAGACTTTTTTGTCTTTCTTATCGACAATTGTTAAGTCTGGGGTGTTATGTTGCAGGTGCTTGTCTGTTTGAATTCTGAAGTCCCAGAGCAGTTTAATTTTATCATTTTCTATGACTTTCTCTATTTTATGATCCCACCAGTTTTTGCTTACAGGCAAATGATATTTTTTGCAGATCTTCCAATGCACCATTGTTGCTACTTTGTCATGCCGCTGCTTGTAATCAGTTTGTGCAATCTTCTTGCAACAGCTTACCAAGTGGTCCACTGTTTCTTCAGCTTCTTTGCATAGGCGGCACTTACTGTCTGTTGCTGTCTTCTCAATTTTGACTTGTATGCATTTGTCCTTAAGGCTTGGTCTTGTGCAGCCAGAATTAGTCCCTCGGTCTCTTTCTTCAATTTTCCTGCTCTTAGCCATTGCCAGGTTTTATTATTATCTGCTTTCCCAGCTATTTTTTTCATGTATTGGCCATGTAGTGCTTTGTCTTCCCATGCCTCTATTCTGTTCTTCATTTGGTCTTTCTTGTAGGCCAGTTTGGTCTCTCCAGTAGTTAGTAAGCCTTCCTGATATACTAATTTCAGTGCATCTTCATCATTATTCTTCAGATATTCTTCCAAAGCCATTTTTTCTTCTTCAACCATCTGATGTACTTGTAGCATTCCACGCCCACCTATTTGCCTTGGTAGATAAAGTCTATCAATGTCACTGCGTGGATGAAGGGCATGATTCATTGTCATTATTTTTCTGGTCTGCCTATCCATTGCTTTTAGTTCTGCTTGAGTCCAGTCCACTATTCCAGCTGTGTACCTAATGACTGGGATTGCCCAGGTGTTGATTGCCTTTATGGTATTTCCTCCATTGAGTTTGGATTTTAAGATCTTCTTCACTCTCTTGATGTATTCACCTCTAATCTTTTTCTTGACTTCAGTGTGCTTGATGTTGTCAGCTTGAAGGATACCCAAGTATTTGTAGTACTCTTCCTCATCCAGACTCTTAATGTTATTTTCGTGGGGCATCTTGATTCCTTCAGTTTTCACTATTTTTCCTTGTTTGATAGTAAGTGTGGCACATTTGTCCAAGCCAAACTCCATTACAATATCTTGGCTATATATACGGACAGTGTTGAGCAGCGATTCTATTTCAGATGATGTTTTTCCATACAGCTTCAGATCATCCATGTAAAGGAGGTGGGATAGTCTGGCAGATGTTTTTGATGTTTGATAGCCATGTCCTGAGTTATTCAGTATTGTTGACAGAGGAAACAGTGCAATAACAAATAGTAATGGTGATAATGAATCTCCTTGAAATATCCCTCTCTTGATATTAACCTCTCCCAGCTTCTCACCATTGATCTGCAACTGTGTCTTCCATTGTGCCATCGATCTTTGCACAAATTTTCTGATGTTTCTACTGACTCCTGTTATTTCTAGGCACTTGATTATCCAATCATGTGGCAGAGAGTCAAATGCCTTTTTGTAGTCAATCCATGCCAACATTCAGGTTGGTCTTCCTTCTCTTGCAGTTTTCCAAGATCATTTTGTCTATTAGGAGTTGATCTTTTGTTCCTCTGCTGTTGGGGCGGTTTCCTTTCTGCTCAGGTGGAAAGAGATTGTATTATTATTATTATTATTATTATTATTATTATTATTATTATTATTATTATTATTGATCATCACACAGTCAGCCAGATGTTCAGAATAGATTTGGCATTTTGTCTACCTATCGAGTCCTTACCCAGGACCTGGGATAGGCAGATGTGGATGTTTGATGGTATTACAGATATCGTCGCAGGATGGAAGCAGTTCCTAGTAAGGCTGCCTTTTGCAATTGACTAATGGCGAATTTGTCAATGCCAGTGGTGTTCAAGTGGTGCTCCTGTTGTTGTTGTTGTTATTATTATTATTATTTTGCAATGTGGTGCTGTACTATGCAGAGTCCTGTTCTTACAATGACATACTCAGCTATTGGATTCCTCACCTCTCCCCCTCTTATTGCTTCAACCTCCAACTTCTCTTTTCCTGGAAACTCCTTTACTCTGTGGAAAAAAATAAAAATAACCCTGTAACCCTTGTGACATATATGCATTTGTGTTCTCACACAGATGTTTGAAAAAATTTGAAGTGATGTTTTCAGTGGATGGGAAAGAGTATCACCAAATCAGTGTCAAGGACAGTATATTTACAATGTTAATCTACAGCCCAGGTAAAAAAACACTTCCTGCATTTTTAAAGGTACAGCGAAGGCAACTTCAGTTTAAAACCTCAAGCATGCCTTTGGAATTTCGTTGGAAACTACAATTCTTACTAAAATTATTTACAATGTTATTTATTGTTAGCACTGTATTTCATGTTAAAACTATAGTCATTAATACGGTATAAATTTGTTGCTTTTGGAAAGGAAGCTTTCGTTTTAAGCCTTTTTCTGAATTAGGAAAATAAGTGGGAAATAGTTTATTTTCAAAAAGTGTCTTTAAGATCTTTCCCAAAATTGGGTTGCAGGATTTGCTGACCTAAGCATTCCTCTGATCCTTATTTAGTGAAATTGTAATGACACCTTCATTGCCATGCATAATGTTTTGAAGCCTCCATAGGCAGTTTCTGGAAGGAAACATTTTTAAAAGGCGAAATTCAAGAAAGACAATGAACATATGCATAAAAAAAAGTATCTTCTTGTAAGTGCTTTATGTCAAATCTGCAACTTGGTTTTTGAACTGAAGGGAGGATTACTAAATATTTCTTCAGGATATCTTCTGGAGGACAATTTCTTGAATTTAAAGTGGGGAGCCTGCAGTCCTTGCCATCCACAATTTTCAAATCTCAGATATCCTATAGTTGAGCTTTGATGAATGGGGCCTGCCCGCTTCTTGAAAAAAAAGGATCCTACAGAGGAAATATAGCCCCACCTATAATTAATACATAGCCCCAACATATTTCCCTACTCCAGTTTGAAAGTCTCTTCAATTGCAGTGCTTTTTTTGTATATATATAAAAAAAGGTGCCGGGACACACACATGTCATACAGCCCGCCTTGCCTACCCTACAAGATTCCATTCAAAAAAGGTGCTGGAACTCCGTTCTGAGCGTTCTATGACAAAAAAAAGCCCTGTTCAGTTGTATTCTGTTTCCAAAATTTTCCATTGATAACAAGTTTTCTTCATTATCTTTTAATGCAGAAAATGATATTTAAAATATAAATGGATAGATATTGATTTCAGGAACACGATAAGAAGATTTGCAATTTCAGTTATAACTGAATATTCTTAATGTGAATTAAATTGAATGATCAGTCACAATTGTGTTTACAGAAATATTTTGAGAATATCTCATAAAGAAATTAAAATGTCACAATTTCTCTATTTGTTGGGTTTTCTTTACAGGAACAACAGTCGTGGGTTATTACAAAGTCCGTGCTGTGGATTACTGGGACCGGCCAGGTCCATTTTCTGTGCCTGTGTTTTACAGAGAACCATCTTAAAAAGAAGGAAAAAAAATCTTCATCAGAAGTTATATAATTAAAAATGCAAGTTGCAGTTCGCTTTTCATTACAGGCAAACCATAACCCTTAAAAGGATGGTTTTGTTGTTCTTACCAAAATCTTCTCTTTTCATTGGTTTAGCCTTCTATATTCTTCCTCCACCAATAATATGGAAAGACTCTTCTTTTCCAGATCATTTTTAAGCACTATTCTGGAATCACACCCATGAAATCATGATAACAAAGTAGAACAGTGCTGAACTCTATTTTCTTCCCTAGATTGCTATAGTTGGCAACGAGAACATCCATTTATTACCTGAATTGAAATAATGGTAATTTCAAGCTGCAGAATCTGGATTGCATGAAAACAAGATGGATTTGTTAACCTTTTCTTAAAGCTACACACTTAAGTGTACACTGTTTAGATTTCCAGTCACAATATCATGATCCAGGGATCTCCAATCCCTGGTCTGTGGGCTGGTGCCGGCCCGTGGCCTGTTGGGAACTGAGCTGCGCAAGCATCAGGTGAGTGTGAAGTTGCATTTGTGGAAGTAACACGCACATGAAACCATCCCCTCCCCTCCCCCACTGCCGCCACTGCCAGTCCACAAAACCAGAAAGGTTGGGGACCGCTGTCATAGTCGGTTCATAGAGAACATGAGCACTCATTTCCATAATTCAGTTCAGCTCAAAGAAGATCTCTTTTCTTTTTTTTCTTTTTTTTGTGATTGTAAGGAAGCTAATCTTTACTGACAAAGTCTTTAAAACCACTTGTTTTGAAAATATCAGTGCAATATTTTCATAATATCAACTTAATCTTGGTCTTGGGGCAGGAAATTAAACCGCTAATGTTATATTTTTTGATTCTGGTTTTCTTGAAAAAAGCCACATAGATATGGTACAAGCATGCCAGGCCTTTAAAGAAACAGATAGTTCTTGTTACACTGAAAAGAAGCCACCAAGAGTCTGGATTTCAGCCGATCAGCTTCTAGTTCTTGAAAAAACAAATCATCATCATCATGTGTGATCATGTCCTGCAGCTCTTTAATCTCTTTCTCCATCTTGGATCTCAGTTCACGTTTCACTTTACTTAATGTCTGGACATGTGCTTGCTCTCTGGTTTGGATTTCTCGACGTTCTTCTGAAATGGCTTCAGCCAGCATTGCAAACTGATCTTTATAATAGTTTCCCATGGATTGCAGTTCAACTTGATACTACCTCTTTTGTTCAGCATGTTTTTCCTTGGCATACGACCTCAACTCAAGGAATCTTTGTTTCTGAATTTCCAAGGCTTCTTCAAACAGTTAAGAAGATCTCTTTCTTGACCTTCTACTCAAGCCTTGGAATAAGGAAGCTTCTTCTGCCTCAATCCACTTCATTCTTTTCTTCAAACTTTGCATCATTCAAACACATCACGCACTCGCTTTTTTTGCAGCCTTGGGAAGGAAGCAGAAGGAAACCTTCCAAAGAGTGGAAGGCAGCAGAAGCGATAAATAGCCCAGCTTGAATACTCGTGTAAGGAGAAACGTCCCTGTGAAGCTTTTATTAAACAAGGATAATTTCAGCACAGGGATTGTGTATTTTCAATAAATATTTATTTATCTGAAAAAAAGAGTTTACTTAGAGATGGATGAGGTAACATTATTCTGATTTCCTGTCAGAATATTTAAGTACGCCTTCTTAAAAAAATGTATGCCATTCCAATACACAAGGTGTGTTTAAAAAAAAAGTCAAAATGATGGCAACAATAATGCGATCAAAGCACCTCTTTTGCGTGTAGATTGCAGAGCTTTGATTGCACTGTAATCACCATTAAATTGACATTTTTGACCATACCCTGTGGATCCCTGATGCAGTAATGGCTGCCCTCTTGGGTTTCTGATCACATCCTTGAATGTTCTTGAATTGTTCTCAGCATTGTTAGCTTTATAGTTTAAGAATCTTCAACTGGGCTAAAAATATGAATAGCTCTGTGTTGGGACATAAGCAAGGTGAAAAGTTTGAATCAGGCATTCTCAATTCAAATATCACCTCAGTTACAAGCCTATTAGGTTTTCTTAGGTGACTCACTTCTAAATGTTCGTAAAGATTGCCAGTTCTTAAAACACACACACACACACACAAATGAGAAAAAGTTAGCAATTTTCTGGGTCATGGTGGGAAAGAAAAGATAGAGACCAGAACTAAAAGCATCAGAGCCCAATACATTTTTAAAAAATCTTTGAAAATGTTAAGAGGAAACAAGGGCACTAAATTTTTTGCACATGCCCAAACACACATTTTGAATGTCCAGAAATAAGCCTTGGTGGTGCAGTGGTTAGAATTCAGCATTGCAGGCTAACTCTGCCCATTGCCAGGAGTTCGAGCCTGACCGGCTCAAAGTTGACTCCATCTTCCATCCTTCTGAGATTGGTCAAATGAGGACCCAGATTATTGGGAGGCAATGTGATGACTCTGTAAACCCCTCAGAGAGTGCTGTAAAACACCATGAAGTGGTATATAAGTCTAAGTATTATTCCTAGTGTTATAATCTTTGCCTTCATTGGCCAAAAGGTCTTTCATTTGATTGTAGGAATTCAAATGTTCAGCTTTGATACTGAATGTATATTTTACTTAAATAAATATTTTCTATAAAAAAACAAAATTGTGCATATATATCTATATGGGAATAATTAGGGATCCACATAGCCTGGGCACGTTTTAGTCATGTGGAAGTTACATCTACCGGTAATTCCACTTCAGGCATGCTTGCTATACACAGAGTTTCAACCTGTTCCTGCAGTGACAAGTACACAATCTTGCTTTGCATTTTACATCAGTATCATTGCAAGCAATGTGAAATGATCGAGGAAGTGTTTACAGGGAAGTGGAGGTTTCTGTACAACCACTAATAGTTGTTCATAGGAATGCGGTCCTTTCCATTGCTTCTCAGGCAGCCTCAGAAGGAGTTCATTTGGTGAATACAAAATAACCAAACAGTTTATATATCTGAAATCATCACTGGTTAAATAAGCCAACCCATCTGCTTCACTTCCTCATGTATGAGTACAAGCTCAGTGTTTTTCATTGGAGAACAGTTTATATATTTAGGGCAGGGGTCCCCAATCCCCGGTGTGGGCCAGCATTGGGCTGCGGCATGCCAGAAACTCTAGGATCCAGGCAGCATGTGAAACCACGCCCCCTCCGGGCCACGGAAAAAAACCTCTCTCCGTGGAACTGGTCCCTGATAGCCAAAAATTTGGGGGCTGCTAATTTAGGGGACAGTCATTAAGTAATTAACAATTCCATAAGTGTGCAACAGGCTAGACATTATGAAAACCTACCCCAATGAACTGAATATCTTGAGTCTTCCCCTTCTCTGAGATGGCTGATTTGGTGTGTTTCTCATCTTGCCTACCAGTGCTATGCAAGCTATTCATAGGAAAACGGGTAACTATTATGACTATTAAAATTATTTAATGATCTCTCCTAAAGCTACAGTTGTAAATTTAGTCAGAAGGAGAAAAAAGGCATTTCTGTTGATAAGACTGGTTAGCTAATGTCATTCATGCAATGGGCATGAGTGTGGGCAGACTTGGGAAGTCAATAGAGGAAGGGGGTGGGCCTGGCACGCTATGGTCCATGGAGGTGTGAAATTTGGATATGACTTAGCAACTAAGCAACAATAAAAATTGACAAGGAAGATTCACAATGAGGTTTATTCATTTAAATGGATTCTTATCCTTATTCATACCAATGCTCATTCTTACATAGTTATAAATTACATTTCAGTTTATAAAGATAATCACTTTGACCATTTTATCCATACTTCCAAGACACTATACCAATAGGAATTGAAGAAAATGTTCCAAGGAATAAAGAGAAGGAGAGACTGCCTAATCTAAATGAGACACACTTTGACATCATCCATAAACTACGTCCTGCATATGTAGGAGCTGAAATGGTTAATCTTTGAATAACAGGAATTTGGAAATGATCATAGGGAAGATAGACTTCTGAGGATATTTAAGCATGGGCTAGTTAATGGATGCAATGTCCCTTTGGATCAACATCCAAAAACAACCTCCATAGCTCAAACTTATAAAATAAATGTCTCTAATGCGAGCAAATTTTCTGATAGTTTAATTGCCAGCACTGAGTCCTACTGAGAAATCTGGGATGAGCCAGGATGCCAGATAATTTGTTAAATGGTTAGACTAGCGCATTAAGGAGTAAAGCTGAAGCCAGGATTAAGGAACCATCAAGAGCTCAGGAAAACTTCATCTGTTGAATAAAACACTCCTATGAGAAAACCATGTTGTTCTCTTTCCTTAGTAAGCAGGAAAGATGGCCTGCAGGATCTTTATGGAGAAGATTCCTCAATTGTATAATTCTCCACATGGGACAATCAAACATGGATCTAGAAGATTCTGGCAACAGGTTATTGGAGATTGTCCATCTTGGATGGAACTATAAAGAACAGTGGAGGCCCCATAGAAAGTCTCCTTTTGCAATATCTAGGTCAGGGGTCTTCAAACTTGGCCCTTTTATGACTTGTGGACTTCAACTCCCAGAATTCCTCAGCCAGCATGCCTGGCTGAAAAATTATGGGAGTTGAAATCCACAAGTCATAAAAGGGCCAAGTTTGAAGACCCCTGATCTAGGTCAATGTATGCTGTGAACTACAATTTTCAAATAGTTTGTCCTTCCATACATAACTTGTGTATAACCCAAAGGTGCTTTCAAAAGGCAACTGGACTTTCTTGTTTTGCTCGAAAAAAGTCCAGTTGCCTTTTGGAAGAAAGCACCTTTGGGACAACCATGATTTAGATTATTGACATCTTGCGTATAACTGATGCTTCTGTATTTATATTAAAAGTCAAGAATTGAAATTAATGCAGGACAGGGAAAACTTGGCATAGAATTTTGATAAAGTTTGCAGAAGGAAAATTACATTCATAAGACCTGTATCTTTTGCTGAAGAATTCAGCGCCATAACAGAGATGAATATAGGTAAATTAAAAGATAATTGAAAAAAAACCCTCTAGTTTTTAAACTGATGCATCACTTTGGTTCTTAAGAGTTCATACAAGAAGTAATGTGCTGTACCCCTGGGTCAGTTTTCTTTTAAAAATCTAAATACCAGAAGCCAGCATTTAAATGTGCTTTGAAAAAAAAATGTTTCAAAGAATTTGTGATTGAAAGAGTGTTTGAGATGTCAACATTAGGCCTTTACTCCATCTCTGGATTGGTGGAGTTTTGTTTTAACAAGCCCCTGTGGAGACAAACAAAATAAACACCGTTTAGTGCCCGTAATGTAACAAAAAGTTGCTGAGAACATTTATTTATTTTATACCTGGCAATTCCACAAGACATTTTTTACATTTCTTACTTCTATGTATAGGAGAATCAGTAAATACTACAGCTGGGGTCAGGCCATAAAATTAACTGGCAGATTTTAATTTTAAGGCAGATTCAGTTTTATTTAAGGGATTCATTGCTACAAAAAATGATTGCAATTTCTAGCCTGAGGCAGCTTTTAAAAACTTTTTAAAAATTCACAACTGTGGTTGAACTAAATGTGGAAGCCTTTCTATATGTGTTCTTCGCAGAAGCATTTTTGTCATTTGCTGTTGGGGACTTTGGCTGAATCATCACGCTATGGTGTGGTTTATTTAACCATAATTTATTAAACCACTCTTTCTTAGATCCTATTATGGTTTATTAAATGTTTCAGCTAGGTTTACACAACATGCTAAGCCAAACCAATTAAACAATATTATGAGGGGTCTTTGGTGCTCTCTGAGCTTGGTTGCTGTCTTTTAGACGTTTCATTATCCAACTAGGTAACATTATCAGTGCTGACATTATGGTTTGGTGCAATGTATAAACCAGATCACTATCCTGAATTGTATTGATCACGCACCGGGAATTCTCATGATCTTAGAATCTGAGGCTAAAGCTAGCACTGCCTAGATTGAAACAGCTTTTCCACATTCTTCCTTTCCATAGACAATACCAAATTCTATCTTCTGATAGGTCAATGCCTCATGTTGCCCCACCGAAGTCAAATAGAGCAATAGGATCTTTCCACATACCTGACTGTAGCACAGGCTGGAACAGGCCAGTCATGCAGATTTCCTCCTGCTTCTGCTGCACAATTTTCTGAATGGCAGGGGAAAGACCCCGAGGGTTGCGGGAGAAAATGATGGCATAGCCATCATCACAGGACCCATCCTCCTTCAGAGTGCGGCAGGCATAGGTGATAGCATAGTTATCATAATCAGTGTCAATCACCCAGTAATTATCACCTGGAATACAAAATCCAGTGTAGATAACGAGTTCCAATAACTATTGATAGTATCAGAAATAAGAGGATCAATATTAATTCATGGACCCCATGTCCTTCCTGCTTGTTTTTTGTTCACACACAAAAAAATAATACAGTACTTCCTGAGAGTGTAGGGCATGGGTCCCCAACCTCTGGCCTGTGGACCAACACCTGCCCGCAGCATGCCAGAAACCGGGCTGTGAAAATAAGCAAAGCCCCATCCATGGGATGCAGGCAGCACAGGAAACCACGCCCCCTCCGGTCCGCAGGAAAAAAACTCCACGGAACCGGTCCCTGGTGCCCAAAAGGTTGAAGGCTGCTGGCATATACATTGAAAAGACAAAGATAACAACTGAATATCCAGATTTGTCATTTGAAGGATTAATATCTTAATGCCTTCAAGGTGTTGCTCATCATTCTTAACAAAGGTAGAAAGCAGCACAAAGGAGAGAGGATAAAGAAACAGGATGACATAACTTTTCTTTCCAGAAAATATAACAGTGTAGGTTTTCCCACCGTTGCTAAGACATTTTTCAAGTCATGATGCCCGCCATTTGAAATACACTCTAAAAGCAGGGTTTCCAAAACTTGGCAACTTTAAAATGCGGAGGCCAGCCGGGAGCCAATGTACAATTTTGTGGTGGCCATCTATGCTGAAACGTATTCAGTCTTAGCTCCATAAGCCCCCCCACCTGCATGGCCTGAAAGGAACAGTGAGGCTCCTCCAGTGGACCATGCCTTGGCACTTGCCCTGGTCCCACCCCTTCTGCCAGAGACCCTCAGATCTGTCCCACTCCTGCCAAGGCCTCACAAGCACCCTTGATGCGAACGATGTAGAGCTGGTCACACCCATCCAGTAGGCCACACCCACTCCATCCATGCCCACCCAGTAGGCCGCACCCACCCTGGCCACACAGACCCGGCCCCCTGAGGGCAACCGCAATGCTGATGCGGCCCTCATTGAAATTGAGTTTGACATCCCTGGTATAAACTAATCTCAGAGAAAGAAGTAAATTTGTAATTGTACTAATAACTACTGTAAATTGGAAACAGCTCCATGATACCTTTTTTTCTTTTCTATTTTTCTTTCACTTTCTTTCTTTCACTGTTAGCTTTCTCTTTGATTTCTCCTTTTTCTTCCTTACTTTATACCAGTTTGTACTAGTTTCTAACTTCACTTTTAAAAGTTTTAATGTGTGTGTGTGTTTGTATGTCTTGAGTGTTTTTTTTTAATACACCCTGTCGGCCCAAATATGGGAGGAAGACATCTCCCCCCCCTTAACTCTTTGTTATATATAAAACTGAAAAAAAAACTGACCTCCACTTGACAAATAGCTTGCCAGTCCTTGATAATTCATGAACATCTTGGCTGGTGTGGTGGGATCAGGCACCGAATATTGAGCAGCCATATCAGCACAGATCATCCAGAATCTGAAACAGAAATGAATTTTTAAAAAAAATTATATGTAACTAATGTTTTGTTCTTTTGCTCTGGAATATATTGTGCTTACATCCTGTTTATAACAATAAATCCATATTGACTGGCGAATTCTGGGAGTTGAAGTCCACACATCTTAAACTTGCTGAGCTTGAAAAACACTGATTTATTAAGATGCTAGCTCAAAGCCATGCCAAGTGCAATAGTTCCTCCTTTTTGTTCACGCGACATGTACAACAAACCTCCGGTCCGCATTTGCACAAAAGTGCTACATGTTGCACCTTTTAAACTTGGTTGGCATTTTTGTGACTTGGTACGATGCACAAACCTAGGTCGCTCTGTGATGTTCTGGTTTGTTATATTGTGTACATTCAGGAAGCACTGAAATGAATCAGTGCACTTGTTAAATTAGTAACACAGATGTTAGATGAATCTGTCTTCCCTATTGACTTTGCTTGCCAGAAGGTTGCAAAAGATGATCACATGACCCCCAGGACACTGGAACTGTCATAAATATGCCAGGTATCTTGATTTTGATCACAGAACCATGGGGATGTTGCAACAATCATAAGTGTGAAAAATGGTTCATAAGTCACTTTTTTCAGTGCCGTTTTAAAACTGTATGGTCACTAAATGGACTGAAATGACACATACTAATCCATGGGTCTTCAAACTTGGCCCTTTTATGACTTGTGGACTTCAACTCCCAGAATTCCTCAGCCAGGCACGCTGGCTGAGGAATTCTGGGAGTTGAAGTCCACAAGTCATAAAAGGGCCAAGTTTGAAGACCCCTGTACTAATCACTGCTAGGCGATCTAAACATACAGTGTAATATTCAGCAAAGGCAAGTTGGTGCCCTCTATAACCTTTGGATTACAATTCCCAACATTGTTGATGGTTAACTCTGCAGTTTGAAGACTTCACTAACCAAATCATCTTGAAAACCTCATTTTACTTATTTGCAGTCTTCACAATGCCTGAATTCACGTATCATGTGGTTAAGGCACCAGGAAGAAAACAGGAGACCTATTTCCCCCCCCCCCCCGAGGCGTGAAAGCCTCCTGGATGTCTTTGGGCCAGTCACTCTTTCTCCACCCCTCACAGGTTATTGTGGGAAACAGAGAAAACGGAAGGAGTACCAGGCCTATTTGTCACCTTGAGTTATTTATAAAAATAATAAATGCAGGATAGGAATCCAGTAAATAAATAAATAATAACATAGGTTGTTTGGCTTGGCCCTATCATGCTGGGCAAAACCGGTCATTGTGATTTGTGAGTCATGGGCTACATTTGTGCAAACTCAGCAAATTCTGTTTCATTCAACGAAACATGGTTATATGAGTCAGGGCTTCCACTTCGTGACTTCCACATCATAGTCGCTGGGCATCTTGATCACAAAAACGTAATTCTGTATAAAACGAACAAGTGCCCAATGATACACAGAAACACTAGTGAGCCATATGCAGCTGCGACTTACCCAAAAAGCTTCATTCTGCCTTTGGAAGATGCAGTCATAGTCCCGTCCTCCTCAATAGTGTATTCAGCTGAGATATTATCCTGTAGAAACAAACCTTCTGGGTCTTTCTTGGCCAATGCGTACCATTTACCTGCATACTAAAATACAAAAAATAAATATGTAAGAATACAAGGACAGTGAGTGCATCTTCATGATGAACACTACACAAGACATGATTACAAGCTAAAGTATTAATTGGATCTGATGGAGAGATGGAGGTACTCTTGCAAACCGATTGCCTATACGTCCTTAATTTAAACACAGATATTAAACAATTGTCTAATTTTGGATACAGTGAAACCTACCGGTAATACCATCTCCTGAATCTGTCTAAATAGTTGGATGTTTGGTCTAGTGAGGGGTAGGCAACTTTGGCTCTTTTATGACTCGTGGACTTCAACTCCCAGAATTCCTGAGCCAGCCATGCTGAGGAGAAAGGGAGAGGTTTCCAATCCGAGCCTTGCTAACTCAGGAATTCTGGGAGTTGAAGTCCACGAGTCATAAAAGAGCCAAGGTCTATTCCTGGTCTAGTGATTAAGGTGTCAGGCTAGAGACCAGGAGACTGAATTCCACTCCCACCTCAGCATACAAACCAGCTGGGTGACTTTGAGCTAGCCATTCTCTCTCAGCCCAACTCACCTCCCAGAATTGTTGTTGTGGAGACAATAGGAGGAGAAAGGATATTAGGTTTGTTTGCTGCCTTGAGTTACTGAAAGCTATTCAAACAGAAGAATCAATTAATAATCTATTTCTTGCAGTAAAAAAGTGGTCATTTTCACTGTTGTTTGTGAGGGCAATATTAGGTAGCTATTTGCAAGATGACACATTCAGTTGTACAATTAAGAAAATCTTTGAGGTAAAGGGCCAGTTAATAATGGAACCAAACTGTTGGAGGAATACAGTTCTTGTTTTTCTCATGGGAGGTCATCCAGCAGAGGCTGTATTGGGAAATTTGTGCCCTTATAGATGTATTGAATTATTTCTCCCATCATCCCTCACTATTGGCATATGGGTTGGGGCTGCTGAGAGTATAATTCAGCAAGAACTGGACAGATACAGATACCAATCTGCCATTTATCTACATGAGACACACTGTCCCAGTGTTTTGAATTCAGTGGCCCCAACCCCCCCTCTACCTCTTTGGTTCTGCCTGGAAGAGCCTCAGAGTTGGAAGCTAGGAAACTAAATTGATCAGGCATACTAAGAACTTGAATAAGAACCACCAAGAAATATAAAGAGTGTGGAATAGACTAGGAAGTTCATCTGGGTCCAGCTAACCAAGGAACCATCTCACCCCAATAGGACTGGCCTGCAGAAAGTGTATGCTGTGGACCTCATCAGTCAAGGAATTTTGACTGATGGATCCAGGAGAAGAACCTTTTTGACCCTGGCTCCTGCCCTTTGGAACATTGTACTCCCCTCCACCCAAGTGAGATCCATATTCACCCTTCTGTAAGGGCCTGAAGACCTGGCTCTGCCAGATGGCCTGGGGCCCCAACAGGAGTGCATTACACTGGAGGTGGTTGATGGTTTAAGAGAAAACCTCACCTCTCCCCAGGTGCCTCACGCTCCCTTCCTCCCCAACGTTCAATTGTAAATTATTATAGTTACTTATTGTGTAATGTTTTACTGACTTTTAATGTTTGTAAGCCACCCAGTGTTGCCTCTAGGCAGCAAAAAATCATGAAGGAATGGAATGGAATGGAACGGAACAGAACGGAACAGAATGGAATGGAAGAACTAAAAGTTTTCAAAAAAACAACACAACCAATCAAGAGAAAGTAATGTGATACTGCTCTCATATTATTGTCATAAAAACCAATATGGACCTGACTCCTATGAAATCAGCAAGAGTAGAGTTAGATTTGGAGGAGATTTAGGTTGTTTTATGTGCCTTGGTGATCACTCTCCTTCCTAAGTTAGCTACAGCAGAGGCATGAAACAGATACAGCAAACCATTCCCCCGCCCCACACCATATAATGTACAGTATATGTATCTCCTAAGACGAAACAAAGGGGAATAAGACTGATTTGCAAGTAGGTTCCCAGGAGCACAGTAAGTCAGTAAACCCTGACTCTCTGGTAAGAATGACACATTTTATAAACCAAGTCCAGTTCATGTGCATGAAGATATGCAGACTTCAACTAATGACCTTAATTCAAACCACATGCTCTTTACTCTTGATATTAGAAAGGGTTCATAATTACCCGTTTGGGGTCAAAGTCTTCCTTCACAGAGAATGAGTCTACCACACATGAAGTCTGCCCCATGCAATCATTAATCATGAAGATCAGGGTCATCAGGATGGTGTAGTGATTGTATTTCATTCTGTAAAGCAACACAATTCAGCCCAGATTTAAAAAAAAGAACAGCTATATCCACTGTAATGTCTTGTTTTTATTTACTTGGTTACCTGCATTCATCTACTAGTACTTAACTACAAAGATTCTTCCCTTGCTTTGAGTTCAAAGTCAGGGTGTAATTCCTACAGGTAACCTCTGCAAGATACTGTCACAAGTGGATAAACTGGAGTTGAATCTGAGGTCAAGACACAGAACAAGATGAACACTTAGCAGCCCACTCAAAAGTCAAATAATTAGATGACTAATTCCTAACTTCACGTAGCATCATACTTTTTTTTGAAGTTTTTTTTAGAAAAAGAGGTGAAATAGCTTCCATAACACTCTTCTGATAAATGCCATAGTTCCTTAGGAACAGTTCCACCCTGAACCACAATTGTTCTTACCTCAGCCAACCTCAAAATACTGCGATTCCCCATATGATCCAGTTAATGAATCTTCCAGCTGACCAATGGGAGAACATTTAAAAAAGCACCCTGTATGCCACCCCACCACACTTTTGTTTGCTTATTTGGTATTTTGTAAAAAAAAAAAAAATCTCAGTTGATAAAACTCAGGAGAGTTGTCAAAGGACTATCTCTCTGTTCACAATTTTTAAAAAGTGACAAATGTTCGGATGAGAACAAGAAGGTGTGTTACTACTACAGCTGAATCTCTTTGGTAGTGTTTATCAACCTCAGCAACATTAAGATATGTGGACTTCAACTCCCAGAATTCCCCAGCCAGCCATGTTAGCTGGGGAAATCTGAGAGTTGAAGCCCACACATCTTAAAGTTGTGGGAGTGAGAAACACTGCTGTATGTGGTGTGGAAAGAGCTAAGAAGTTGAAATAACTGCCAGTGGGAATGGTTTGCTCCCAAATTTTGTAGAATTCAGCATTTACACTGGAAAACCAGGCCTTCAGCATCTTAGCATGCAACATCATCATGGACTCAAAAAAGCCACAGCAGTGGAAACACGATGTGCAGAATTGTCCTAGATTTTACTGAACCAAACTCTGACTTGTTTATATCTATTATGAAATATCTGCAAAGTGATAAATGATTATGGGTGGCAGACCCTGCCTCTCCTAAACTGTATCAGTGAGCTATAGCTGAGGAAGGTAAGGAAACATTTGTTTCCTTTCATGGAGAAAAATGGAGTAGTATTCTTTTTTCCTTAAATCAAATTGTGGAAATGTGCTACATCAGTTTTTGGCTGTGATAACAATTACATAATTTTAGACCTTTAGATCTTTTGCAGTTAGATGCTAGGCTTCTTTTTAAGCTTGTAATAAAGGATAAGCAAAGGCGGGAAAAGCATACTTAATAGTATATATGTCTAGGTGACTCCCTCTGAACACTATAATTTTTAAAAACAATAGGAAGAAAAAAATGCTGTGGAAAGCAGCATCTGCCCTTAGAGATCTCATATTCATGTCGTGCAGGAAGCTGGGCCTGTTTCAGGCACAAAGAATCATGAGCACATGTTGAGTTTCAGTTAAGCTGATTTATTGCTCAGGTCTATTGTATGCACAAGAATGGAGTCAACTAATGGTTAATTAGCACTAGATAAGAATTAGTGGAATTCAAGAGGGGTTCAGCTTAGACCAGTGGTTCTCAACATTTTTAATGCCGCGACCCCCAACCGGTCGTAAGTCGAGGACTACTCAACTGGTGCAGCACTGTTTGCAGAATGGGACTTTTGGCAGGCTCAGCAGGGCAGAGACAGCCTGGACAATTCCTATTGGCTTTTGAAAGCCAATAGAATTAGACTCTATTCAAGAGAGTCTATTCTATTGGCTTTCAAAAGCCAATAGAATAAAAGGGAGTAGCACAGCTAAGGAAAAGGGGGAAATAATGGCCGACTGCGTTGTTTGGCGACCCCCATGAAATGGTTGTTCGACCCCAAATGGGGTCCCGACCCACAGGTTGAGACCATTGGTTTAGACCCTTGTGGGAATGGTAAGGACTCAGGCTGATTCCTCTCTTGACTCCATCCCAGGCTCTGCTTTTGTACATCGTGCCTGCTGCTGTCCCTTCCTCCAATCTCTCTAGCTCACATTTTCAAAACATTTTTGGAAAAGTTGCCCTTGACTTTTAAAGGCGCATGATGATAATAACCACAATCTTCCCACCCACACCCCCCCCCCCAAAAAGGCAAAGTCATCACCAAATTCTGGCTGTGAGGACAAATGCTAGATTTCATTTAATATGATCTAAAGAGAAATTAGAGTGTAATTAAACCAAAACCATATTAGCTCAATTAATATGATTAATCATTAATAATTCTCCATGTATGTAATAATGTCCCCCGTGGGCCACTTTCAACATTCTAACTTGGCAGCAACTTTCAGGGGGTAGGCGGTATGTTCTTCTGGTTATTTAGCTCAGCTAGATTGCAAGAACTACGATGAAAATGATTGAGGGCTCCTTTTAGGGCTATAATGAGAGAACAAAGAAACGTGAGACTCTGTATCATAGGTTGTCTTAAACATTCCTCTAACATTCATTATTTCCCCCTTGTGGTGGAATGCTTCACCTGGACCATTTACCCCCAAACTTTCCATGCATGCATTAAATGTGCACTGGTAGAGTAAATCCTTTTGCCATTGTCCACCCTCTCTCACAGACAGGTCCTACAGCTACTCCATTGAATAATTTTATTCAAATCTTATTCTTTCTTCTGTATCCATTAAGACTTTTTCTAATGTAACTCTTTCCTAAAGAGGCCTGCCACCGTCTACCATCCCAGAATTGCAATTGTTGAGACTGATGGTTGCTGAAACACCAGCAGAGAGAATTGTTTGAATGCAAAAGACAGCAGGTTATTATCTCCCCACTTAATATCTGCTTATGATCACAGATGTCATTTATCTCTTGGGCTTTCTATTGCAAATGGCTCTGGTCCTCTTGTGATCTGATTAATTTACACACGCTTCCATGTTCCTTTTCTCAAGATGGTTGTTTCCGATACCTTTGCAGTCTTATTCTAAGACTATTCGTTCCAAAGACAACTCCAAGATTTTAAAATTCATCCTTAATCAATATTCAGTGTCTCAAGAGTTAAAACAAAAAAGTGAGGAATGGCCTGTTTCTTAAAAGACCTGTTGAACCCCTGGCCACACCATTTCAAACCGATGGAGAGAGATCACCTGATCAAATGTGTCATCTTGCCGAACTATCAGCACTGCATTTCCCAAACTACTACTGGGACTTTGCATACTTCTGAATCTAGATCAGGAACTACCGTAGCAATGCTCACTGGAGCAACCTTGGCTCTTTTATGACTCGTGGACTTCAACTCCCAGAATTCCTGAGCCAGCCAGTCCACGAGTCATAAAAGAGCCAAGGTTGCCTACCCCTGGCCTAGAGCATAGGTAGCCCATGAACGTTTTTAGCTATTCTTCAGATAACAGAGATGCCAGACCTTGTTAGGAAAGATCTTGCTGGCTTAAATCAGTTCATTCTAAGCTGATAAATATTGCAGACAAAGTCTGGAGCTCTGTGTGCAGCAGGAAGAACTCTGAGATGAGCTCAACTTATGATGATTTTACGAACACATCCATGTGAGTTCCTTAGCCACATTGTAGAAGTGAAGTTACCTAAGGTCAGGTAGGAGTTATTCTCTATTGTTACTAAATTGTTAGGTAAGAAGCTGCCATCTGTGATATCATCAGTTTGACTATTGCTGAATGGACTTTCTAGACCAGTGTTACTCAATCCTGGCAACTTTAAATTGTATGGGCTTAAACTCCCAGAATTCTCCAGCTAGTATGCTGGTTACAGAATGCTGGGAGTTGAAGTCCAGACCTCTTAAAGTTGAGAAATATTGGTCTGGACTGTTAAAGGGATTCATACCATTTTGCAGTTTTAGATATTTGCAAGACTGGAGAGATAGAAATTCTGCTGGGAGTTATAGCTGCTGATGGCAATATCTGAAGAATGAGGATTACATGTTATAGTTTTGGCAACAACTCAACAGAGACTTTACATTTTGCTTTCTGTAAAGTTTCAGTTGTCAAAGAACTAAAATCTGGGGGGAAAATGTCTTTATCATTTGAATCTCCAGACAGTGTGAACTAGCAGGGCAGGCTGTTCGAATTGTTAAAGGACAACATCACAAAATACAAGAAAACATACACATTTAGTCTTTGGAACCAGGGGAGCCAGAAACCAGACTTTGCTCAGAGAACAAGGCCAAGCAAGGGGTAAACTTACCTACAGCACTGTTCTTATTTTCCATAAACCATTGAAAAAGGGCCACAGGCAATCCGAGAGAAGTTATGAGTGCCTTATCTAGCTTAAGGGAACCCTGTGAGAATCACTTATGAGAGAGCAACCCAGATGTTGCCTATCCCTGTTCTAGGCTTAACCCATGAAACAGAGAACAAATGTCTTTTAGGCATTTATCCACAGAATCCAGCTATCTGATCTCTGTCTCATCTCATGAAGACAATAAATAGATAACTCTTTAAGATTGTATTGTATCTTACTTAATATCTGCTAACAAGGAACATAGCATTTCTTTTAAATAAGCAAATAAGCGAAAGAAAACAGACTTTCTAAACAAACTCACTGAAAAAAACCTACCTTGATACCTTGTTGGAGCTTCTGGAATTCATTGCGAATAATTCTTGCTTTGTTGGGCTATAGGCGACTCCCCTTGTTCTTGCCTTTAAATAAAGAAGCTTGAAAAGACCCTAATTGGCTATTTGAATCTGAATAAGATGCTTAACTGTGGATTATCCATTATGTAAAAAACATCATCTGTAATCTTTGTACTGGACTGTCCATCTTCAATTATCAATCCATTCATCTTTTACATAACAGGAGAAACCATTCCAACCCCAAAACTTCTAGAACCAAAACACCTTTGTTGTTTCAGCCTTGTGAAACATAGAGACAGTTAAAACTGCACCACAAGATCTGCGTTAGGTTGAACATACTTTTTTTAAGCTAAGCCCATGTCCACTTAGCTTTTGCAAAATATTTAAGACTAGTGAGATCTTTATACCGTTTTACTCCATTCTTGCCAAAAGCAACACAAAAGCTCTTTGCTCACACATATCTTACTAGCCGAGGACTAATCAACCAAGAGAGTGTTGTCTTTCTCTTCATTATAGTTTCTATTTTCTACATTTTTCTTCTTTTTCTTCTCTTGCACCTTTGCCTTCCTTTTTATCCCTCTTTCTTTTAATTTGTATTAGATTTTATTACTCTAATTAAAATCCTGAATAAACGTTATATTTTTTATTAAAACGAATATAAGAAATTCATTGATTAGAATCCATTGATCTCTGAGAATAGATTATCCTATATTTATAGCTATTGCTGAGATTTATTGTTACCAAATCTCAACAGGAAAGATAAACACATAGAAAAACAGCTTTATCAGTGAGCATTCACTTCTATGATACTTCTTTATAACTAATCATCTTTAGCTAATTGTAGAAATGTAATATAATTCTCCTTATCCTATTCACTAAAGCCAGGGGTCTTCAAACTTGGCCCTTTTATGACTTGTGGACTTCAAATCCCAGAATTCCTCAGCCAGGCACACTGGATCCAGGCACACTGGATTCAGGTCCACAAGTCATAAAGGGGCCAGGTTTGAAGACCCCTTACCAAAGCTGTTAGAGAAAGGAGATTTACACGTGCTACTTTTTTTTAATTATCCTAGTAACATAATTTTTCCTCTTTCATCTTCTGTATCATACCTAGAACATAAGAATGGGCTACATAGGACTAGGTTATTCACTGATTATATTCCTTTTATAAGGGATCAGCTCACAACAGACAACCAGATCCAGGCAATAGTAGGCCAAAAATCTGAGGCACATTCTAGTCCAGTGATGGCGAACCTTTTAGAGACTGAATGCCCAAACTTCAACCCAAAACCCACTTATTTATCATTGGGTGCCAGGTAGGCGTGGCCCACTCGGTGGGCATGGCTGTGGTCATGGCAGACTGGGTGGGTGTGGTCAAGGTGGGCGTGGTTACCTTGATGTTGTTCATGGGGAGGGACGCCTGTGGGAGCCGGGCAGGCTTGGGGGAGATCCAGGGGGTCTCTGGAAGGTGGGGCCGTGGGCAGGAGGCTAGTTCTGCGGGTTGAGACAAGGCAAGAAGACGCAGGGCAGGGGTGGCATTATCGCAGGGCAAGGCGAGGCAAGGGCTGGGGCGGCTACTGCCTGACACTATCGGCCCCCGCACACAGAGGCCAGCAAGCACATGGGGGCCGACAGTGTCCATCAACAGCTACAGCCTGCTGGCCCCTCAACCAGTGCACTCTGGGGCTCCGCAGTCCACTGCCAGCAGTTCAGAGAAGCTGCCTCTGAGCTGGCCGGCCAGACGACAGCTAAGGAGGCAATGCAGTGGGTCGTGCCCAGGAAAAGGAGAGCATGCGAGGCCAGGAGGGATGGGATGGGGGGAGAGAAACCAGCCATGCTGGGATGCATCCGGCTACGTGGGACCTCGGTGAGTTAGCGGGCAGCTGGTTGAAGAGGGACAGTTGCCGTCTCCAGGGCATGGTGCACGTGCCAACAGAGAGGGCTCTGAGTGCCGCCTCTGGCACACGTGCCATAGGTTCGCCACCACTGTTCTAATCATTCAACAGTTGAGAAACAAAATCATCAGGATATGAAGATTTTTCTTGTAATCAAGATTATAGGCATACAGTAGATATGCATTCACTTTTAAGAGTGTGGAATTGCTTCAGACATGATCTGGGGATGAGGGTGATAGAGATGGCACTGCAATGACAGTAGAATATTGATTAACTCTATCAAAATTTGCCTACGGATTCAATATTCATATAAAATTAATGTTTATTTTTCAGGATGTTGCTTAGCTCTGGTATTTTGTATCCCATGTATGTTCTTAAAGTGAGAAGGTGTGAAAAAAGGTGTCAAGGGAATCTCAATTCCATTCCTCTGCATTTTTTTTCACAAAGTGGGTATGATCAAACTGAAATTTGGCTTGCTATATTAACCTGTTGGAGATTTAATATAGTGAGAATTATTAAAAGAATAGCAAAGGATGCCTTGAAAGTTGTCCTTGTGCGTAGGATAGCGTCCTGTTTTTCTGGGGTGTTGTGGGTCTTCAAATTCTGATACATCTTTTCAGTCAGAAATGATAGTATAGGAGATGACCAGACTGAACCCAAGAGAGGTATCAAGAGTGTCATCAGTCTCGAGTTCCTTTGTGTCGACAAGAGATCTAAGTCCAGCCCACCTTGAATTCTTATCTACCACCAATTTGATTTGATTGTTAGTTGTTCAGATTCTTGTAGAGCATAGGTGTCAAACTCGCCACGTCACGTGAAATGTCGTGATGTATCGCATCATTTTTTGAATTGCCGGAGCTGAGAAGGGCGCAGTCTCCATATGATGCAACTGGCCCGTGGGCCAGCAGTTTGACAGCTCTATTGTAGAGAGTGTGAGCCTGCAATAAACCTGTACTCACTTGAACTGTCTTGACTCCAGATTTTCGACACTTGACAGATAGTGGATTAATCTATACACAGCCTTCTAGGTACTTCTCTTTTCACTGTTTGCTATCTGCAAAAGGTTGATAGCAAACAGTCATCCCTTGTGGTATCTTATTTGATCCTAGCCTTCCTCAACTGCTGTAAACACTAGGATCAGAGACTCACACCATAAGACTTCCAAAATTCCCCAGGGATTGCTTTTTCTTGCTCTCCCTTCCTTTTCACCGCCCATCTCCAAGGAAGCAAGGTTGAAATCTGTCCTGTAGAGAGTTATATGGATTGGATTCAGTGGGAGAGAGAAGAGAATAGAAAAAAAGGAGTGATAGCAAAGAGGAAAAGTACACCTCTTGAGGGCATTTTGCCAAAGAGCACCTAATCTAACCGATGGCATTTGCTTAATGCAGTTGGATGTTCTAAAAAGAATCTGCGAGGGGAAAAGAAAACACAGGAGCATTGCCAAATGCATAAAATTGATCCAATTCATTTGCAGTCATTGTGTATTCTGCATCTAATCACTCAGTTGGATACCTTATATCTCTTTCCAGGCCATGTCCCCACGGCTCTCCAGAGGGCAATCAAATGCCAGCCTACTCACTTATGGATAAGCTAAGCTGAATATGATAACTCTCTTGAAGCTGGATTTAAATAGCTAAAGAGTCCAAGGCCAAAGAAGTTCATATCCCAGGCAGCCAGTCCTTCAGTCAGGAACAAATACTGTTTCAACTGTGGAAAAAAGGCATATGTCAACAAAACGTTTCAAGGAGGCCAATGGAGGCTGGATTTTGAAGTGAGAAAACATGGGATTTGCTAAATTCCCATGGTCTAAAAATGGACAGGGTCATTGTCAAAACTGCTTTTTCTGTTTTAATATTAGATGTTTTCTCAGGAGACACATGATAGCGCCATTTCTTTATAAATTATAGTCATTCTTCAGCAAGAATGTCCCACCTTGACAACTTTAAGACTTGTGGATTTCAACTTCCAGAATTCCCCAGCCCATAAGGAGGGGGGGGGGTTGGATCCTACATCACAAGTCAGTAGCAAAATGGCAATATCCATCTATTTTGTCCAACTTTTAATGGTTCATTGACTTGATGTATTCCTTTCCTTAGATTCATTTTAACTTGGTCTTGGTTTTCATTCCATCTTTTTAATGGCTATGTTTTATCATTTTCATTTTTAATGGTTGTAAGCTGCCCTAAGTGACATATAGACAGAACCACAGATTAGAAATTTAATAAACAAATGCAGAATAATGACTTGCTATCTTGAGGTAATCTGGGCTGCTAGCCACAACCACTGAAATCTTTCTTGTTTCAAATTCCTCTATGAATGTTATTTCTTAGTTATAGGTTGTATTTATTGCCAACTCAGTCATATCCACAGGGGAAGGGCAAGAAAGGCTGGAAAAAGAATAGGAAAGAGAGTAAGCATAAGTACTCAAAAGACAGTGAGCATCATCATCATCATTAAAATTATTCAAAGAAATAATATTAATGTTCAAAGCACAGGATAGTATTAAACTATTGAAGTTGTAACCATGGTTTAGTTCAGTGGTTCTCAACCTTTTTAATGCCGCGACCCACAACCGGTCGTAAGTTGAGGACTACTCAATCAGTCGTAAGTTGAGGACAACCCAACCGGTCGTAAGTCGAGGACTACCCAACCGGTCATAAGTCGAGGACTTTCCCTGCCCGGGAGCGCCGCACATGCGTGGTGCCGCCCCCTGCGCTGGCCGAGGCGTAGCTGGCAAGCAGCAGAGACAGAGCATGCCGACCACTGGCTGGGCCACCAGCTGGCCCAGCCCAAGGGAGGTAAGGCACCCGTCGGGCCCCACATGCGCCAGCAACCCTCCCTGCACCCGCCGGCCTCCCACCTCCCACCCCTGGCCCTCTTTTACTTACATTTTTAGTAGTTGCTCAGCAGGGAGGGGTAGAAACTTCCAGACAGCTCACCTTCACTGCAGACAACTTGCAGCACCGTTTACAGAATGGGACTTTTGGCGGGCTCAGCAGGGCAGAAACAGCCTGGACAATTCCTATTGGCTTTTGAAAGCCAATAGAATTAGACTCTATTCAAGAGAGTCTATTCTATTGGCTTTCAAAAGCCAATAGAATAAAAGAGTAGCACAGCTAAGGAAAAGGGGGAAAAAATGGCGGACTGCATTGTTTGGCAACCCCCGTGAAATGGTTGTTTGACCCCAAATGGGGTCGTGACCCACAGGTTGAGAACCACTGGTTTAGTGGGTAAAAAGAAAGACAGGGAAGGCTACCAGAATATGCTGCCTCTTGACCACTGGCAAAAGAAAATCTGCTTTTCTGCTTTTCTTAACAAATAAAGCATGAACTGGTATTTATGAATGATGGATGGGATCAGTGAGACAGAATGGAGGAGATATGCAGGTCTAGAAATGGATGGGAGTGTGGCAACTAGACTTTGGCTTTCTTAGCTTACTGCTGTCCCTTAGGCCAAAGAAGGTTTATCATAAGAGAAGATAGCATATGGACTGGATACTTAAAGGGCACTTGAATAGCAATAGCATTTTAGACTTAATATATAGACTTATATACTGCTCCAAAGTCTTGTTTACAGCACTCTCTGGGCAGTTTACAATGTTGGCCTATTGCCCCCCCCCCCCCCCAAAAAAATCTGGCTTCTCATTTTACCAATCTCGGAAGGATGGAAGTCTGAGTCAACCTTGAGACCCATCAGGATCAAACTCCAGACTGTGGGCAGAGTTAGCCTGCAGTACAGCATTCTTATCATTGCTCCACCAGGAATCTTTAACCAAGGCATCATAGCAAAACTCACTCTTTTACAAATGTAAGCATATAGTGTATAAGATATTGGGAATTAGTATTTTTATAGAAAGACAAAAATCAAACATTTGACATTAAGCTGAGGATTAACATGCCTTGGTCTTCAGTGATTTGTACCTCCTAATTTAATACAGGATCTTCAACATATGCTGGAAGGAGAAATTTCTCTGAGTAAAATAGCCTTTGAAATTGCAGTTGTTGGGATGTAGTGCCATCTAAAGGACTGATGAAGAAATGAAATACTCTAAAACAAAATGTTTTGGTCCCATATGAAAAGCAGGCAGGGACATGTACACATAGCCACAGCTACCATCTAGATTCTAGACTTTTGGGACCACACCTTGCAGCCACCTGTGTTCCTCATTGCCATTGATTGAGCCTTTGTTTCTCCAATCTAGATATATCCAAATCTTCTATTATATGTGAGAGTTTCCTTCCAGATCTTTGTATGCTTTCCTCTGGAGAAATTCACATTTTTTCCAATGTTTTTCCAGGATGGCAACATCCAGAACTAAAGTTAATATTTTGGGGAGAGCTCTGGCTAATGCAGAATTGAGAGGAACGAGCTCTTCTTTTGCACCCGACTAAAGATAATTTAGTTTCAGATAACATTACTGATATGTGTGTGCGCTTCTCTCTTTGCTGATTATCTAAGCAGGAGGAGACATAAAGTATTTGAATGCTTTAAGCAGAAATCCAAACCCATGTGCCCCAAATCCACTGATAAATAGGCCAGCCTAAAATGGGACTGCTCTTCCATAAAAAAAAAAATAAATAGAGAAAATACATGATGCAATAATTGCTTCTTTTGGCCATTTCTATGTCTGTCCGTTTATACTGTTTTTTTTTCTCTTATTGGATACACTCCTTCTGAGTACAGGTGTAGGAATCTGACTGGCTAAGGATTACAACTGAGCTGTGTGTATTTAATTAGACTCCAAGAAGCTTATTTTACTTCCATCATCACCATTAGGAGGGGGGGAATCATAATCACATATTCATATGCCCTTATTTGAAACAGCTTTGAAACCAGTCGTTTAAGCTGCTTGGGTAAGAAGATCTGCTCTCCCACACCCCGGCCAAAACAATAGCTTGTTGATGGATAATTGCCTTGCTGATTATAGTCTCCACACTCTACACACGGACACCACATTTGTGGGACCACGTTACTTCGCACAGCCGTTGCCTGAAAGCTCCGGAATCAGAATTTCCCCATCATGAGCATCAACAAAGAGGAAGTTGAAACTTTCTTGGATAGCAATCCAGATTTTGCTAAGCGGTATTTTGAGAAGAAACTGGAGGGCAGAATCTTCAGCGCCAAGATGAACGGGGAGCTGTCCTCAGAAGACAGCATGGGTTTTGAGGGGTTGGACCCAGTAGAAACAGAAACTCTCTTTGAGCTGATACAAGACATGCAGGACAACATTAATATGGAGAAGGTGGTCTTCAAGACCCTAAAAAAAATCAGTGCACTCATCAATGCTGAGTGGTGCAGTCTGTTTATGTACAGGCAGCGAAACGGCACCCCAGAGCTGGCTAGCCGGCTGTTCAACGTTCATAAAGACAGTACCCTGGAAGAATGTTTGGTGACCTCTGACTGTGAAATTGTTTTCCCACTGGACATAGGTGTATTGGGGCACGTTGCTCAGACCAAGAAAACCGTCAACATCAAGAATGCTCTTGAGGTAAGGCTTGAGGTTTATTCTATTACTAATAAATGCCAAAGAATAAAAATTAACCAATACTCATATTTCAGAAGGATTTTAGGAAGACAGGGATTCTTTCACTAGGATTTAGGAACCAGCAACAGCACCTAGCCACTCTTGGCTGATTTCAAACAGGTAAGCAGGATCAGCCCTGGACAGCATCTGTTTGGGAGACCAAGGATGTCAGCTGGATTGAAAAGCTGCAGAAATACCCCAGAAAAATGCAGTAGCAAATTGCTTCCGTATTGCACTGCATGGATGTGTCCATTGAAGTTACAGGGAGAAGAGGCTGATTAGTAGGAAGTTTTACTTTTATCTAGCAGTTCCTTGTGGACTTTCAGGAAGCCCTTGGAGAAACGTCTCCTTTTGAAGAAAGAACATAGCCTTTTTTTTTTTTATCAAAGTAGACAACCTAATACCAACCTTACCAACTGGCATGCCCTAAGCAAAGGATTGTGGGAATTATTATGGAGATCATCAGGTTACCTATCTTTGGCCTAAGAAAATATGTGTATGGAGATATATAACATAATTCATAATGAGTTAAAAATAGAAAATGTTTTTCTCTCTCTCTCATAATAGTTTAACAAGAGTAATGAAGGACATTAGGCAGTTGTTTGTTAAGCTAAGGAACTTGCTCCTGCAGAAATGTCCTGGTAGCTATGAGTGTAACTTTCAAAGGAAGAGTAGACAATCACGTGGGATTGGATTTTCAAGGGACAAAACTCTTGCTGACTGTCAACCCCAGAATTGAAGGCAAGATAGCCTAACTTCCATGGGTTATAAGCAACAGAAGAAAGAATAAATGTCCTTATATCATGAACTTGGTTTCCTGGATTCATCTGCCTGGCCGACTCAAAATGCTGGATATACCTTTGGTCTGATCCAACACAGTCTTTTCATGTTCTTAATAGAAGAAAGCAATAAACATAATGCAGTGGCACCTTGGTACTTAACTGCTTTGAAACTCATCAAGTTTGTTACTTAATGCATTTTAACATGAATATTTTGTCCCAATACTCATTGCTTGTTTGGTACTCAACACAAAAGCTAGAATTTGTCAGTGTCGGCTGTCTCACTACATTATTCCTTATGGGAAAAATTTGTTTGGTACTCATCATTTTTGGCATTCATCACGCCTCCCAGTAACTATTAATTATGAGCACTGAAGTAGCACTGTAGAGGCTTATTTATTACGGTGTGTCTGTGTGTCTGTGTGCCTATTTCTCTACTTGATGTACCTAGATTGAACAAGAACAGCAGCTCTTTAAATCAAAAGTCTGTCACACATCACAAGTTGTAGCACAAAAAGCCTTTTACAAATCTAAAAACAATCAGAAAAACAGAATAATTGTATCTACATTCCTCTTCTATTTATCTAGTTTTCCATCCTCTTGTTATGGTCTAGCATAGCAAAGGTCTCTTTGTTGGCTCTCTCTTCTCTAAAGGTTAAGTTCTCTTATTTATTCTCTTTGTAATGTTATTTTTGTTTTTTCTTTGTTTTCCTTTCATTCGTTTTAAATTACATTCTTCAGTCTGTATGTTTCTGGCTAGACTCTTATTCACATTTTGTTATTCTGCACATGTGGAATGTGCTTCCAAACCAGTTGTTTGCTCTTCCTATCTACCACTTTGCACTTTTCCTCCTGTATTTTCTTCATGGAGTCTTCTTGATTACCCTGTGACATATTACAGATCTTCTCTCTCTCTCTTTCTCTCTCAATGCCTTTCCAATGCCAGGGCTAGGCAGTTGATTATTTCTGCCATGCTGACTGGGAGTGAGAGGGCTTGTATGGGACAAACTGGAGAAAATATGAATGTTACTATAAGGATGATATGGAGCATAAGGCTATCATCTCTGACTCTGCACTGTTATATGCAACTATTCCACCGATGGAAGGTTTAGCATCTTCTGAGTTTCTCTTGCAAGACAGATGACTTTTCTTGGAGAATGATGACATTTCCACATAAAGTTCCTTTAAAAATGTATTTAAAACATTTATATAGCTGCCTGTTCTCACACGATGACTCTTAGGTTGAACCTAAGAAGAGTGGTTCACAGCACTGGCCTTGAACTATGAATTTTCATGCCACATGACATCTTCAGGAGAGCCCATAGCATTTTAGAGTTTCTTGCATGGTATCAGTTCTATATCTATCTTTTTAATTCCAATCCAAAGTGACTTTTTGCTGCAAATGCATATACAAACTTTCTACCTTATTCCCATCCCTCAATTATAAGTGGAAGTAAGTTGAGTGAAACTAGCTCATCATTATCTAACTGAGCTCCTAAGGGTGAACATCTCCTTTCCTTGTCATTGAAACATCATCAGAATTAAAGAAACAATGGTGACATGGGCAATAGATCTAGGATATAATATAAATATGGATCGATGGCAGCAAGTATGGGAGCGAAATAACAAAATCACATTGGTGACATCATATAAAGAAAACCTGTATAAGATGGTTTACAGATGGCATCTCCCTCCGGCCAGATTAGCCAAAATGTATAACGGATATTCATCTATGTGTTGGAAATGTAAAAAAGAAAAGGGCACCTTTATTCATGTATAGTGGACATGTAGAGAAGCACAGGTGTACTGGCGTATGGTCTGGGAATGGGCAATAGAAATGACTAGGCAAAACATTCAATATAAACCTGAGACATTACTATTAGGAATACTAGAGAAAAATGTAAATAAAGAGGACACATATTTAATTATTCACGTGGTTACAGCGGCAAGGATACTATTTGCTCAAAAGTGGAAAACAATGGACGCACTAATAAAGAAAATTATGTATTGCGCAGAACTAGATAGGACAACTAAAAGATTAAAAAATCAGGAAGAAACACAATTTTATCGAATATGGAATAAATTTTATAGATGGAGGGAAAAACAATGGAGGTCACAGTAAAGAGATAAATTAAGATAGAGACCAGAAATGTATAGTTGTATATAGATATATTATATGTAATTAATGTACAATATGGACTGATTGTCAGTCAAAGACGATTTACCATGTTCAATGTTTTTAATCCTTTTTTTTCTTTGTACTCAATAAAAACTTATTTAAAAAAAAGAAAAGAAAAAAGAAACATCATCAGAACAATCTTGTTTCAAATGTCTATGGAGATTCTCAGTCATTCAAATCGTGGTTTTTCCAAAGATGCTTTTTTGTGCGTCAACTGGATTTTTTTAGTTTTTCTTTGAAGACATCTCACTTCTCATCTAAGAAGCTTCTCAGAGTTGAAGAAGCTTCTTGGATGAGAAGCAAAACATCTTCAAAGAAAAACAAGAACATCCAATTGCTTTGTGAAAAAAGCATCTTTGGGATAATCTTGTTTTAAGCAACCTGAAGGTTATATGATCAAGTAATTTTGAAGAATTGCAGAAATTGGAAGGGATCCTTAAGAGGATCTGAATCAGTAAAGTATGATTGGTGCACAAGAAGGAATATGCCTCTAGATGCCTGTTGTTCGGAAGCATGGACATGCTCTTCTCCCATTAGTGGTCAGACATTGAAGTGGATGGGGTTTTTAGTCCAATAATACAGGGCTGTTTCTAAGTTCTTCAAAGAGTTTTCAATGCAAATTTTAGTTACTGTTGAACAGTGGACTAAAGGATTTTCAAATATAATTTGCTGACACCAATTTGCTTAAGGAAAGTTTTTTCAAGTGAGAAGGGTGTGACTACATTACAAGTTAGCCCTCATTTTCATTTCAAAAGCACTTCCACACTGATACTGGCTTCCCTCTCCAAACCCACAGAAACAGGTTGAAGCTAACCAGGATTGCTCACACTAGAGTTGACCTTGAAGTGTTGAGAACCAATCAATGATCCTTCTAGCTGATCATCTGGAGCACAGTGTTCCTACTGTTGCCATTCATTGGGTAAACATTACTGTTGCTAAGAGGAGGAAGCTGTCAGAACGCATCTCCCTGCTAAAAAAAGAAATAGGTAGTCCTAAATGAGAGTGGGAGGGGAGAGCCTAAGAGACAATGGAAAATGACTCACCTGCACTTAAGCTCCTCAGAACATCAGCCTCCCAAGTTAGAAACTAGATCAATTCCATGTGCCATCTTGGTTAATCAAGGGCAACAGAGTGGAATCAACAAAACTGTTGTGGCAGGAACTGTTGTGCCTTCGGGGAAGTATCTGAGTGGAAAACTGTTGGAGAACAACCATCCCAGTTGGGAGCATACCCAAGGGGAGAAATTAGTGTGGAATCCTTAGCTAAAACTGAGAGGCAAGGTCTGATCCCCTCATTCCACCCTGAATGCCACCGAGCCTTATTTAGTCTTTCCCAGGTGAAAACTACTAGTCTGGGGAAATTCCTGTAGAATAGACATACAACAATAAAGTAGCTTATTTGAATTCTACACGTGTGGGTCTGAATGTTACAGCCTGACAAAAACAAAAGTACAGATAGTCCTCAACTTACAACAGTTTATTTAATGACCTTTTGAAGTTACAATGGCAGGTGACTTATGACCGTGTTTCACACCTATGACCATTGCAAAATTCAGACACATGGCAACCGACTCATATTTATGACAGCAGCAATGTCCCAGGGTCATGGATCCCCTTTGGCGATCTTCTGACAAGCAAAGTCAATGGGGAAGCCAGACTGACTTTAACAACTGTGTTAGTAACTTAACAACTGCAGTGATTCACTTAACAATCATGACAAGGAAGGTTGTAAAATGGAGCAAACTTCACTTAAAAACTGTCTCACTTAACAACTGAAATTTTGGGCTCAATCTGGTCATAATTCGAGGACTACTTGTATTTTCTCCCAGACTGACAAATGCTTGTTTTGTTACGTGACACAAATATAAAACTTCTTTCCAGTCTTAAAATTCAGATTGTGTCCTTTCATATCTGCATGTGTACACAAGCCAGTCTTATTAATTTCAAATCCCTGCAGTCCATAAATGGTTTCTGCTGGGATTACCTCATTGTTAAGTATGCTTTCATAACCAGGTCATTTGCTCATCACAGGACCGTAGGTAGGATACAGTAGGTAAGGTAAACAAATAATGCATCCCACATGGAATTAAAACCAGCTTTCCCCTTTCCTTGAGGCGTGACATTTTAAACAGCCTTTATTGTGTAATTTGCCCTTCCCCAGTTGTATGCCCTCTAGATGTGTTAAGGCAAGCAGCTTCCAAATTTTCCCTGGAGTATGTATCATAGTTAATTTCCAGCAGATCTCTATGCTATCCAGTTGAGTAAAGTGGTGGATTTTCACTTTGAAGGACAGAGCAAGTAGAACCTTACTGGCAAACATATAATTTGCAAATGAAAGGAGACCAATTGTTGAGTCCATGGATAGGCAATGTTAGGCCCAGATACTTAAGAACCATTGTAAAAAATCTCAAATGTGGTTTTTCTCCAGGATGAATGTAGTTTTGCTGCAGATCAGTTCCAAATTTGTATCAAAACTCCTCTCATTCAGTGTGACCTGCATATTGGTGTCTCCCTGTCAATGCACCTTTGGAAGACAATCTACCTAACATGGCAACACTGTTTTAATGCTATTTTAGAAGTCATGCAAAGATGCTTTTGGAACAAAAAAATAATAATCAAACATGATTTCTCTATAATTGTATATGCTATATTAAGAAGGGTGAAAAAAGGCTAGGCTGTTAAGTTAGATGCTACGTTTTCTAATTTCTTTTCTTTTTTTAAAAAATAAACAGTGTCAACAGTTTAGTAAATTTGTTGATGAACTGACTGAGTCTACTACGAGGAACATTCTTGCAACACCAATAATGAATGGCAAAGATGTGGTTGCTGTGATCATGGCCGTGAATAAGATTGGAGGTCCTTTTTTCACACGTGCAGATGAAAATGTAAGTACTGGGAAAGTGTCTTCTGAGACATTCTCTAGTCCCCAATATCTACATTTAAATGTAACCTCATTGCCATATGTTGTGTAACTGTACAATTTTTTTTATGTCTCAGCTGTTCCTGAAGTATCTCAATTTTGCCTCCTTGAACCTGAAAATTTATCATCTGAGCTACCTTCACAATTGCGAAACACGAAGAGGTCAGGTAAGGAAACGTCTCTCCAGTTTTCACCTCAGACTTTATTAGATAACTCTCTCTCTCTCTCTCTCTCTGTGTGTGTGTGTGTGTGTGTGTGTGTGTGTGTGTGTGTGTGTGTCTGTGTGTCTGTAGAAGGCACTAAATTTTTTTAAAAATTTGACATGAACATCTTCTGTTAAATGGCTTTCAGGAATTACTGACTCAGTCTCTTGAAGTTGATAAAACCAGTACAAGACTTCAAAAAATCTTATTAAAATCAAAATAAATTGAACCTTTTCTGCCTTCTTATATTTCTTGGCTCTTGGCCTTCTCTCTCTTCTTAGTTTCAGAATCTGGAATGGCTCAGTTTTCTACACAGGTGCTGGTTAACATGTGGCCAGAATCAAGGAATGAACATAGAACACAGAAAAATAGAGTTGGAAGGGACCACAAACCCTCCTGTTTGAGCAGGAGACCCTATACCATTTCAGACAAATGGTTGCCTAGTTTCTTTTTCAAAGCCTCCAGTGATGGAGCACCGTTAGGAAATTTCTCCTTAGTTCCAGGTTGCTTCTCTCCTTGGTTAGTTTCCATTCATTGTTTCTCGTCTTGCCTTCTGGTGCTTTGGAAAATAGTTTGATCCCCCCTCGTCTTTGTAGAAGCCCCTCAAATATTAGAATTAATTATAACAGTAGACTGATCAAAGGTCAAATTGCAATAAAAATGCATCAATATGGGATTTGAGTATTTTCAGAAACAATATGCCATTTGTAGGAATATTAAAAACCAAAGAATTTAAAAGACTATTATATTCTACAGGTACAGAAATTAAAATTGTTTCTGCTTTACCTATAAACAGTATTTTTCACAAATTAAAATGAGAAGAGTTAGATGAAAGCACAAAGCTATAGCATCAGTTAGAAAACACTTTAAGCTTTTAAAATTGTAAATTGGCTTCATCGGGGCTTTTTTTCTCGTAGAACGCCCAGAACGGAGTTCCAGCACCTTTTTTGGATGGAACCTTGTAGGGTAGCCAAGGTGGGTTGTATGACATGTGAGTTCCGGCACCTTTTTTTTTTTTTAGAAAAAAAGCACTGGGCTTCATAATAGTAGATGTGTTTGTAAAAAACCATCCAATGTGTTTGCATTATTTAAGAAGAAAGTGCTCGTTCTGAGGAAGGAGAAATTTTAAGCTCTCACAAAAGACGGTCATTTTTTAAAAGAATCCTGACTTTTCTGAGCCTTATCAAGAAACCAAATAATTTCACAATGGATGGATGGATGGATGGGAGAGAGAGAGAGAGAGAGAGAGAGAGAGAGAGAGAGAGATTTCCAACTTAAAGTTGTCCGTTCCTATTAGCCTGCAATTAGATTTTCTGTTAAGAAAAACCTATTTATGTCTCCATGCTGTTGTGAATTTATGGTTTCTTGGTGGTGTAAGGGAGAACTTTTCCTTTTTCTTTTTCATAATTTATTTTCATAATTTGAGGGAGGGAGGAAGAAAGCAATTCTTTAATGTGCAATCAAGATTGAGCTTTTGTAGGATTTTGCTGTAATAGTCAACTCTGCAAAGGACTTCATACCAAAATGCTGCTATAAAAGTCATTTCAAATGCCTTCAGCTTTTTATTAAAGGGTTTCTTTATAATTTCGACACCATTCACCATCTTCCAGGCGCAATCATAGTATATTAGTTCTTTAAGATAGGCCAAGAAAGGAGCACTGCAGGGATTCCTTTATTGTTGCAATATTCCTTTACTGAATAAAAGAATCTTCTCTACTATGTATTATACCACTCAAAATCAAGGCAGATTTCTGTTGATCTTTTTCTCATGCCTTCTGTTTTCTCTGGACTGAGTAAATATTTCTGACACTCCCTTAACAAGTTGATTATTCTTTGTCCCTTCCTAAGACCAGGCCCATATTCTTTCACATAATAGAAAACAAGCATCAATCATAATTTATTTCAGTCCATGATCAGAATTCCAAAGACACATATTTGATTGATGTTTACTCTGCTGGACCATTTTTGATGGTTGTTTTTTTTTTTTAAATGACCTTTGGAACATTTTTTAAATATCTACACTATTCAGTATCTATTCAAAGTATTTACCATTTTAGACAGATGCTGAATAGAAAATATATACTGAAGCGGCTGAAACAATTTTGCAGCATAAAGAATATTGTTCATATCTAATCAAGTTGAGGAAATTCCAGTAAGAGGCATAAACAGATCTTAAATTGTTCATGTTTTTTTCTATGCATTACATGATACATGCTGAGAAGGACATGGCTTCATATTAGTGCTTGACCACTCAGAATCTTAAATACTTGGTCATGATTCGAAAACTTAAATGATTTTCTATAAGTATCCTAGGTACTTCTCAGTTCCACTCATAAACTCTCAGATTTCACTGATTACCACCCACTTTTTCTATTTTCATCTATATACAGTGGTATCTTGGTTCACATTGATAATTGATTCTGGGAAGCAATGATGAATCCCAAACAGATTTTTCCCATAAGGAAAAATGTAATGAGTCACAAGGCAGTTAACACTGACAGGTTCTAGCTTGTGCAACAAATATCAAATAAATGATGAGTACTAGGACAACATTTTCATATCAAAATGCATTGAGTACCAAATTCGATGAATTTCAAAACAGTTGAGTACCAAGTTACCACTGTACTGCTGTTTTCTCTACTATCATCCTATTGCGTGCCCATTGGAGTCTTTCAATTTGATTGGTGGCATACCAAAATCATATTCATATGTCCCCCCACATCCTTATGATTGCATATCCATATGCGTATAGTTGAGTATCCATATCCAATCATCATCACACACATACAACACATGTATTTATATTCAATCATTATCACTCCCTTTCTTTTATACACACACTCACTCACAGACACACATGTATGTGTTTGTATGTGGGTGGCTGTGTAAAAAATATTATTGTCCTTAGGAAGGCTCAAATATCACATATCAAATGAGTGAGGAAGCATTTAAAAGAAAACAATAATGAATTTTAACATTTGATGTAATTTCTATAATAAATTATGTATGAAGCCTGGCTTAACTTTGTCTATGTATTCCTAGTTTTATTAAGACAGAAAGAGAGAGAAATCAGAAATGATGCTTCTGAATTCAGTAGACTCTATAGGCAATTTATCTTACCAGCTTTGCTCCTCTGCAGGTTTTACTGTGGTCAGCCAACAAAGTATTTGAGGAACTAACGGACATCGAAAGACAATTCCACAAATCTTTCTACACAGTGAGAGCTTATTTGAACTGTGACAGGTATTCAGTAGGTCTTCTGGATATGAGTAAGCAAAAGGTAAATTGTTCCTAAGTGTGGCTCAGTATAAACTTGTCTATTTCATGTCGTTTTAATGTCCTCTTACAGTATGTCAAAATGTTTGTGCAGCAAAACATTATTTCCATGCCAGTGACAACACCTCATTTTTTTCATGAGAGATGATAGGGATGAAAATTGGGATTTTTCATATGCAAAGTTCATGTACTTAAATTTCAGAATTTACTTGAGTTACTTGGATTTCAGGAAGGGGAAAATGATGCAAATATTCAAAGACTCCATAATACACAAATGAGTAATTGCAAACCTAATCCACCAGAATCTACCACACAGTGCTAAAAATAGTGTCACAAAGAACTTCTATTTGAAAAAGATATTTCTCCCAACTAAAAAAAAAGGTATATTAGGAATAGTTCTACATTTTAAAATGTATTTCTCTTATGGCAAAATTGACTGTTTTGATTAAAGAAAAGAATACAGGTACCTTCGTTTCTACATGGAGACCGTTTCCGGACTTTGTGCTTGAGGTGGAAAAGAATGAAACTTTGATTTTCGGTTTCACCAATTAGATTGATTTGTTGTTACAGAAATAGCCAGTTTTTACTATTGTGAAAAAGTAAAAAGTCGAGGCTCAACGTTAATGCTTTATTCTACTGTAACAGGGGAAGTTGGAAGTTAATCTCTTTTTTTCCCTTCCTTTTCCCTCCCTTTCTTCTCCCTTTTTCCTCCCCATTGTGTCCTACTATTTGCTTTGTATTTTGTATTTTATTTTACATCTTAATAAAATTATTTTTTTTAATGTATTTCTCTTGTAATTTTTCTTTCACTTCCTAGGAATTCTTTGACTTGTGGCCAGTACTAATGGGTGAAGTTCCACCTTATTCAGGACCTCGAACGCCAGACGGCAGAGTAAGTTACTAACCAGATAAGAAATCTTTCTGTATTTGCTCTCTTGTTATGAATCTCAACTTTGGTTTCTGTGTTTTGTAGGAAATTATCTTTTACAAGGTCATTGATTATATTTTACATGGAAAGGAAGAGATTAAAGTTATCCCGTAAGTAAAGTAAAATAATTGCAGTGACGGCATTGATTCAAAGTTGTATGCAGTTATTTCCTCCAATCTACTCTATAGAACACTGTTGTTCAGTCCGATTCTTCACAACTCCGTGGACTATAGCACGCCAAGTCCCTTGTCCTCCACTGTATATATATATATATATATATATATATATATATATATATATATATATATATTAAAAATCAGTGCATTGTTGTGAGTAGCACCATCTCCATGGTTCCCTTCAGATGTTTTGAAATTGTATTTCCAACTGGCATAATTAATTGAGAATTATTTGGGAATTTCTAGAGTTATAGTCTTTACCATCTGGAGAGCATCAAGCTGAGAAGAAAGAGCTGGAGTGTTGTGACTGAGCTCAGATGTTCACTCACTTATAAAAACAATTAACGCTCAGCCTAACATAATTTATCCCTTTTTAGGGGAATAAATAATACACCCCCTCTAATTCTGGTGGCAGATGAGGTTCTTTTAAAAAATATATAAATGTATGAATTAAAGTACAGGTCCTACAATGAATCTGTAGCTAATATCAAGTCCACCATATAACGTAAGATAAATATATATAGACATTCTAAAAATATCAGTGAAGAAAATTAAGCTGAAAATGTATCTATCTGCTGGGACACTCCAATGTAGTTGTAGAGTAAAGGGAAGGAAGACGTAATATACAGTACAGCATCTTTGCATGGTCATAAAGTATACAATATCTCAAGCAGTATGCGTTATATAACTCGATCAACTGGAAGTTATCTGGATAAGTAAATGTGTCAGTCACACTGAAGATATGTAAATGGATTAGACTGTGCCATGTGTTCTGTGATATAATATCAGAAACATATCCAAAGAATATACTCTAAAATGGTTTCAGTAGGAAGTAATTCATTGTCTCATACAAATCTATGTAGGTCCCTTCCCAGGTTTTGGTTCTATGGTTCTGAGGAGTTAAAAGGAACATTTTAACATATTTTTTGGTTTGTTTCTAAATTGGTGAAAATGCAGCCATATCTATATTTCATTAGGGCAGTGTTTCCCAAACTTAACAATTTTAAGGCATGAGGACTTCAGAATTCTGGGAGTTGAAGTCCTCATGCCTTAAAATTGTCAAGTTTGGGAAACACTGCATTAGGGAGTCATTCATTGTTCTTCCTTCCCTCAGTTAATTGTTCAAAATAATAGTTTTTGTAGAAATACTAGACTACTTTAAAAAAGCAAGTAAAGAAAGAACAGGAAAGTACATAGACTTAAGTGCATTCCTTTTCTATCCAAGCCAAGTTTTTCATGGTTTTTTTCTCCCATTTAGAAATCCCAAGGAAGATCACTGGGCACTGAGTAGTGGCCTCCCTACTTATGTAGCAGAAACTGGTTTTGTAAGTATTTATGTTGACATTGTTGCATAACTCAAGAGTACTTTGGCCAAGAACTGAAGATCTATCTGATAAATTCTTCATGGATAATCTGGGCTTATTTTCCCAAATAGGAACTAACTTTGAATCAATGAGAAGTTTCAATAGCCGCTCATTGTATGAAAATGGCCTGAATTTTTTTTAAAAAATGAAATATGTATAAATTCTTGGATCAAAGTCATAATATGTCCATCATATGCATTTTCAGTTTTTATTTAATTTTAAAAATAGCAAAATATATGTTGACATATATATATTTTTCTACAATTTTTCAGATTTGCAATATTATGCACGTAGAAGCGGATGAAATGTTTACATTTCAGGTATTGTAAGCCTGTTCATACGAGTTTTATATTTGCTCTCCTGGTGCTAGGTGTGAATAGAGTTAAAGCTAACTATTTTATTATGTTCTGCCTATAATACAGGAATCTTCCCAGTCTGACAACCTACTCCTGGGAACAATTAAATAAAGTTCCAAAGGAACTTAGGGAGGTTCAGTCCTAGCCCTTTTGAAAGTGTGCAGTGACTCAAGGCTAACTTTGTGCTTGATCCTTCCTCTCTGCCAGGCTGGGTGCTTCCCAACATCTGGCAAAGGGACTGTCTATATGAATAGACAATCAAATGTTCTTGAGATCTTTTGAAGTACAGGCTAAAGTTTTTATATATTTTGGCCAACTAACATGGTCCCCTCCCCCCCCCAGTTCATGTCAGAAGCACCATTTAAGAAGCTTCCAGGTTGAAAGGGTTAACCAGTGACATCAACATTGCATGGGGGACACCCATGGGGCTTCTTTCATGTCCCTGTCAAGAAGCTGGAGCGAATGATGGGAGTTCACCTCACTACACAACAGCACTCAGGTCACAAATACAGGCTTGCTAAACTCCAACCTAGCATCCTAACCACATGAGCCACTGTGCTCCTTATTAACATAGTCAAAGTCCTAAGGTTAAAGAACAAGGCATCTAGAGCACATCAATTTTTCTCTTTCTATGAAAATCATATTTAATAAAAAATGTTGCACACATTTGTTTTAGTAACAGATTTGCATCATATAAACAGCTTTATTGTGGCTAGATCTGCAGGTTAGCACTAGACGTGTTTTGGACTGACAAGCTGTTGTTTTAAGAAAGGTCCTATTGATGACTCAGGATGGACCATCAAAAATGTTCTTTCAATGCCAATCGTCAACAAAAAAGAAGAAATTGTAGGTGTTGCTACATTTTACAATAGAAAAGATGGGAAGCCCTTTGATGAACAGGATGAAACACTAATGGAGGTAGGCATAATTAATGGATATGAAAATATAATGTGTGTTTCTCATAAAATAGTTGATTACATATACAATTCTGCAGGGGCTAATTTAACTTCTAGTGTGACAAACAGAATAAACCAACCCATTCAGCACAGTTCCATTTCTGTTGTTGCCTTGACCTTTGACTTCATATAGCACATAAAGAAACTTTGGGTTGAGAACATCCAGTGAATAAGATTAAGATTCATGTTATAAATGGTGGTTTCATATTATTCCTAATATTACCTCTCCTTTGTAGTTCCTTTTATGTGCAAGCTGATATCTCACATCTTTCTTTATATTAATCTTGAACTGGCCATTGGCCATATTCTGAGGAATTTTCTGGAAGTTATAGTCCTCTAGAATCTAGATGTCCTCAAGCACATTTACAGGATACCACTTTGGGAAAAGCTTTTCTTTTCTATTATCCTGATATCTTTCACTTATCTAAACTCCCATTGTTTCTGTTTCTTCTTATCTTTCACTTTCTTTGCCTCATATGTAATTTGTTTTTATTTTGACCTCAAATTCTATTTGGGACTCCTTATCAAAGCAATAGTCCCATATATTCCTGGATGAGTTGTTGGGTTTACGCAGTCAACATTATTAACAGATTATGACTGAATAGAACAGTACCATCAATCCCGCTCTCCAAAAATCTTTTTGGTATCACTGCCATTTTTTAAAAAAAATTTGCTATTCTCTGGCTTCAATCTATGAAGATAGCCATCTTCAGCACTTCAGTTGCACATGAAAAGGATGGTGGTGATATCCAATAATAATAGTAATAATAACCAAGAGTAGTAAAAATTGAAAGCTCAGAGAAAAAGAAATGGTCAGGGCAAAAAGAAGATCAGCTCCTGTTTAATAATATATTTTTGTTTTGTTTTTCAAGTCCTTAACACAGTTTCTAGGCTGGTCTGTGCTCAATACTGATACTTATGATAAGATGAATAAACTGGAGAATAGAAAGGACATTGCACGGGATATGGTGCTTTACCACGTACGATGTGACCAGGATGAACTTCAAGAGATCTTGGTATGACTTTTAAAGATTTGGCTCTTTTCTAATTGTCCCTATTCCTTATTTCTTGATTAAGTCAACTGTTAAGAGATTGAGAACTATTTAGATCTTGAACGCTACAAGGTCTGCTACAAGCTAAGCCCTGTTATTAAGCATGATTAGATAACAAGCATTGAACAAGGTTGGTTGGTTTTTTTTTTTAGGAAAATGTTAAATTGTCAGAAAAAATATATTGATGGTAATGGAAAGTTGCAGGTTTTATCCATCTGCTGATTAAGATTCCAAAATATACTTCCTGTATATAACTTCAACATGCCTCTGTTTTTCCACAGCCAACAAAAGAGAGGCTTGGCAAAGAGGTGAACGAATGTAGCGAGGATGAACTGATGGAACTTCTAGTGAGTGTCAATTGTTGTGAGTGCCTTACTATGGCATCCTACCCTTCTTTTAAAGATTACATATCTAAACTGGGAAACCTTTTATTCTGTTGCACATTACCTAGGAAAATATTACATAAGCAGATAAGTATGTCCTGAGGTCATAGTCCTACATAAGCAGATAAGGATGTCCTGAGGTCATAGTCCTGAGGGCAGAAGAAGAAGCAATGGGTGAAAGTTAGTCAAGGGGATATCCAACTTGAAACTAAGGAAGAATTTCCTTAATCCATGGAACAGCTTGTCTTCTGGAGTTATGGGTGCTCCATCACTAGAAGTTTCCAAGAAAATATTGAACAATCATTTGTCTATGAGGAGTGAATGACTCCTGCCTTTGATTCTATGTCTTTCCTGATATGACTTCTCTGATACATATAAAGTGTGTTTTAGCGAAGTACAATATCAACCAACATTATTTGATTCAAAGTTTATTAAGCAAACACCATACAAGCCCCCCCCAAATTGATTGGCCATCTTCATCACAATACTTTTTCTAAACTTTAATGAAAACCCAGTTCTCGATTTCACCCATGAGTTTTATTGAAAGAATTAAATGTGGTGTTGTTGTTTTTTATCAATTATTATCAATTTCAGTGAAGGGTTTCTTCTATTCTAGTTCCTTAGAATTTTCCATGCTAAACGTACTGACAGTTCACAAACTTAAGGTGGGAAATAAGGTTGGCAATGTAGATTTAGCATTAATATGATGTAATGCCTGACAGAAAAAAAAAACTATTCCACATTTTTATAAAAGCAATTACATTACAGAGGAAAACACTGACCTCATTTGCTTGTAATAGTCATCAATTACAAATATTGGCCATGGCTCATTGCAGGAATTGACATTATACACGCACTAGAGGTAGCATAGCAGGAAACCAGGGACCCAGAAACAGGCAAGACAGTTATTTAAATGCAACACAAATGCACCAAGAATCCAGACCAAAAAACTGTCTGTGAGTAGTCTTCCTATCTGACCATATCACTGTGAGGTTGTAGATGATCACAAGCTCTGATCAATTGCAAAAAAGATAACTACAGGTAATGGATCTGTAAATGGTTTGCTTAATTAACCAGAGCTTACATAAACTACAGTTCCATTTTTCCAAACGTTAGAAAATCAAGATCTTGGGAAAGCAAAATTAAATGCTGGCAAAGCTATTCTAAAGGACAGGAACTGAACAGAAGTCTATTTAAACAAAGTTTGGTTTTGTGTATTCATCTTATGCATTGTTTGCTAATTCATGAAGTAGCAGTAGATGCAAGCATAGTCACTATTTTTATGGCAGTTCAGAGAGCAAAGCTTGCTGCTTCCACTCTGGAATCTAAACTAGAAGTGCTATTCTTTTTTTCCCTCCCCCCCCCCTCCAGAAAGAAAAGCTTCCAGATCCTGAAGAATGTGAAATCTACGCCTTTCACTTTTGTGATTTCGAATGGACTGAACTTGATCTTGTAAAATGTGGCATTCAAATGTATTATGAGCTTGGAGTGGTGAAAAAATTCCAAATTCCACAGGAGGTAAATGGTAACTTTTTTTTGAAGACCCTTCCTCAAATATGAAGAAATTTTAAAAAATGAATAATCACACTGTGGCTTTACATCTGTCCACTGTTAAGTGGACAGCGGCATTTTGAATTTTCTACAAATGGGTTGTCTTTTTAAAAACGTTTTGTCTGCTTGCATTATATCCCACCTTTCCTTCAGTAGTTCAAAGCAGAATTAATAGCTTTTGTCCTCCAAATTTTCCGACAACTCTAGGGAATAGATTGGGCTGAGAGGTGGTTACTTATCCCAATGTCGTCTTGTGAGCTTCCCTATCTGAGAGCAGAATTAAACCTGGGTCTCCCAAGTCATAAGCCAACACCTTTGCCATTCCATCAAGGCAATACAAAATAAAGCAAAAGCCAAAAAACTGTAGAGAAAGGAAACAGGAAATCAGATATACACAGTGGTGCGATTCAGATATGTGAACAACCGGTTCTCTGTGTGGATGACACTTCCGGAAGTCCATTCAGGGCCTGGGCAACAAAAAATTAGCTACCGATTCTGCCGAAGTGGTGCAAACCGGCTGAATTCCACCATTGGATATACATATTGAGTGTAAATTATCTGAAGGACAGTAGGAACATCGTAAAATTGCGTGTAGATTTGAAATATACTGCTCCTTGGGTGATTATTGTATTTTTCTGTAGAATCAGAACCCATGGGAGATTCCAGCTGGCCAGACTTTTTGTACACAAAATCTGTAATTGTAATTTATAGGTTCTTCAGTAATGCTTCAGTTGTTCTCCTCCTCCCATTTTTGAAAGCCAAGATGCCATGACAACATAGCATGTTTACATGCAAAGAATCCGTCAGCCAATCAGTGTTGGCTAGCACTTTTTGACCAACAGTAGAGGACAGGGAACTGCCAATCAATCAATACTTCCAGCCATGGCATCATCTAATCTGCAGGAGGATCATCGCAATCATTTTTGGATCTTCATCAGTCTGGAAATTAGTTAGCAGCAGAAATAACTACTAAATCTAAGTTGGGACTCCCCAGATAGCCATTTCCAGAGGCCAGGCTAACATCTTCTAAAATTTCTACAGTTTTGAAACTTACTGGGCTCCCAGTAAATTGTCAAGGTTGCAGACCCTTACCCTAATGCATTTTATGTAGATTATAAATTGCTTCGAAAGTTTAAGTTAACACTTCAGATATCAGTGATCCAAATTAATGGATAAAATAAATTAAGGGGTCACTAAGGAAAAAAGAGATAGTCTTCAACTTACGATGACAACTGAGGCCCAAATTTATGTTGCTAAGTGAAAATTTATTAAGCGAGTTTTGCCCCATTTTACGACTTTTCTTGCCACATTTGTTAAGTGAATCACTGCAGTTGTTAAATTAGTAACACGGTGGTTAAGTGAATCTGGCTTCCCCCATTGACTTTGTTTGTTAGAAGGTTGCAAAAGATGATGACATGACCCCAGGACGCTACAACCATCATAAATATGAACCAGTGGCCAAGTGTCCGGAAGTAAATCAACTGACCCTGGGGATGCTGAAACGATCATCAGTGTGAAAAATGATCATAAGTGCCTTTATAACTTCGAATGGTCACTAAATGAACTGTTGTAAGTCAAGGACTCCCTGTACTATTTTTCTCCTGAACATCTGAATACTGAAAATTGGATAAGAAGCTTTTTGGGGGGGGTGGAGTTTCTTGCCTCCTTTTGAAAAACTTGTTGCACATAAAACTGTGCAGTTTTGCACTGATTAACTGTTTTTATTTTCACAGGTTCTGGTGAGGTTTGTTTTTTCAGTCAGTAAAGGTTATCGAAAGATTACCTATCACAACTGGCGTCATGGCTTCAATGTTGCACAGACTATGTTCACCCTTCTTATGGTATGTCTTTACTGAGCCCTCTATATCAGGGGTCCCCAACACCTGGTCCATGGACCAGTACCAGGCCGCGGCATGCCAGCAACCGGTCCGCACAAACAATCAAAGCCCTATCCGCAAGATGCAGGCAGCACACAAAACCATGCTCACTCCGGTCCGCAGAAAAACCTCTCTCCACGGAACTGGTCCCTGGTGACATTCATAACTCTCACCCACCTCAGAATTCTTAGTTTAAGTATCTACAACAATTTTTAGCTGAGGTTTTTCCAATTTCATTCTTGCTTATGAGCCCAGATTCACATATTCCATCATTTATCAAGAAATTAGGAGATAAAGTACTTTACACAAAAATCGCCAGTCCGTAATATTTAAAGCACTTAGGTAGAAATTCTCTTCATTTGGATGCAGATTTAGGAATGTTGAGATGAGTTACTTTAGCATCCTCAAGGCTTCTGATTCTAAAAACGTGCTCACATACAAAACAAACAAACAAACAAACAAAAACAAAATAAAGGCCAAAATTTTTAGTTCCACTGATTCTGGAAAGGGCTTTGTGGGTTACAGATGATAGCTACAAATACGCAGTTTTTTAAGATTTTTGAATGAAAATTTCATTCAATTTTAATGCAAAAACTAAGATAGCTTGTGATATGAGTAGCAATGGAAATTCAGTCTGTATGGTGTTTTTTTTTAAAAAAAATCTCTAACAAAATTAAAGCTAAATCTGATGGATTAAAAAAAAACTGAGGTTTTTTTTTTAAACTTTCTTTGTATAGACAGGTAAACTGAAGCAGTACTACACTGATCTTGAAGCCTTTGCCATGGTCACTGCAGCTTTGTGTCATGATATTGATCACCGAGGAACCAACAATCTTTATCAGATGAAGTAGGTCCTCTTCTTGTATTATCAATGCAATTTATATTGGGATCTGTTGATTCAGAATAGATTTCATATTAAATTCTATAGGCTGCCCCCCCCCAAAAAGTGAAATGATTCTTTGTGCACATAGGAAAAACTATCAGTGTCCCCTTACACATTGATGGAGACTCTTGTGCTTCTTCTCAGTGACAGTTCAAAGGATTTCCACCAGTTGATTTTAATGACAGAACTTAAGAAATTGCAAACAATAGATTCCTACCTTCTTTCCTCCAAACTAGTTAACCATTTCAGAAATGTTTGGTTTTCCTCTTGCGTATTCACAAGGTTTTCAACTGTGCAGAAATAGCACCCAGCAATTCAGGAAATATTTTAGCTCTTCACCTTCTCCAAAGGCAACTCCAACCATTATAAATACTCAAAAAGCAAAACTCCTAGTGGTGATGACAGAACTATCCATTCATTAACAATTTTCTCACCCCTCCCAATACTAGTAAAAGTACTCACAATGATAAAGCCAAGGTCTAGTCTCTTCCATGGTGGACTTACCTTTGTAGCAAAGGAGTATCTGAAATCATTCTCACTTTACTTTTCCTTGAGATCGCTAGGCAGCTTACAATACAGGGTTTCATTCAGTGAATATTTTTATTTTCTGAAAGGCATTCTGGGAAACAAAGATGGTGCTGGGGGAAGATGGGGTGAACAGTGTTTTGCTTGGGAGACTGCTGGCTTTCAACTTAAAAGAGGCAGAAATCTTCTGATGCAGGTGTTCCAGATACCTTAAACCAGGGGTCTTCAAACTTGACAACTTTAAGACTTGTGGACTTCAACTCCCAGAATTCTTCAGCCAGCGTGCCAGGTTGAAGACCCCTGTGGTAACTGTTGGCAACATGTGCCCAGAGTAAACCCTCTGGGCACATGTTGCCAACAGTTACCACAGGGGTCTTCAACCTGGCACGCTGGCTGAAGAATTCTGGGAGTTGAAGTCCACAAGTCATAAAAGGGCCAAGTTTGAAGACTCCTGAGCTACCAGATGAGAGATGCAATAATCCAGAGGATCACTAGATGGCACCAAAGGGTTTCCTAAATCTTTTTGAGGTCTTCAGATTTTGCAGATTTACATTGCTCTTATTTCTGATGGCTTACTTATAGCCTCCATAAATAAAATTTCAAAAACTACCATTTTAAAAGATGGAAGCCACCCTCACATTAATTTATCATTCCTTGAATAAGGAATTATACAGAAAAAGAAATGATGCAGTAGATATTTAGCTGTGCAGTGGTGAAGTATATACTTCTAAAGTATATTTATATTTAAATATCTGCCTGTTGGTTTTGCTGCTTAGAATTTTACAGATATTCTTATCGTATCAATTTGGGGGGGGGGGGATTGCATGTTTTTTTTTATTTTAAACTGCCTTGGAATCAATGAAGCATGATAAAATGTATTATAAAATAGTTATAGTGATATATCGCAAGTCAAGAAAATCAACTTTTTAGTAAGAACTTTAATCAACAAAGATTAGAGCAATGCCTGGTTGTTGTTCTTGGCACTTCCAGTTCCAAAGCAATCATTTACAAGCTTGAGGATAGAAATAAAGAAGTATTTGGCATTCTCATAATTATTATATTCTTTAATCTTCCCTCGTGTTTGCTAACAGATCTCAAAATCCCTTAGCAAAACTTCATGGCTCATCCATTCTAGAGAGACATCATTTGGAATTTGGCAAATTTCTGCTCTCAGAAGAGGTGGGTGACCAATATTTTAAACTGCAGAAGTAATTTGGTGGATCCATATTTGGTTTTTTGAAACTGTGGTTGGTAATAGACACAACTCAAATTTTGATTGGGATTAATAATTCTCTTAAAACTAGAGATCGCAATGCATCTATTAGCCCTTTTTCCTTCTCAGATACTAATTTTATAAAAGTCAGTTCCTGAGCTCTCAAATAGCATAGCCTGCCTTGGGATTGCATTTAACTTCCATGTTAATGTACAGTCAGTAGAAAATAAAATTGACGCATTAACAATTCAACAACTACTTAGATTCAATTAATCATTCATCAGATGGTTCAAAGCATACACACACTCTTAACATTAATTGATCGTTTAAACCAGTTAATTGGGAATCTGTGCTAGAGCACTCTATTTCAAAATTTAGATTGTCAGTATTGAAATTAAAAATGAGGGCATTTCTATGCAAGGACCACTTTGAAAGCAGCATTTCAAGCTGATAAAACTGAAGAAAATTACCTTGAGATAGGACTGAAACTGATGGCAAACTGGTGGAAGTGTCCTGAGGAATAAAAGGCATCAGCACACTTCAAAATGAAGTCTGCAAAACATTTGGAGAATAACCAAAAACATACCTAGCCATTTAAGAAATAATTTATCTGAATAAAACACCAGTAAAAACTTCCTGCTCAATAGTTACAGAGTTAAGATCAATTGGTGGAAAAACAGAAATTGGGGAAATTGGGAGAGGAAAGTTGGGTATCAGAATATGATCCACCTTGTTCTTCTTTATGTTCTTTCCAAATGATGAAGGCGATTAGTTGCATTTTTTAATACCTCAGCAGACAGCAGAACAGAGGTCATTGAACACAAGCCAGGTAAAATCAGTTCAGCAGTAATCTGATCACTTCCCACTGGCTTCCGGAAAAATTTTCATTGGCTTCTGGAGAACCATCAGCAGAAACCCATTATGAGGTGTGAGATATAGCAATAGAATAAAATAGAATGTTGTTGTTCGTCCATCGATTTTCGATGAAGACCTTGACATCTTGTGGGTTGTGGGCCATCAACGATGTGTCCGTAGGTGGCTAATAAGACTGATGTTAGCACGGAATGTTCTGTCACATACTGAACAAAGCAGTGTAGACACTGTTAATTCAGCATTTGCAGCTCTGGTTTTGCGGAGTGCTCGCTTTTCTTGTGCCAAGATTGTCCTTCTGTGTTCATATGTCTGGCAACCCTGGTACACCAAGGTGCGCCATGTCGGTCGATCATGCACCAGAAGTTCCCAAGAGATGGTGTTAATATCCAGAATAGAATGGAATGGAATAGAATAGAATAGAATAGAATAGAATAGAATAGAATAGAATAGAATAGAATAGAATAGAATAGAATAGAATAGAATAGAATTGGAAGAGACCTTGGAGATCTTCTAAACTAGTCCAATCCCCTACTCAGGCAGGAAAATCTATACTGAGCCAGGAGATGGAGTCAAAAGAGGAATTAGTCTCTTAAGTCATTAGTACCCACAAATGATCTAAGTCTAACCCCTCTTGGATTCTGTTAACCCTTATCTAGTGCCAAAAGAGTGCTATTGGTTGATTAGATACCTGTTGCATAGGAATAAGCAATAAATCATTTCAATCAGAACTTAACATGGAGCCTTCGTCTTTTGCACCTGATAACTAGATGTTGAAGAAAGATACCATTAGGAAAAGTTAGAGGTGCTCAAGGTACACAACATGATGCCTGGCAGGATCAATCTTCCACTCTGATTTATGTATTTCTCCCCTTTAGTCCCTGAACATTTACCAGAATCTCAACAGGAGGCAGTATGAACATGTAAATCACTTAATGGAGATTGCCATTATCGCCACCGATTTAGCACTGTATTTCAAGTAAGTTAATCACTTATTAATTGCTACAGAGAACCCAAATGTTGACACAGTTCTTCAGAATATTGCTACATTTTGAATAAAACAACACAAATAGAAAAAAAAAGTAAAGCGGTTTCAGTAATTTAATTTTTTTTTTATCTGCGCTAGTTAGGTTCTGCTCAATAAAACACAGGCAGGAATGAGAGGATCTGGAATACAATTTGGAGAAGGAAATAAGCCCCACAGTGTTAGATTGCTGTTGAATTTACCCATTGTTACCTTCCTTTCCACTAGGTCGGGGGTAGGCAACCTTGGCTCTTTTATGACTCGTGGACTTCAACTCCCAGAATTCCTGAGTCAGCATAGCTGCACTAGGCACTCAAATGGCAGATTTCATGTCGATTGTCTTTTTGTTTATCCCCTCAGTCTCCTGTGCTTTGGGTAAGGCTGAGAAAGTGACTGGCTAAACGTCACCCAGTTAGCTTTCATGGCCAAGGATACTTCTCTGATCTTAATCCAACACCTTAATCATCAATCACATTGTGGTGTTTTCTACATACAGTAGAGACTATAGCTTTATTGTGCTGGGGAAAGTCAAGCTACAGTTGGAATTGGTTTATTCTCCCAGAATAGCATTAGCTTGTAAATATTAATGAAGACCCTGATTTCTTGACATGAAGACCCTGATTTCTTGTTGCCTTTGGGTCTGTAAAACATTCAAGGGTGTATTCAGATATGTATGCATCTTAAGCATTAAAGAACAGAAAGTTGCTTATATTTCAGCAAATTCTGCTTTACATTTTCAGTATTAGGGCTAATCCAATGGACAATTTATATATACAAGGAGGTTTTTGTTTGAGTTATAATAGATAATGCAGGGAGTGTTGTTGTTGAGTCTATATTAAAATGAAGTGGGTCCAAGAGGACAGTCTCTTCCTGGATTGTGTGAATTCCTTTCCTATCTAGGACTTGTGCCTATACTGTTGGGTTACTAAGAAATTACCCTGAATTTTGATGATACTCAAGCTACAAAAAAGGATTAATTTTTCTTATTTGTTTGCTGCCTGCAATCTGTTTTTTTTTAAAGAAAGAGAACAATGTTTCAGAAAATTGTTGAAGAGTCAAAGAACTACCAGGATCAGAAAAAGTGGGTTGAATATTTGTCTCTGGAAAGCACAAAGAAAGAGATTATTATGTAAGTGATCTCTTTTTAAAAAGCTAAATATATAAATGGCAACAATTAAAAACACGAAATGGTATATTATCTCAGGTTAAATATTAGTACTAAACCAGGTGTAAATTGCTGTCAGAACCTGAGGACTATCTATATGCAGTATATTTACATAGGCATGTATGCATGTATATATGTATGCATATGTTAGATTTTTTTTGTAAAAAATGGCTATCAGATTAGAACAGGGGTGTCAAACTGCCAGCCCACGGGCCGGGCACATCATGTGAAAGCCGTGCCCACCCCATTGCCGACAATGGCAAAACAGTCCCGATACGTCACGCGATGTCACATGATGTCGCAAGTTTGACATGTCTGGGTTAGAACATAGGTTATTTGAGAGACTTTTTGGGAATTAAGATATGGAATTATTGATGTTAAGTGTTCAGTGTTCTCTCTAGGAGGGATTACTCTCAGTGCAGACATAGACCATAGTCATTTAAGCCACTTGGATTGGATGAGAATATTCTAACAGCTGCCTTTTGGAACTAACACTCCTACAATTGCTGTAAATTAAAATATAATAGACACAAAACCTTAAAGAATGTGGACAATTTGGCCCAAAGCTACCCTACCTGGAGGCTACACACAAATGCATGCATACAGATCATCAGCAATACATGGGAAGACACGATTTTGCCCAATTCTTTCTAAGACTTATACATGTAGGACTATGATTTGAACACTGGATCATGGGAAGAAAATACATTGACATAGCAAGATATTACTTTTGATTCCAACTAATTTAAAAAAAAAAACGTAATTCAGAGTAAAACAATGTGGGCACTTTGATGCAGAACCCTGATGGAAATAGCTAAGCCTTCTAGAGCTGTTTCTCTAGAAGCTTTCTCCCAAGGCACATTTCTCTATTTCTCAATGGGTTCCTTTTGGGTCAGGCCTTCCTGGTATCCTTGTAAGGATATGCATGTATCTGCCTTGGAGGGCTGCTTGGAAATCCTTTGGTGCAATAGTTTTGCTACTTGGGAGAATGTGAATGGACAGAGAAGCACACATTCCTTCATTCTGTTTTCCCTTCTGGCTTCTTCTTTACAGGGCTATGATGATGACTGCCTGTGATTTATCTGCTATAGCAAAACCTTGGGAAATCCAGAGTAAGGTGAGGTGCCTTTCACTCAGTTGTTGTTGTTGTTGTTAATTGCAAAGTCGTGTCCGACCCATCGCGACCCCATGGACAGCGTTCCTCCAGGTCTTCCTGTCCTCTACCATCTTCTGGAGTCCATTTAAGTTCACACCTACTGCTTCAGTGACTCCATCCAGCCATCTCATTCTCTGTCGTCCCCTTCTTCTATTGCCCTCAATCTTTCCCAGCATTAGGCCCTTCTCCAGTGAGTCCTTCCTTCTCATTAGGTGGCCAAAGTATTTGAGTTTCAACTTCAGGATCTGGCCTTCTAAAGAGCAGTTGGGGTTGATCTCTTCTAGGACTGACCAGTTTGAACACCTTGCAATCCACGGGACTCGCAGGAGTCTTCTCCAGCACCAGAGTTCAAAGGCCTCAATTCTTTGGCGCTCAGCCTTTCTTATGGTTTCACTCAGTACCCTTTCTTTAAAAGTTAAGAGCAATTTGTGGATTGTGCATTTTCCTTATCATAGAGTGGAGCATTGATCCTACAGTATAAAGAAAAACTGGATCCTGCCCCAATAAGACAATATAAACTTTACATTGTGATTGTTTCTTTTTTTTATCACTTTGGTCTTTCACTTGTAGTTTTTCATATAATGGAGAAATTCCATCAACACAATTTACAACCAGTCTAACATCTCTATTTAGCAAGTCAGATGTGAAAAAGTATTATCTTCCAGAGATTTGGGTTTTCTTTTTTTACAGGTAATAGTCACAGGTTGTGTTTAAGAAGACTATTAAGTGATGCTCTACAAATTTTAGAGGCTTAAAACCTCATTGGCCTCAATGACCTTGTGAGTTTATACCTTGAAACAACAAGGTGGTAAAGGAGCACTCAAACATATAGAATGCTGCCAAGTGTGGGAACTGATAATGATAAGATGATTTTATAGCTGCTACAATGACAAAATAACAAGAGTGGTGAAATGTGAATGCCAACATCTTAAAAGTTTGTTTCCATGTACAGGTGGCATTATATGTAGCAGCTGAATTCTGGGAACAGGGAGATCTGGAAATTTCTGTACTTCAACAACAGCCTATTGTAAGTTCATTAAAACATAGTCAATGAGTTGCTTTCTCCCTTCTTCTGTTTTTTTCCTCTAGTAACCTTTCTACACTTAGAACAGTGTTTCTCAACCTTGACAATTTTAAGGCATGTGGACTTCAACTCCCAGAATTCCACAGCCAGCATTGCTGGCTGTGGAATTCTGGGAGTTGAAGTCCACATGCCTTAAAATTGTCAAGGTTGAGAAACACTGACTTAGAAGGTGAAAACCTGTACTTTGGGCAGCCCTCCTTTCCAATGTCCTTCCAGCAGGAGGAAAAGCCAGAGTTAGCTCAGTTCTGATTTAGTAGGCATCAGCACTGCAAGATGTGCAAAATAACAGCCTTGCTTAGAATATAGGCAGGACAAGAAGCAATGGATGGAAACCCAAAGATGCTTTTTCATGAGTCAACTGGACTTTCTTGTTTTTCTTTGAAGATGTTTCACTTCTCATCCAAGAAGCTAAAGAAACTTCTTGGATGAGAAGTAAAACGTCTTCAAAGGAAAAAAAAGGAACTCCAGTTGCCTCATGAAAAAGCATCTTTGGGACAACCGTGACCTGGATGACTGAGAATCTCCATAGACATTTAGCAATGCAATGGATGGGAATTAATCAAGGAGACAAGCAACCTAGAACTAAGGAGAAATTTCCTGACAATTAGAATAACTTGCCTCCAGAAGTTGCGGGTGCTCCAACACTGGAGGTTTTTAAGAAGTATTTGGACAACAATTTGTCTGAAATGGTATAGGCTTAAGCAGGGCGTTGGATTAGAAGACCTCCAAGGTCTCTTCCAACCCTGTTGTTCTGTTATATAGTAGAAGCTAATTTGGGACCTTTCCGGGTGAAACAGTAGTTTCACCCCATTTTGAGGTCAAAGAGAGATAAAGATGAAAAAAGGGCTTGTCTTTCTTACCGTAAGATTCCCTCATTAAAGTGGGCAAAGGGGCTGAGAAGGAATGTTTCAAGGACAGATGGTCTCTCCTCTGTAGATCATCTTACTGGTAAGCAATTCAACCAATTTCAAGAGCAAATGGGGTGGTCAATGAATAGAAGTCACACAAATGTATGTATGTATGTATATACAGACAAACACACACACACACACACACACATTTTGCTGATTCAGAATCATTGTCTTTGTCCCAGTAAAGCTGGGGTCTTCAAACTTGGCCCTTTTATGACTTGTGGACTTCAACTCCCAGAATTCCTCAGCCAGCATGCCTGGCTGAGGAATTCTGGGAGTTGAAGTCCACAAGTCATAAAAGGGCCAAGTTTGAAGACTCCTGCACTAAAGTTATGAGGCTCATTACAGGTCGTTGTTGATTTACAACAGTTTGTTTAGTGACCTTTTGAAGTTACAACGGCACTGAAAAAAGTGACTTATGATCATTTTTCACACTTACAACCATGGCAGCATCCCCATGGTCACATGATCACAATTCAGATGCTTGGCAACGGATTCCTATTTATGACGGTTGCAGCGTCCCGGGGTCATGTGAACAGCTTTTGTGCCTTTCTGACAAGCAAAGTCAACGGGGAAGACAGAATCACTTAACAACTGTGTTACTAACTTAACAACTGCAATGATTCACTTAAGAATTGTGGATAGAAAGGTCATAAAATGAGGCAAAACTCACTTAACAAATGTCTCACTTACCAACAGAAATTTTTACCTCAGTTGTGGTTGTTGTCAAGGGCTACCTATACTAATAGCGTGCTTTAAACCCTAAAGTTTCTTGACAACATTATAATTCAGACTTCAAAACTCTGTTTCTTAAGAGGATTTAATGAGTGTGCCTACAACCATTGCTATTATTTCCTAGCCTATGATGGACAGAAGAAAAGCTGCTGAGCTCCCCAAACTTCAAGTTGGCTTCATTGACTTTGTGTGCACATTTGTATACAAGGTAAGCAGATTAATGATCTGATCTATAAGGTCCAGGAACCTTTATTAAATCTAAGTCACTCTACGAAACCTCTTGCCCTCATCTAGGTGATTTGGATTTCATCTCCCCTCACTTTCAGGAAACATAAGCAATAGCAAGGGATTAGCAGTGGTTAGAATGCAGTACTGCAGGCTACTTCGGTTGACTGCTAGCTGCCAGCAGTTCGGCAGTTCGATCCTGACCAGCTCAAGGTTGACTCAGGCTTCCATCCTTCCAAGGTCGGTAAAATGAGGACCCAGATTGTTGGCAGGCAATATGCTGACTCTGTAAACCGCTTGGAGAGGGCTATAAAGCATTGTGAAGCGGCATATAAGTCTAAGTGCTATTGCTATTATAAAAATTGTAATCCAAACCATCTGGATGGCATTAAGTTGTTTATACCAGGTTGAGGCAGATATTTTTTATCCCGAACAACATCTCTCCTTATAGGACCTTAGTACAAATCTTTTGGGAGTTAAGAAGCCAGATTTCTATTTCCTTTTCTGTTTTTTGGTTCAGGAACTAGCTTTTTTTTTTTGTTCACTATTTTTAAAATGAGAATCTAGAGTGGCACTCTAGCATTTTCTGAGTTTTCTATCCTCTCCAGTGGGATATTGGGAAAAAATTATATAAATTGGTTGAACTTTCTCAGTCAACAAGACAGCTCTCCAAAACCAAACAGAATCTGATGAAATTTGAACGACAAGGAGAAAGGATCAAGTTTGAAAATGAGCAACATCAGCGTAGGGACAAAAATATCTCCCCAAAAAACTATACTCCCACAAAAAGTGGAAGCTGTTATATACAAACAGAAAACAAACCCACACTCTCCCATACCTAGATGGGTGATGAACTGTCTTCAATCAATCAGAGAACTTCAGAGAACATCAAGAATTCTACCTTATATATCTTTATTTTACATTGTTTGATATTGCATAATGGAACTTGCAAATGATTTGCATTATTAGGTGAGGAAGATAACTGACCTAGCTGTTGTTTTGAGATGCTTGAGAAAAATGATTTTGCAATCTCAAAAATGTCTATCAGCTCTATGTGGGACAAGAGAGCATTCACTGCTTCCTTTCTAAAATATCTCGTCTTCCAAAGATGTGTTCTTCAAGTTCCGATATTATTTTTGGTAAAAAGTATTCTTAATGAACAGATGGTAGAGTTAGGTTAGGATTTCCAGTGACTACAACAAATAAGCAAATCATCAAGCAAAACAGAAAGATGTCAGATTTATTTCCAATTAAAGGTTTTACTTTTGAAAGATACCCTTCTCTCTTCTTGAAGCAAATTATGCTTTTAACCTTGGGTAAATCTTTGCTGTGTAAAGGATGCTTAATGTAGCTTATAAGAAAGGGGTAGTTGAAATGACCAGGAAATGGAATTAGCTTTCCTGAGGAATGCCTCAAGATAAATAAAAATCAATATTATAAAGGCAATTACATCCCAAATCATAATGCTTAAGCTTATTCTTGTTCTACAAATCAAAATGTAAAAAAGATGTTGAGACTTTAGAAAAAGTGCAGAGAAGAGCAACAAAGATGATCAGGGGACTGGAGGCTAAAACATATAAAGAAGGTTGCTGGAATGGGATATGTCAAGTTTAACGAAGAGGAGGACGAGGGGGGACATGATAGCAGTGTTCCAATATCTCAGGAGAAGAGGGAGTCAAGCTATTCTCCAAAGCTCCTGAGGGCAGGACAAGAAGCAATGGGTGGAAACTAATCAAGGAGAGAAACAACCTAGAATTAAGGAGAAATTTCCTGACAGTTAGAACAATTGATCAGTGGAACAACTTACCTCCAGAAGCTGTGAATGCTCCAACACTGGAAGTTTTTAAGAAGAGATTAGACAACCATTTGGCTAAAATGGTATAGGGTTTCCTGCCAGAGCAGGGGGGGTTGGAGTAGATGACCTCCAAGGCCCCTTCCAACTCTGTTATTGTTATTATTGGTCATCACACAGTCAGGCAGATGTTCAGACTGGATTTGGCATTTTTGTCTACCTATCCTTACCAAAGACCTGAGATAGCAGAAGTGGATTTTTGAATTGAAGGTATTACAGATATTGTCACAGGATGGAATACTTTCAGTTCAAACATCCACATTGTTATCAGGATGGATATCATCACATAATAATAATAATAATAATAATAATAATAATAATAATAATAATAATAATAATAATACGGCCGATGTGATGGGCTGTTGCCTCGAAGCCGTGAGGGTCTGGATGGGCGTTAACAGACTCAGGCTCAATCCTGACAAGACCGAGTGGCTTTGGATGTTGTCTCCCAAGGATCATGTCGACTGTCCAGTGTTGACTCTTGCGGGGAAAAATATACCCCCTTCGGAGCGGGTTCGCAACTTGGGTGTCCTCCTTGATCCACAGCTGAATTTGGAACATCATTTGATAGCTGTGGCTGGGAGGACCTTTGCACAAGTTCATCTGTTGCACAGTTGCGACCCTACCTGGACCGGGAGGCTCTCCTTACAGTCACTCATGCCCTTGTCACCTCACGTCTGGACTACTGCAACGCTCTCTACATGGGGCTACCCTTGAAAAGTATTCGGAGACTACAGTTGGTCCAGAATGCAGCCGCGCGAGTAATAGTGGGTACTCCTCGATACACCCATGTTACACCTATCCTCCGTGAGCTGCACTGGTTGCCTATTGGTCTCCGGGTCCAATTCAAGGTGTTGGTCATTACCTTTAAAGCCCTATATGGCTCAGGGCCAGGCTATTTGCGAGACCGCCTACTACCTCATAGTTCCCTACGTCCGGTTAGATCCCACAGGCTGGGCCTCCTTCAGGTCCCATCGGCCAAGCAGTGCCATTTGGCGGGGCCACGGAGGAGGGTTTTCTCTGTGATGGCGCCCACGTCTTGGAACCAGCTCCCCCAGGAGATTAGGACCGCTCCCACCCTGTTGGTTTTCCATAAGCTGCTTAAGACCTGGCTTTTCCAGCAGGCCTGGGGTTTATAAAATCTGACCCCTGGATGACTGTAATTGTACTGTTCGTTATGTTGTTTTTATTGTTAGCCGCCCAGAGTCCTATGGGAGTGGGGCGGCTTATAAATTTTAAAAATAAAATAATAATAATAATATCAGACAGGTAAATGACCCACATTTATCCCCAACATGCTTGGCTGATGATGATCATACAGTTCAGACTTTATAGGAAGAGAATGGCTGCAGCAATTGAGTTCAAAAGAGCTATACAGGTAGTCTTCAACTTAAAGACATTTATTTAGTGACCATTCTGAGTTTAAACAGCACTGGAAAAAGAGACTTATAACTGTCATTCACACTTAAAATTGTTGCATCATCCCCACAGTCACGTGATTAAAATTTAGACGCCTGTCAACTGGCATGTGTTTATGATGGTTACAGTATCATGGGGTCAAGTGATCACTTTTTGTGAACTTCTGGCAAGCAAACACAATGTAGAAACCAGATTCACTTAACAACTGTGTTACTAACTTAATAACTGCGGTGTTTCACTTAGCAACTTTGGCAAGAAAAGGTTGTAAAATGGATGAAAATTCACTCAACAACTGTCTTGCTTAGCAACAGAAATTCTAGGCTCACTTGTGGCCATAAATTGAAGACTATCTCTAACAAGGAGATATTACAATGACTGGCAATGGCTACAAATACTGCAGGAGGCTCAAGTTTGCCAAAGGACTTGGAGATCATTCACTTGGGATCCTTCTTTCTATTGTTTGCTCATGTAGGAATTTTCACAGTTCCACCCTGAAATTCTGCCGATGTATGAAAGACTACTCAACAATCGCAAAGAGTGGAAAGCTCTGGCTGACGCGTATGAAGCAAAGATGGCAGCCTTGCAGGAAGAAGAGAAGAAGGACCAAAAGCCAGATGCTCCTCAAGGTTAGAAAAGGAATGAAACTTAGGCTCCCTAATATTCTTTCTCCTTCCAGCCACTGGCTTTAAATAATCTGACCTGAATAGTGTGTGAGTGTGAGAAAGAGAGAGTCGATTCTGATAAAACATATTAAAATATCAAAGCATCCTATGTACAGGAGGAAGGTTAGTTTATTTTGCTATGGTTAAGAGGAGAGGTTCCTTCAAAATTGGAAAGACTAATATATGACCCCCAATTGCTCAATGGATTGAAGACATGGTATGACTTATGATTTATAAACAAATTGCTTATATACATAGATTGAGTATGAATAAATTTCAATGAAACACGGTCATCCTCTATTGAAATTGTCATGTAAAACTTAACTGCATATTACTCATGGCATTTCCTCTTTTTTTAACTCCCCCCCCCTTTGTTCTTTGTTTAAAGAATAAAGCAATAAGAACAAAATCAATAGCAGGAATTAGGTTTAGAGCACAGCTAGCAATTTCTCTAAATGAAGTACACGTTTAGTCATGCCCTTTCATCCATCCTCATCTATATCAATTTTATAAACTTATCTCTTTTCTGTCAACAAAATTCTTCCTTTCTAGCAGTTCCAAAATCCAATCAATTTTGACATTCCCCTCTCAGTTCAGTTAGCTTCCATGTCCTAAAATTAAAACAGTGCCTGGCATGCAAACATTAAGCAGATGGTTCTTCATAGCCGATTTTTAAATTGATACCCATGGAAGAGTTCAGCTAATCATTGTTCTTTTCTTTTGCAGCACCAATGGCCAATGGAGGACCTGTTACCTCATCTTCAACTTGTTGCATTCTTTAGGTCAACACATTAACAATGCAAGATTACAATAAGTCAGGGCTGTTTGACATATACATCAGAACTAGATTTGCCTCATGTACCGATGAACAAGAGTCATAGCAACCTGGATCTAGAGAATCAAATGTCTATTTTCAAATGCAAACTTTGCATTTATCCGTCCCCTTGAAAAACTTGAGATATATAGCTAAATAGCTGAAGATGCCATTATATGTTCTAAAGTTGTTCTGGGACATGACATGCAGACATGTGTGAGCTATGTGAACATTCTGTATCACTGAACTAACTCTCTGCCTCCTATGGTATTTTGGGGCTATATTATTAGAAATCTAGAATAAACTGCTTCTCAAGACTGATTTATAAAAGCAAAGGCCCATCATGGCTGAAGTAGTTTGAAAGTAAGCAGGGTCACAACAAAGCTTTGGAGAATCTAAGGTGCTCTCATCAATAATCTCTACAATGAATTATTTCACAGCAGTGTATCCAAAGGAGAAGCTAATCTATAGATAGGATACAATCAGCCATTAAAGGGGAAAAATGAAGTCTATCCCCATGCAAATCACTGGGGAAGAGACCCACTACGACCACAAATCTTGCATCTGCAAGACATTTAAGTTGCAATCCTTTTGTCATATGTAGAGGGTCTAAGCTTCAAATCGGGCATTGGACATTAGCCTTTACCTGTTCTTACGGAATAGGTCCCTTGTATTGAAAGCAGTAAATCCCAGCTTAAAGACACACACACACACACACACACACACACACACAAATGTGAGGCTTCCTTTTAGATCCAAAGCAATAATTTGTTATGTAGACCAAATAAACACTAAAACATCCAGAAGAGCTGGTACTTATTGGCAAATGCAGTTTATTTTCATGAAATAAAATGTCAGGGGATATAATGGGAAAGCAGAGCATATAAGCATTCATGGTTTGAATTTTATTATTATTATTATTATTCATATTTATTGGCTGCCCAACTCCAGTAAAAATAAATTCTGTAAAAACATGGGAGGAATTGGGGACTGAGCATCCAGAATTATAATTTAGTACTATTGAATGAAATAGAACTTAAACTGTATGTAAGCAAATTGCTTTTACATCACAAATGAGCATGGAAATGAATATGGAAAAGCAAGGACATCAGCCTGGCAACTAAATGCAGATCATTCCGCACTATCATGTTTCCAAAGCTACCTATGGCTGGACCATGAAAAAACTAAGCAAGAAGAAAATTGACTTGCTCAAGCTGTGGTCTTGGAGAAGGCTCCTGAGCATGCCTCGGTCAGCAAAGGCGGCAAACAAATACTGGAGCATACGGTACCAGACATATCACTGCTGTGCAAAATCACAAAATTCTATCTTAACAGTACTTATTTCAGTCATGTCATCCAATCAAACTCACTGGAAAAGGAAGTTATCCTTGGCATGGTCAGCAGTAAGAGGCAATGAGGCTGCCAAAAAAAACAGGATACCCATATAAGACGACTTTCTAAAGCATGCAAATCGGCTTCGAAGTCGGGGGTCGTCTTATACGCCGGAAATTACGGTAGTTTTGGCGTATAACACGACTTTCTAGGCATGCAAATCGGCACCGAAGTCGGGGGTCGTCTTATATGCCGAGTCGTCCTATACGCCGAAAAATACGGTAAGTAGATACTATCAAAGCTACTGCTAGCCAAAGCATAAAATAAATTAAAAAGGCATAAAAGATAAAAAAAATGTGTAGAGAGCTGGTCCATAGAATTACAATGAATCAGACACAATTGGATAACATATTACAAATATGATAGCAAGGCTAGAGACTAGTTTCTGGTAACTGACTGTATAATTGTAGTTAAAATCTCACAAGTCTGTGTACAAATTTAATTTGAAAAGAGTTATTTTTTAAAATAAAATATTTAAAAACCTCCCATTCATTCATCTATCTGCCTTAAGTCTTTCAATTAAATACAGTTCTCAGTTTTTTTTCAGCATATGCTGTGTCTAGGCTCCCTCCAATGCGAAAATAAAACATGCAGATGGATACAATACCGACTTCTAGGTAAAAGAATAGAGAAAAGGCAACAGCCAAATAGCATGAGGTATATTGATGAGGTTTGGCATAAGAGCATCAGGAAGAATGAAAATGGATTACTGATTAGTGCACAAGTTATTACCAGCAGGTAGTTTTCTGAGGAAATCGAAAACTACATAGTAGTGCAAAGTTAAGAAAATCTACATCCCATATTGAGAATTGGTAGTCTGAGCTTTCCAATTGGTAGAGTTCACATTGGTCAGCAAAAGCTTATTTTCATACAATGGAAAAAAAGCAGAAATTGGAATATTCTTTGGATCAGACCAATGTTTCTATTCTTAATCACAGCAGCTTGCTTCCCAATGAACCTCAGGAGAGTTTATCTAGTCACCAACAAAAACATTTGTCCTTTTACCACTTAACATATATCTTTCGTCATATATAGTAGTCAGGTGTCTCCAAACAGTGTGGAGCATCTTCTTTAGATACAGTCTACCTTACAGAAGACTACGACTTTCAAATGCCTGTTTATTAGTAAATGTGCCTTCTGATTGTGTCACTATTATTTATTTGAATATTCCCTTTCCAGCCAACCTGTTGTGATATCTTGATGACAACAGATTTAACCTGTGTTTATGGGGTTGCGATATTTCTTTAATAATCACAGTGCATCCACCTTTCATTCATTATAATAACTAGTATTGTAGTTTTAATAAAAAACATAGCCAGGGCATTTGGGAAAAGCTAAATTGTCAGTTATATGCTCAATAACTGCTTTCTTTCAATTATTAATCATTAATGAATATTAATTTATAATTCTTGGGAGTACACATTATAAATAATCTAACATATGTACCTTTAGAAAAAATGTTATCAATGGAACTGAATTACCCCTTTCTAAACCTCTTTAAGAAATGAGCACTTCTTCCCTCACCTAAGATCTGACTGCTGCACTTCAAATATTTCTAATAGAATACAACATTGATTTCAATAGGTTTCATTTGATTTTTTCCAAACCTTTCTTAAGTATGCAAATGTGAATAACATTAGTCTGACATAATGTCTTTACAATCCATACCTGATGAAAACTAAAAAGCTAGTCACACCCTTCAGAGATTTGAACCTGGGCAGCTTGCCACAGGTTCCCCATCTCCTGTCAGCAGAAACCAGGGAGGATATGTATCTTGTCTGTTGGGTGAGGCACCCGGTCTACCAAATATAAATCAGTCTGTTCTGCATTTCGCTCCAATGTAGGAGCATGTTTTGCAGGCAGACCTCACATACTGTGAACACTATAAATTCAAAATTTTGTGGCTGACAAAGAGTTAAGCAGTGTTTCTCAACCTTGACAATTTTAAGGCATGTGGACTTCAACTCCCAGAATTCCACAGCCAGCAATGCTGGCTGTGGAATTCTGGGAATTGAAGTCCACATGCCTTAAAATTGTCAAGGTTGAGAAACACTGAGTTATTGGGAGACTAGTATAGCTATTTCAGCCTCATTTGCCTTAAATTGGACAGCTCAGGGTTGAAATGAGGGGTCCTTGGTGCTCTCCAAGCTTAGCTGTTTTCTTGCAGATGTTTCATTATCCAAGCTAGGTAACATTATCAGCGCTAACATCACTAGCACTAGAGTATATATATATTCATTTCAGACAGAATACAAACGGACTTTCTCTAGCATAGTGGCTGAACAGTTAATGCTTTATTATATTGGAAGGGCTAAATCCCAGCATCAACACAAGGACTTCAAGAACAAAATCAGATCAGCACATTGTGTTTCATTTTGTCATTTCTTTTTTAATTAGCACTATACACATTAAGGAAAGCAACATAGTCGTGAATGTCTATTTACTGAAGTAAATAAATGTATTTTAGCCATTCAGAATTATCTGCCTCAACATTTCAAGCACTGGAGATAAAGATGAGGACTGAGGAGGTTTATTTCAGTATTGATTCTTGAGCTGAAAAAGAAAAAGAGGCAATTAAGCAAAACCAGCACCAAGATACATCCTAAGTGCACACAGGTTTTAAACAGAGTTTTGAAGGAAGCTATATGAAATATATTTCTCCTTAACTGATGATAGCTTAGCTGCCAGATGATCAAAGACACAATAATATTGTTATGTATATGTAGGGGTGTGGGTCTATACATATGTTGTACATACTGTAGTATGTTTAGGTGTGTGTCATGTATGTGTTTTCACTTTCAGAGCGGGCAACTAAATTTTATTTTTGATGTGTGCCGTCGTGCCCACATTAAAAAAATGACAATAAAGGTTATCTTATCTTATACTATGTTTTTCCCAAATTAAAAGTAATATTTAGAATCATGTACAATCAAATGTAGCCACTCTTGAAGCACATTCATGGAAATCAACAACTGTCCTGGAAAAACTTCTGATGATATAGGATTCGTTCTTTCCACTGATGCCTGAGACGATAGGCCTCCACAGCCAACCACAATAAAAGAAAAATGACATACATGGAAACATTTGATTCAAGCATATAATCCATGGTGTTTGCATCATGAAGTATGTTTCATCATTTCCCGCAGTCCCCCAGAAGCATACGCCTGAAGTACTGTTTTCCTGCGCAGCAAGAGTATTGTATGCACAAACTTGGAAAAGCAATGACACACTTCCAGTGGAAGATTGGATTATAAAGTTAACGGAATTTGCAGAAATGTTTAAAGCTGGCCAGTTTGATCAGAAATAAAAAAATAGGAGAAAGACGTTTTTGAAAGACTAGAAACTTTATGTGGACTTTCTGTTGAAGGTAAAAAAAATTAAAAAGATTAAAAAGGGACAAAGAAGACGGGTAAAATATTATGATCATTACTCAATATTTCCGATGGTCTTAGGCAGGGCTTGTCAACCGTCTTCTCTCCCTCCCCCCCTCCGCTCCACCTCACTTGTTTGTGGAAAATATGCTGCTTGGCGGCAGTCTGCATGAACTCTACCAAATGTGCCCTGCAGGGGCGCATGAAGAGCACAGGCGCAGAGCAAGGCCCTGCCCTCCCCAGAGACTCATTGTGCAGCAACCGGATTGACTTCTTCTCGTGCACGCAGGTCAGTGAAGGGGAGGCCGCCGCAGCACCCAACTCCTGCGCCTGTCAGCTGACGACCCCGAAATTTGCGCTTGTCAGCCGGGAGGTCTGGCGATGGCCGCCGGTCTCCTTTGCCACCCTGCCTGTCCTCGACTCTTCCTCCACCCATTCATGTTGAGCCCACCGGGGCTTGACAGGGAAAGAGGGTGGGAAGGAGGAAGAGACAAGGAGGAGAAGGAAAGGAAGAAAAGAAGGAAGGAAGGGACAATGGGAGAGGGAGGGAAGGAGGAAGAGACTAAGAGGGAGGTGAAGGAAAGGAAGAAAAGAAGGAAGGAAGGGACAAGGGGAGAAAAGGGAGGGAAGGAAGGCAGGCACCCACCCCAGTCCCATCCCAGAGACCCACAGATTCCCCCCCCCACAGGCACTCTGCAACCTGACTGATCAGCTGGCCACGCCCCCTGGCCATTGATCACGTGACCCTGGGACACTGTGAACGTCATAAGTATGAATCAGTTGTCAAGCATCCGAATGTAAATCACATGACCCTGGGGATGCTGCAACAATCATAAGTGTGAAAAATGATCATAATTCGCTTTTTCAGTGCTGTTGTAACTTCAAACAGTCACTAAGCGAATTGTTGTAAGTCGAGGACTACCTATACTTTCCCATTTTTTCCTCTTTTTTTTGGTTAAGTTTTTGATACCCCCCGGCCAGCTGGATGGGCGTCACCACAACATGAGGAACTGCATTAAAGGGTCACGGCATTAGGAAGGTTGAGAACCACTGATTTAGAGACTGTTGTCAAAATCAAACAAATTTACAGAAAATACCTTCTTCCAATGCTTTTGCAATTCTTTTCAATTCCTCCTGTTTTGCTCTTTCCTCTGCTTCTCTTATCCTATCCTCTGCAGCGATAGGCTTCAAATAAGCTATTGTAAAGTATAACAATATGTATTCAGAGGAAAGATAAATGCATTATGATTTATTGTTTCATAGTTCCTTACTTTCAATTCATTAAAGCAGGTGGAGTTTCACTATACAAAATATTTAACATAGGTCTCTGGAATAATTTTAGCTTCACAGTGGATCAGGCTTGTTCTCCATTTTTAGCATTGCTAATATTTAACTAAATTATTAAGATGCAATTTCACAAAATATAAAAAAGGTAAGTATAGACAGTATACTATTTCATACTTTACATATTTTTACCTATTAATAAGCCCTAAACTTCTACATTCAGAATGACTCTTTAACAAGTTTTTTAATGCTCTTGATTTATTAAATTTATATGCTGTCCATTTTACTGATACTGATTTTTTAAAATGCTTTATAAAACTGAATACGCTCATAATGTTCATGCACCAATAAATATATGCATCAAATTGTATATATAATTGAAGTATAAATGCCAACTCCAACCAGGAGCAATAAAAAATAAGTTGATATCATATCAATATACAATAAGCAATCTTGTGCACTTATTTTTTTCACATGAAGTGATCTAAGATTTCTCAGAAGATGCTTGTGAATAACTGTTAAGATGCCAGATGAAACACCTGGATGTAAATGCATCTATTGCAAAAATGTTATAGTACTGTTTAATTGCATTACTGATATATTTTCTAAACCAGACATCAGCTATTCACAATACAAACATAACCAAAAAGGTTATTTTTGTTAACCACTTACCATATCTTCTTGCTCCATAAATGATTCCCAACAGCAGTGCGGAGTATCTGCAGAACTTTAAATAAATTACAGAAATGTAAACCATAAAGAATATTATACTTAATTCACAAGAACACTGAATTGAGACATTCCAATGCTTTATATATTCAGCCCTTTAGACATGGAGCGTGTGACTGGTCTACCCGCCCCTTGCTCTCCCGTAATTGATCCTAGTTTCACCGTATAGGCCAGAATCTGCCATGATCTTAACACTTTCCCTCCCCTCATTTGCCCCGTTGGTCTCGTTCATCCCGCGGCGCACAGCTGTTATATCATTCTGTATACCCACTATTGTTATAAAATGGTATACACATTATATCATTTGTTTAGCAACCATTCGATGTTACAACAGCATTGAGAAAAATGTCTTTCGAATCATCATAGCTTCCCCATGGTCATGTGATCAAAATTCAGATGCTTCAACCAGCATGTATTTATCATGGCTGCAGTGTCCTGGAATTGGTTAAATGGTCACCATTTGCTGGCTGGATCACAGCTGGCTTCCAACAAACAAAGTCAATGGGGTAAGCCAGATTTGTTTAACAATGGCAGTGATTCATTTAAATCAGGGGTGAACAATTAATTTCCCCACATAAGGAACTGGGACTGTTATGGAAGGCCGAACCAATAGGCTGTGAAATTGTGTAGGCATGCACGCACGCCATAAGTAAATAGGAAAAAAAGCAGTCACCTTCAAAAGAAAAGTAATACAGTTGTATTGAATGCATAGTGTGCATTTATTTACATTTTATTTCTAATTTCTGATTGACGTCATGCAGGTTGGACAGGGACAACCAAAGAGCTAGATGTGGCCTAAGGGCTGTAAAATGCCCAGGTCTGATTTATAACTCACTTAACTATACCTTGCTTAGCAATAGAAATTCTGATCCCAACTTTGGTCTTAAGTCAAGGACTACCTATACAATTTTATATATTATACTTGCTTTTAGCAGCATAAAAGCAGTAACCAGAATACAAAACACAGAATACAAAAATAGCAATAATTATACTTGTTTGAACACTTTGAACATGTTTTCCAAAGATTTCCCAGATATTTTTATATTATAATGGTATGTTGGAAGATCCTTGCGAGACAAAAGGGAGTTGAAGATTATAGAGGTGGCGCAGCAGTTAGGGTGCAGTACTGCAGGCCACTTTAGCTGACTGTGTTCAGCAGGTCAGCGGTTCAAATCTCATCGGCTCAAGGTTGACTCAGCCTTCCATCCTTCCGGGGTAGGTAAAATGAGGACCCAGATTGTTGGGGGCAATGTAAAATATATATATATATATATATATATATATATATATATATATATATATATATATATATACATTGCTTACTGGTGTACACCGCTTAGAGAGTGCTCGCACTTAAAGCGGTATATAAGTCCCATAAATAAATAAATAAATAAATAAATAAATAAATAAATGTAAACAACATCTCAACCCACAAAAGCAGAAAGGACCAGGAAAGCATTCCAGAAAGTAAAAGTAAAGCAGGGGAGAAATATTTTCAGACTTATAAAATTTCCGTTAATGTAACAATTACTGCTTTTAATGTAATATTACAACAAAGATAGAACTGGTACTCATAGTTCTTCTTGTCTGGACTACCTGACAGGACTAACACATATATCATTTGGCAAAGCCAAAATGGCTTTTAAACAGCATTCAAGACAGACTCTCCATGATGGATGTATTTAGCTATCATTATTATATTTCACAAGAACTTTTCTGATACAGCTAGTTTGTAGATAAAAAATCTTTTTAATTCTTTGGGCACCTCTAGATCTTGTTAAGATTTTTTTGTTAAGTGCTCAGAAGAGTCTGAATGAGACACCTTTTTATGTATTGTAAATGGTCTGTGATTAATAAATGTGTGTATATGTTTGTATATATACTGCATATATATGTATATGTGTGTGTATATATATGTGTACACACATGTGTGTATGTATGTATGTATGTATGTATGTATGTATATATATAGACAGCGAGCATCAGAATTTCATTTTTTAATGTGTGCCAGTGTGTTCACAGAAAAAAAAGCTACCATAAAGGTTATTTTATCACGTTTTGCAAAAAAACCGATTTATTGAACAAGACGCCCCTTGAGCAAGAGACGGAGGGAAGAGAAATTCACTCGAAAACTCAGGAAAGACGAGTCTACGTGGAAGACTCTGGATCTGCAGCCAGATCGAAAGGGCAAGAGACGGGCCCACCACCGTCCCCCATTCTCCGTGACCTCCACCGCCACCTTCCGACTAAATGGGGACGCCGGTGGGCCTCCCCCGTTTTGCACGCCTCGCCCATCACGAGACGGAGCGCGTGCAAATTGCACCCCCCTCCACGCAAACATACACGCGGAAGCCCGAAGTGGCACGCGCGGCGTCTCAGCTCACCTTGATCAGCGGAGAAACCTCCACCGGGGGAATCATCTTCTCCTCCCGGTCGAAGGAAAAACGGATGTGACGCACCAAGCCGTTTAGAACGCAGGCGCGTTCTTTGACGTAGCAGCATCGACGATACAAAACGAGAGAGAAAGATAGAGATAGAAAATGGGGCAGGGGTTCTCAACCTTAGCAACTTTAAGATTTGTGGACTTCAACTCCCAGAATTCCTCAGTCAGCAAAGCTGGCTGAGGAATTCTGGGAGTTGAAGTCCACAAGTCTTAAAGTTGCCAAGGTTGAGAACCCCTGTGAGAGGCACGATATCAGAATATGCCTCTGAGGAATCCCACGGAAAGTCTGCGACTAATTTTCTTTTTAACATAGCATTTTTAGCGTTTTGAACTATATTTAAAATCAAATAAAAAGAAAACTTTACCTTTGTAAATAACATCAACATATTTATATGGTGATATTTTGTAAAGGTCTTAGAATATAAGGTTTATTCTAACAATGTCTATTCCTATGTTTGTGTACTGTACACCAGGGGTCTGCAACCTTGACAACTTTAAGACTTGTGGACTTCAGCTCCCAGAATTCCTCAGCCAGCTATGTTGGCTGAGGAATTCTGGGAGCTGAAGTCCACAAGTCTTAAAATTGTCAAGGTTGCAGACCCCTGCTGTAGACCAACCACACAGCAGTCTAGTAGTGTAAGCCAATAAGCATAATTTATACAGTATTTATGAATTTAATCATTTTTATATCCAAATAAAAGGGTTTTTACATTATATATTGTTTGATGAAATAGAAATTATATGCCATGATTAATTCATCAAACAGTTGGAAAAGCCTGTTATTATTGATTTACTTAAAAAGAATAATATATGTTTTGAAAGATACAAGTTGAAAATGTTTTCAACTACTCTAAGACACAGCATCTTTAAAACTTCCTTAAATTGGATCTGAAAGAAGAGATAAACAGCAGAGAGTAAAGATACACACACAGCCTGCCAAAGTCCCAGGGAGAATATCACAATACAATATAATCAGTGAATATTATTAGCAGGAGCAGCTGTGGGCAAATTATCTGAACTGCAAGAAACTATTCCACAAGAATATTTTGAGACCATAAATATTTCTAACAAGGCCGGTCATTTTAAATGTTTGTTTAGTAATATTTCATTTTGCAATAAATCATAAAGTAATTCATTAATTGCATAAATCATTTAAATAAATTAAATGAATTGTTTACATTTAAATTTTGATACTCAAAGCAAACCCCAATGCAGTTTGCTTATGTATGATGGCAACTATGATTGTATAATTATGACTTATGATTTACCATGTTGTGTGAATCCAGATACTCAAAGGGATATCTAGCTTTCTATAAATAGGAATGGCTGGGACTGAATATGTTAACCTGTTTAAATAAGTCAAAACCATCAAGGTCTACTCTACCCCATTCAAGTTCATGATGAATTCTCCAGGATTTTTTCTATTTCCAGTTAGTAACAGTAACAATAACTATTGTTGTTGTTGTTATTGAGGTATGGAGGAAACTACGAAATCAAATTTTGTTTAGTTCTAAGAAATCATGATGAATTATATCAAGAAATTGCTCCTTCCCAATGTAGCATCTTCCAGATGTATTTCTCAGAATATACAGGGGGAGAATTTACAAGTCTTCCTTAAAAAGTTAATACTTGTTTAATCGCTGTCCAGTGAGAAACTGTTCTTACTCTGTTATAATGTATGAGTTCAAAAGGTACACAAAAATAGCTTGAGTGACAGTTGAATTCACCACCATAGATATTGCAGCTCATAGCAATTGAAGGAATGTCTTACTAGACAACTTCAAGTAACTCTTGTTTATTCACCAGGGAATAGAAGGTATCTTGCAGTTCTGACCAAGTATGGAGTCATCTTGTGAGCTGGAGGTTCTTGCAGTGTTTGAGATCTTCTTTGGGAATGCCATCTGTAAAGACAAGAGCCTCCTCTACATATAAGAAGTGTTTGATACAGACAGCTTCCCAGAGAAACAGAGAATCTCTCCAGGAAAGATGGTGAGTTTTTAACCTATATAAAAAAATGATGTCTGTAAGGTTTTCATAACACCAACTTGATTGAGTAACCTCTTAAAAGGTAAATATTTAGAGGATAAATATTTTTTTTAAAAAAAAATAAACCGCCTTTTTTCATGTACAACTCCAAACTACAGTCTGTATACCCTGTCGCTTTTGTACAAGACAGTATGTATAAAACATTATAGCATCAAGGCTGCATTTTGTTATTTAGGAAAATAACCTGAGAATTATTATCAGCTGCCCGATTTACTTCTAACTGTGTAATCAGAACAAGGTACTATCTAACTGAATTAATAATTCTCTTCATTTCAGGCCAGCCGAAAAACGAAAAAGAAGGAAGGAGGTGCCAAGCGTGCTCAGAGGGCTTCCTCTAATGTTTTCTCCAACTTTGAACAGACCCAGATCCAAGAATTTAAGGAAGTAAGAACATTTTTCCCTTTAGGATGTTTTAAGCTGCGCATAAGGGGTACTTCCATTATAAAAACTGGACAAGCTTAACCCATTGTCATCCAACACAACTGGCTTGTTACCGTGCTTTAAAAATAGGAAATCTTTACTATGAATATTTATCTGCATAGTTTCCTTTAAATCAGAGGCTCTCTCTCTCTCTCTCTCTCTCTCTCTCTCTCTCTCTCTCTCTCTCTCTCTGGAATTTTGTATTTGATTTAAGAACATCATTCTTGTTAGTATATCACATGCCATCATTCTATAAGCTGTTGGAATTTAACAAGATAGTCTTTTAATCATAAGTAATGTGATAAATCCCTAGACCAGTCTTGCCCATTGTAGCTGCATGGATATCAATTCCCAGAACATTCAGAACAGCCATTTTAGTTAAGAAATTCTGAAATTTTAATCTATGTATCTTGAAGACACCAGCCCAGGGAAGATTGCTGTAGATTATTTCCTGTTTTATTTTCACCATAGACAATGTAAAGCAGAATAAATAATATACAAATAATCTACCTGGGAAGTAGGTTATGTCTACAGATTCGATTTTGAAAAAAAAAACATTCATGCCATTCACAATGGCTTGTGTGAAGGAGTTCATCCCATAATGGAATGAAACTTCTGCTAGTGGGATTTTTTTTTTCTCTTCCCAAGCCTACAGATCTGCTCAGAGTAGTTGGGAGATGAGAGAAACATAGACAAAAGTATTTCTGACACGAGTGGCAGTCTACCTATGTCATTTGAAATGTCATTTCAAATTTTCATTCTTCATGGGAAGAAAAGAAATATTTCCTTTGTCTACAGTTGAAAAACTGTTTGAAGTAAAAATAAATACATGTATTTTTTTCATGTTTGAAAGGAACAAAGGTATAAACATTTTGCTGCTTGACTCACAAAGTTGGATGAAAATGTTTAAGATTTGAGAAAATATTTTGCTATTACAGGAATGCAAAAAGTGTGGCAGATGGGTAATGCAAGGCCCAATGACATTTCTTTTGTGGGCAGGGTTGCAAAACATAGCCTCATTGGGGTTTAATTCCCCCCCCATTTTTACAAGGGCATCTATTTCCCCCCACTTAATTCCAATTAATTCTTAATTCTTACCCCAGCTCCTATCAGCCTAGCAATTCAAAAACATGCAAATGTAAGTAGATAAATAGGTACCACTTTGGTGGGAAAGTAACAATGTTCCGTCTGCCTCCATATATAGTCATGTTGGCCACATGACCATGGAAGAAGCATCAGACAATGCTGGCTCCCTTGGCTAGGAAATGCAGATGAACATCATCCTCTAGAGCAGTGGTTCTCAACCTGTGGGTCGGGACCCCATTTGGGGTCAAATGACCATTTCACGGGGGTCGCCAAACAACGCAGTCCACCATTTTTTCCCCCTTTTCCTTAGCTGTGCTACTCCCTTTTATTCTATTGACTTTTGAAAGCCAATAGAATAGACTCTCTTGAATAGAGTCTAATTCTCTTGGCTTTCAAAAGCCAATAGGAATTGTCCAGGCTGTCTCTGCCCTGCTGAGCCTGCCAAAAGTCCCATTCTGCAAACGGTGCTGCACCAGTTGAGTAGTCCTCGACTTATGACCGGTTGAGTAGTCCTCGACTTACGACCGGTTGGGGGTCGCGGCATTAAAAAGGTTGAGAACCACTGCTCTAGAGTCTGACTCTACTGGATGGAGGAAACCTTTACTTTGCACCTTGGAGATCCTGCTCCTTCCTACATTGGAAATGAAGCCCTCAACCTGTCAAGTCAAGCCCAATGTGGCCCTCAAACCCATAGAAGCCAATTCCTCTAAGCTCAGGTTTTCTCAATCTTTGCAGCTTTAAGATATGTGAGCTTCAACTCCCAGCTTGCTGACTGGGGAGTTCTGGGAGTTGAAATCCACGCATCTTAAAGTTGCTAAGCTTGAGAACCTTACTCTATATTACTGAAGCAGTCGTTAGTCTCCCCCAAATTTGTCCTGTGAATGGCTATTTATTGTGATGTTCAATGTTTTTTCCATGGCTACTATACAATATGTCATATAACTACAGTATTTGTGGTTCTTGGAATCAAGGGAATTACTGTTAACCCAGTTTAAGCTGATTATGTAGAAATTCATATGTTCCATTTCTGCTTGTCCAAATAGCTAAATTTAAGAGCATTGCTAACAAACAGAGGAGCCTATTCAGTAATGATTCCATCTTCCCATAGAATAATTTGTAACTCTAATTCTGGAAGAGGAATGATTAACCTAATGAAACTACAATAATGAACCTAATGGGACTATCAGTATTCCACACCAAAACATAATTCTCAGGATTGGTTGGTGGGAGACGAGTTAGCATTTTAGTTGATATATAACCATAACATTATTGGCTGTGTTCCTATCTTGTACTAAAGTATCCTGAGGTTTTTTTGGGCTATGGCTTAGTACTACGGGTGAATACAGACAATTAGGTTTATTCAAAAGGCATGGTTAAATCCTGGCTTAGAAGTATGTTTGAATGTATTTGATAAGAAAAAAAATTGAAGTCTACAGCTCTAAGTGTAAGCTTAACCATCACATTTTTGCTTTTCCAAATGTTGGAATATAGAAAAAGCTCTCGTGCCAATTTCCTATCCATTGAAATACATTGGACTTAGACCCAAGTAAATATGATTAGGATTGAAATGGCATTAGTAACTAATGGATAAATAATATAAAATACCTTTTTTTTAAATAGGCTTTCACCCTAATTGACCAGAACAGAGATGGATTCATAGATAAAGAAGACCTAAAAGATACCTATGCATCATTGGGCAAGTGTTATGAAATTATTTCATCTCAATTTAAAATCAATTGTTTTCCTTTCTTTTGTAATTTGATACAGTAATAATTACACAAGTAGAATACAAGGAACAGAAATAAATTGCAATAAAATAGAGTAGCTTTAAAATCAGACTCTTCTCTATAGAGGAGCAGATGGCAAATATATTTATAGGATATTAATATAATTTAAATGTAAATTAAAATAATTTCTCAATCTATTTCCAAGTATATTACCCCATTGATTCAAGGAGATTGCAGATAAGGTCAGTTTAAAATCTACTTTTGTTATTAATTGCTTGAGCTCTTTGTGCTCTTTTAAAATAATTATAAATTGAAGGGGAACGGGTAATTAGAAATTGGATTTTTTTTTGAAACGGGTAATATTTTTTGCTGACATTTATAATAGTTATAGAATTTACCATCAATAAGATCCATGTAAATCTGATACAGCTAAAGACAGATGCAATTAATTTCTTTGTTTGATTTTAGGTAAAACAAATGTCAAAGATGATGAATTAGAATCTATGCTTAAAGAAGCTACAGGACCTATTAATTTCACCATGTTTTTGAATCTATTTGGGGAAAAGTTAAGTGGTAAGTTTAGCACTATCTTATGAAGCCATTTTTTTTCCAAAAACCTAGCCTGAATTTTTCCTGTTTGTAAGGTGGAATATAGAATATAGCCAACTTTTTTACAATGAGAAGGAGGACACAAATAAATTTAAGAAAAAAAAAGTGAGTCTAATGCGTGCGTGTGTGCCGTGTCATGTTTTGGTAAGAAGTAAACAAAGCCACTTACATGTGGCGCACTCTTGCGCATGGCGCACTCTCTCAAAACAATTCTCCTGTGCGGAGCGCATGCGTCTCATAATCGCGTCTCACCGCACTGTACCGAGCCTTGACAAATCATCATGTCAAATACAAATACGTCACATCACACACAATGGATCGGATCGGCATCAATCAAATACAGAGATTTACAGATCAGTCTTCAAATATCGAAAAGGAGGACATGTAGGAGGACACTTTTCGAGAGAGGACAGAACTTACAAAAGAAGGACTGTCCTCCCTAATGGAGGACGATTGGTCACCTTATTGTTTGTCCTGAATTAGGACAATGAGCTTAATAGTGATCCTACAAATCTCCTTATTTGGCGAGGTTGTCCTGTAATAAAAATGGCTATAAAAATTAAAATAAAAACAAATAGGAAATGTTGAAAACTTTGGGGGTTGCCAAACTGAGTCTTCACCACTTTTGATGTGAGCTGATCCACATAGATCCATATACTTTTGAATTTTGTAGTGGCATTTTCGCTCAAAATAAGTTCAAAATTATGTTTAGAACAAAATTCGGTTTGGAAAATGAGTATTCAAATGGAAAACTGAGAGAGGCATGAACTGATTTATTTGGAAACAGACTTCACTTGGAACTCCTAATTCCTGTTGTCCTAATTTTAGTTTTCCAAACCAAAGCAATTGTTTTCCCTTTAAACAATCCCTTTTTTATAGATTAATGACTTGTCAACCCATCAAGGGACCATAGACAATGCTGAGTGTTTTTCGCCCAGTCCTGTGAGGCAGCTCGACCTCAAAACTACAACAAATTATTGAAAACAATTGAAGCTGATGCTATATCCTCTAGTCTAGTCTAACATTTTAAGGCTCACAAGGAACAAGATTTCCAACAAATTCAACTGTATCTCATTATTTTCTGCAGGCACAGATACTGAAGAGACTATAATGACTGCATTTAAAATGTTTGATCCAGAAGCTAAAGGCAATATTAACAAGGATTAGTAAGTATTAGATGGCAAAAAGGTCATTGGGAATCAGATAGCATAAATTAAAGCACATTTAAAAAAAATAATCAGAGCCTTTCATTGTGAAGCAATTCATACTATCAGTTTGTATTGAACATAACAGGGATGATATTTCTTCCTGAATGCATTCTAGGCTAGAATCTAATATTTAAAATGCAAAAAGTTATGCCAAAGTAATGAAAATTGCTCTCAACTTCTTTCTCAGTTCAAAGCCTTGGTATAAATTTTTAAAAGTCCTAAACAGCCAGAAGGCAGATGACCTGAGCAAGCATCTGTCCCTTTAAATTGTCTTCTCAGATTGTTACTTCTGATTTGAGCTCTTTCTGCAAAGGTTCCCCTTCCAGAAAGGAGCTAAATAAGAAAATCAAATCAAGTCACTTCATTACAGCCATAAGGCCAGAAAACAACAATAGAAAACCTAAAAAGTTAAGTGAATATCAATATGCATATATAAAAATTGGCAAGTATATATAAATATAATATATATAAAACAAATAACGTAAATTAAAGGATGTAAAAGTACAGCAATAAAAGTATAATAATAGAATAAGAAAAATAACATATACATATAAGTAGTGTAGTTGATTATTGAGCTTAATGGCCACATCAAATAAAACAAGGTAATAGAGCATATTGGGATATAAAATATGGAATGAAATAATCAGATAAGATGATTGGCAATTGGCCTCAATCTGATTTAGATAGGTTCTAAGTTGAATGGCTATAGCTGCCAATTTTTATATGGTCCATGTATTTGTACCTCGGAAGAAGTATGATAGTTTATTTATAAGCAAAATCAGAATCTTCAGTTAAAAGACAAGTAGCACACACAGAGGCCCAAACTGGGAAACCTAGGAAGATAAAAGAAGTGACAATTGTACTTTGTACCTTGAAATATCTTCAGAATGAGGAAAGGGATGAGAGTCAACCTAGAGTTCCTGTTTGTAACCATGTTCAACTGGGGCAAAAACATGACAAACCTGAATACACGTTCAGATAGAAAGTAAAAACTGGCATGTAATATTTCTAGATCTCTAATCTAGAAAGATTATATCTTCCATGGTGCCATTAAGATATATAAAAATATGAATCCGGACTGTTGGAAATGTAAAAATAAAGAGGGAACATTTTATCGTATGTGGTGGCAATGCCCCAAAGCAAAGACTTATTGGGAGCAGATAAGGAGATGGATACAGGAAATAACAAAAGAACAAATTAAACTTAAACCCGAAATATTCCTATTAGGCATAATCAATCCAAAGATGGAAAAACAACTTCAATACATCATTATACACATAATAACTGCTGCACGCATTGCATTATGTGCAATGTTGGAAAAGGGAAAATATACCAATAAATGTAATGATTATTTACAAGATACTAGAATGTGCTGAGATGTACAAACTTACTCTAGAAATAAAAGACTAGGAAGCTACAGAATTTTATGAGATATGGGACATGTATTACAATTGGTTAGAATTGAGGAATAAAAAAGTATGAGAAGTAATGTAAATAATTGTAAATAAATGTAAGAGATATAGGACATAGTATTGTTAAGAAAAAAGAAAAATGTACTTTGTATTTTGTTTTGTAAAGAGAAAAAGAAAAAATAAAAATAAAAAAAAATAATCAAGTAAATTGAGATACCCACACAGACATATAAAATATATGTTGCAAGTAATGCACAAGACTTCAGTGGCACTTATCTCATTGAAAGAAAGGTACAGCAAACATTCTCCCACATAGGAATGGACAAATATGCAATTTTTTTTTACATGCAACCCTTTATAAAATTTTAAAACACATCTTTTCTTTGCTTCTTCAACAGTATGAAACGCTTAATGATGTCACAAGGCGATAGGTTTTCAGCAGAAGAGGTCTGTATTTTTAAGAGAGGCACTTTTTAGAATGCAGCTAGGAGCATCCCAATTAAAAATCAAATTCTGTAGCTGGTATGGTGGAATATTTGTTACTGGGTTAATTACTATCTTATTCCAACAAATTCAAAACAAATTTCTTCCAAACCCATTTAAACCTGTCTTGCAAAATTATAACATATTTGAATAAATAAAACATTGAAGGTGACATAAGGATCCATGAAGCGGCTTTACATAATCCAGATCACTGAAGCATCTGTCACCTGGCTGAAATCAAATGGCAACAACTGTTCAACTGCAGGGTGCTAAACTCTTGATGCCAGAGATTAAGTTCATTGGCTTCTGTCTGCAACATGAACATGTGATCACTGAACTATGAATTCTTTGATAAAGAGCTGGTTCTCACTGAAAACAAAAAGATTGCCAGGTTTAATCTAAAGAAAGTGCAGATGACTTCTAACCTCTTTTATACTTATAATCAGGAGCTAATGTAATATGTACTTGGTGGCCACACTAAATTATTGCTTTTTAGAAAAATTAGTTAATCATTACTGTTAATCAGGCAGAAGGTAGCTAATGGAATACGTTTGCTTTGTTGAAGTTACTTTTTGTCCTGATGAATGGCAATTTCAGTTGTGTGAAAACTTTTATGGAGAACCCTGAGATAGCAGCTTCTAGTTTTGTTACCTCTGTAAACAAAATGTATGCTTTTTTGAGTCTAGCAGGAATTTTTCAGTAGACATGCTTCTACAGTTTCCAACTTTAAAGACTTTAAAGAATCACTTTGCAGTGGTCTTTGGGCTTGTCCTGCTCAAATTCTTTGGTTAAACTCTTCCTTTTTCTATTGCTGAACAGATGGATCAGATGTTTCAATGCTCCCCTATTGACTCGGCAGGAAATCTGGATTACAAAGCTCTCTGCTACACCATCACACACGGAGATGAAAAAGAATGAAAATCATCAGCTTTAGGAAGTTGTGTTAACATCTGTCACATTAATTAAACAAAATGGCAAACATGCTTTCTCTATGATTTGAAACACTTATTTAAACAGCCATCTTTCCAGATATTGAACTGATGTTATTACCAAGGTCACTTGAAACACACAAATCAATTATTTCAGTTGTGTGTTTGTGCCACCGAACAGTTAAACAAGAACAGTTATAGTGTGTACCTTCACATTGCATTTTAAATATACTTTGAAATTAGCATTTATTGTAGGGATACTGTTATGCAGATCAAATATTCAGTTGGCGCATCTTGTGTATTCCAGATGGTTACTGACTCTCCCTTCATGGTGAATATTTGAAACAGTGGAATGGTAGCAGCTGCATAAACTGTTGTGGTAGAATACTCCTTGTTCTAGTTTTAAACACATCATTTGAGATCGCAGCCACCTAGAAATGTCCCATCTGCATCACTTGACTATCTGACCGTTAATGTAATTGAGATTTAAAATCCTCTTGAAAATAGATTAGGTTTAGGGTTTGTTAAAAAAAATACCTTTGCCCTGGAATGTTCCAAGCAATCTGTTGTGCAGCTACTTGTATGTGTTGAACAGAGATCAGGATGAGAGACATTGTTCTGTTGTGATTAAAAGAGACCTACCTTTTAGCTTGAGGGTCAGTTTGGTTAAGGCAGGGATAGGCAACCTTGGCTCTTTTATGACTCATGGACTTCAACTGGCTGGCTCAGGAATTCTGGGAGTTGAAGTCCATGAGTCATAAAAGAGCCAAGGTTGCCTAACCCTGGGTTAAGGTATCAGGCTAGAAATCATGAGATTGTGAATTCTAGTCCCACGATAGGCACAAAACCAGCTGGGTGAACTTGGGCTAGTCACTTTCTCTCAGCCCCTGGAAAGAGGCAATAGCCAAAGCACTTCTGAAAAACCTTCCCAAGAAAACTGCAGAGCCTTGTCCAAGCAGTTTCCAAGAATTGAACAGGATTGTACCAAAATGGTGAAAAAACAAGTCAGGGATTGAAGCTCATTGATTTGGGACAATCAATCTCAGCTCTTCAAGGTTGATAAGACTAGGAATTCAATATCATATAGGTCAGTTCTACTTTTATTGTAAAACTATAGTAAGAGAATCTTGTAAGCCCAAATGCGCACACACACTTTATCTCTGTGAGAACTAGGATTTTGTCTAAGATGTTTACCAGAGTTATCTTTCTGCTCCAGACTCAATCTTCTTTTATCTTGTCTCGGTAGCAACTCTTTTCTTTCCCCAAGGCCATCCCCTCTGCCTTTCACATCACTCCCTTGGCCCACCCTACTTTACAGGGTTGTTTTTGTGAGAAAAAGTAGATAATCTACTGTGAATGTGAAAAAAGCGAATATGAAAAAAAAGATACTATGATGGGCTGTCTCTCAGTGGTCATCTGTTCCTCAACAAAATTCATTTTGTGACTACATATGTGTTTGTGTGTATGTATGGATTTCATGAAGGGAACAAAGGAAAACTATTCACGTTTTTACAGAACTCATAGTAGATGGGGAATAGCGGATTTCGAAAGGGAAATAGCAAGAGAGGATGTACTCTAAGTTCCAAAGCCATACAAAGTAAGAATTTTGCATTATAGATTTAGGTCTTCAATTAACTCTGCACCTCCATCCATGGAAAGGAAACTACACTCACAATATTTTCACGACTGCACTTTTTGGTCAAGATACAAGAAAATTTACTGATTAACTGACTGTATCAAAGAATAGATATATTCATAGTAAATTGTCATACCTGCAATCAACCCTAATAGGTAATCCATTCTCTTCAAAATGGTCTTTGATATTAAAATTGTAGTCTCCCTAGCATTATGCTGATTTTTTTCTATGCAAGAAGACAGTTTAGCCTGGGTGTCCCAATATTTCTTAACTTTTTAAGTAAGGGATTAAGTAAATATACCTTTCTGCAGAATATAGTATGCAACCAAACAGATTCAATATTTTCTAAACCGGGTATACCACCTATACACAATCTTTCTTCATGAGACCTTCCATATTTTACTATGAAACAAGTTGTTTAAACCGTTCTCTAGAGAATGTTCTTCTTAGATACTGGGGAATATATCTTGTTACATACTTTTCTATCTAGGAATTTGATTTGTTGGACCCAGTCATTTCAAGGATTTTTGCTTGTCACTTTTACCACAGTTAGAAGAGTCTATGTGTTCAATCAAACTTTTTTTAAAATATGTACATATAATTTTATTAAAACTTTTGTAAAGATTAAAAAGTAATTTAGATTAATATAGAGTAAGGAATAAAAAAGGAAAAAGAAAGATCAAAAAGACAGCTAATTGCTCAAGAAAAAATGTTAAAAAGAAAAAAGATACGAAGTAGTTTCTGAACTTCTTTATAGCAGTTTTATAAATTTACTTTGTCTAAAGTTATGTTGTGACTCTTACTTCTATAACCTATCCTAAGTAATTATTAAACTACAAATCATAAGTTCATTTTTTTTTTGTTTTACATAAAAGTTCACTACGGTTTTCCATTCAGCAATAAACATATTCTTTTTTCTGACCAAGCAAGTCAGTTTGGCCATAGGGCTAAGTCAAATGTTGACAAATATCTTAACTGGGTCTTTCCTAGTTTAGAAAACTACAGATGGTTTCTTCCTCCACTGAATTAAGAGAAAAGATGTCTGGAAGTTTTCACCAGCTATGTTAGCGTTGGACTTCATGACCATCCAGAAGTTTCTAAAATACTTTTTAAGCTACTCTAAATGGTGAAGGAAAATGTCTAAGTCACATTCTCTTTCTCCGTGCTATGGGGAATAGGTTTTAGTTGAAATAGTTGAAATGATATGAGATATCAACTCTTGGTAAAAATAACATCTTTAATTTAAAAAAAAAGATTCCATTTAATTAACACATATGTCAAGGAGCATTGCAGCTGTGTTGCAATTCAATCTAACTCAAATCTCAAATATACCATATCTTGCAAATACATATTAATGAAATACCATAAATTCATTTTACATTTATATAATATAGTGCACTGAAGAAAGAAAAGCTATTTCACAGCTTGCCTGTGTAATGCTTTTAAAGTAGTTCTACTATTCTTTTTTTTTTGAGAGCAGTAATGATGAGTTTCTGTTGAGAAACTACACCAAATATTATGTGCAAAAAATTCTCACATCAAATGACAAAAAGAATTTAACAGGAAACTTGTAGACATATTAATAGCTTGATACTGCAAGCAACCTTGTTAAGGCGCAGAGGAGAATAATATTGAAGGAAAAAAGCACAAGGAGCTAGGAAAATATTTCACATTTATGATATGAGCCAACTATTCTCAAAAGGCAACATAAGGCTTCCGAAGGATTATCTGTTTCAAGGCTCTAGCTAGCATCAAACAGAATCTTTTTTTTAACTTATTTGTTTGTTTATTTGTTTAATTTGTTAAATTTATCTCCCTGTGAGGTTAATCTGGGTGGCTTACAACAATAAAACAGGAAAAAAATGATAAAAAGATGTAACCATAAGAAGAGCAAAGGAATAAAACAATAAAAATAAACAATGGAAGTATAATATGATACAGAACTAGGAAAAGAATAAATGGAAATGAACATCAACCAAAAAAAATACAAGGACAGAAACATTATTGCATGAATAGAAAAGAGGTCAGATTTTAAACACATCATTTAACCTTGAGGAAGTGGCGTGACATTACAGTAATGGCCAAAATTGTGGAAACCTTTTAGGAAAAGTGTACTTTTGAGGTTTGATGGCTAATAACACCACTTTTTTTGGCATAGTACCATAAAATTATATATAAATGGAAAGATAATTTAATCAAGAATGTAATGCAGTGAAGTTTGTTCAATTATCTGTACTGCATTCTATGAAAAGTTATAGCCAAATAACCAGAAAAAGGAAGCACAACTTGCTTAGGTTGATATCAGGTAGCTTTCCTTCATCTGATTGTAGCCAATGAGCATGAGTGTTTAGAGAGCCAATCAGGTGTCATCTTGTTTTGGCAATGAACCAATCAGATTACAGTAGGATTCAGTTACTGATGTCATGTATTGAAGCTGAGAGGAGGACATTTGACTGTGTTATGTGATCGCTATCAAGTTGGTTGGGGTTTTTTTTGTTCTTTCACTTAGTGAGCTTGTAAAACGTAATAAAATTAAAGTAATGGTGCAAAGACTTGACTGGTTGCCCAGAAAGCGATGTAAAATAGTATTATTAAGTGAACAAGGCTACAGTAATAAAGAAATTAGAACAAAAATTCGTGGAGACTTAACCAAAGGTGGAATTTCGACTGTACTTTTCCCAAAGGGTTTCCACAATTTTGGCCACTACTGTAGTCTTTTCATTACATCCACAGGGTATCAGTTCATAAGCAGAGAACAAACACACATCATCATGCATTGTACAAGCTCGCAGGTCACTACCATTCACCATTCAGCAACCATTCAGTTATGATGAAACTAAACAAGAGGAACTTACGACAGTACCCTGGAGTTCCAAACACTGCAACATCTCTGTAGTCGCGTGGCATTTTTACAATTTCTGACTCTTCATACCAGCTTCCCACAAATAAATGTTTTACTTGGATAAGTTTCCATTTGTTGATTCTATGCTGCTAGATCTGCTGGCAGTAGATTTCTTTTGTCTCTTGATCAGTTGGGGAAGCCAGCAGGAAGTTGGAAGTCAGAGTCACGCAAAGTCCTCACTTAATGACCCACATGATCCTCATTTAACAGTACCTGGGGCTGCCAGAGTTGCCATTCTAAGTGACATAGTCACGTGATGTCACACTTTACAACCCTGTTGCTTAGTAAAAAAGTTCCTGGTCCCAATTGTCATGATAATCCAAGGACTATTTTAAGTTCTACCTTCCCATCATAACAGAATGATCTTTCTTGTTTCATTAATCGTTCTTCATCTACTGATAAATTCCAAATGACTGGGATATAATACAGCATCACAATAATAATAATAATTTATTTTTTGAAAATTACATTATTAAAGTTATGGCTATTAACACTGGATTCTAAAGGATACTTACGAAGTAGGCTTGTCACATTATTGGGGCAATAATGGGACAAACCTATATCGTAAGTATCCCCTCATCAAGTTATAACTTTGGTTATACTGACAGCCAACTCTTTCTAAATATTCTCTGAACATTTAGCATGCTGAACATACAGGTTTCTTTAAGTTGCCAGTGCTGAATGAACTACGTCTTGTATAATTGCTGATAGTAATTTGTTCATTCACAGTTCGTTTGTTCAGTTAATCATGTTACTTTACACTGATTTGCTAGATTACATAGATTAGACAGCAGCTGTTAGGGTTGCAACTCAAGACACACACTGAATTATTTAGCAGTTTAATACATCCTCCAGGTCACTTAATGGCCATGGAATGGATAAGGACATTCATATTATCACCTTTACTGGGTATGACAAATGGCACTTCCCAAGAAACTGCTAATGCCATTATTTTTGCCCAAGCATCTTACGATTCCTCACCAATCGTCTATGATCAGTGAGACTATTGAGGTGGTAAGTATTCTAGCCAAACTCTCTCTCCAGATGCCAGTCCACGAATAAAAGGGAAAGCTGAGCATCCCTAAAGAAAGGAACAATTCAGTTTTAGTTGAATCTAGAAATCTCCAAGTCACAGGAGTATCTTGATTTTCCATGTAAAGTGCAGGGAAAACTACGATAGCGTATCGGCTGGGGATAAACAGGCTTCTTCTTCTTCTTCTAAAACATTGTTCTTTGGCCTGGCCATCGACATTATATAGTTTAGTATCATCAAGCTGATTCTGACGAAGATGCGCAATACAAGGAAAGCAAATGGGACGATTATTTGTGTGAGATGAAAAATAGACGTACTTAGCTCACTCACAACACACGTCAGGCAGAAGACTGCAAGGCTCACGCAGGGGTAGAGAGAAAGCTTTGCAAACATGAAGGCGTGTTCTTTGCCACCGTACCTCGCAAAAGGATGCAATGTCTCAGCTTCATGGAACAGCGCAGCAATCCATATGCTGAACTGGAAGATGCTGGCAAAAAAAATGGTAACACAGCTGATCTGAATGGCTTCTATTTCGTTGTAAGACTTCTCGGCAAACTCACTGGTCAGCTGGTAAGCAAGAGGAAGTCCACCAATAAAAGCCAAAGAGAGGGTGTTAAGGAGGCTCATCAGTCGGGTGGCTTTTGTCACATGGAGGAAGAGCGAATGGTGGACAAACCAGAGAAGACCAATAGTTACAAACGATCCGAAGTAGGCAAGGAAACTTGGACCAAATTCTCTCAGTGCTTCAGCAAGATGACCATTATATTTCTCATTAACTATGTTATTGTCAGGAACATTATCTTCACTGTTGAGGAAAGTAAACAATATATACATATATATATGTATTTAGAATACCCGCACAACAAATAATCTATTTTAAAGTGATACTTCATGAATTTAACTTCGGTTGACTGAGTTGGTTTATAACCTCAATAACGTCTTGAATCCATTTCATTCCATGCCTAACCAAGAAGAAAATGTAAACGCATCAGACTACTTTTGTTGCGACTGTAATAGAGCTCTGCTTCAGGAATAGTCACATCTGATTACCCTGGAAACCATCTGCCAATGTGGGCATGCAATACAGATCTATGCAAACTCACCCATTCCTTTATTAAAGTATGTGTAATCTACATTCTGTTGCATTTCTAGCAAAGTATTTACAGCAATAAATTTTGAAGATAATATTAAGTGAGGAAGCTCCAGAGCAAACTTTTCATTGTCTTAACTATATAATAGGCATTTTTTCCTATCAAGAACAAACGAGGATTGGTAAGCTTTTATCCTGACTATAATAATCCTAAGCAATGACATAAGTCTTCACAATTCTCAAAGGATTCAGAATTCAGTTTTTTAAGAAGGTCATCTTTAAAAGAACCTAAGAAACAAGGGGTGACCTGCCATAGCATGGTAATCCAAAACCAAACCATGTTCGTGTGATCTATGTTGTCACAGTGCTTGAAAGTATCTACCCAGTGCTCAGTGAGAAACCACACCAATGGCAAATAACCGCTGCAAATCCTTGTACAATGAATGAAACAAAACAAGAAGTGGGGAAAAAATGTCCCGTAATTGTTTTTGTTGTTGACACAGCACGGATTGCTTGGCACAGAATGTTAAATTACTTGGGATAATCAGCACATATATTTTCCATGGGACTGAACAAATCCCACCCTTTTGGTCTTCCGGAAAGGTATTAAAACTTAAGTTTTGCCAGTTGGCTGTGGGTCCTGAGGGGAGAAGCACTCACCGCTGGATGTAATAAGACCTCATTACTATACTGTCTGTATCTTGGTTCCTGTTTTTTTTCTGCATAATTTTTAAAATTTTAATTGACATGGTTTTACAATTTTAACTGTAAACCTCCTAGAGTCAACTTACCAAAGAGATAGGTGGCATATAAATTGAACAAATAAATAAAATAAATAAAATCTCAACTGAACATGGCACTTTGGAGACAACGAAGTTTAGGCATGTTTATGAGAGGTCTGTCCATGATAATAAAGATAAAGGTTTCCCCTTATCCACTCTAGGGAGTGGTACTCATTTCCATTTCTTAGCTGAGGGAGCCAGCATTGTCCGAAGGTATTTCCATGGTCGTGGGGTCAGCATGACTATAGACCAAGATGCATTGAATGCTGTTACATTCCTAAATAAGCGGTACTGTATTTTCCGGCATATTAGACGACCCGGCGTATAAGACGACCCCCAACTTCAGAGCCGACTTGAATGCCTAGAAAGTCGTCTTATACGCTGGAAACTACCGTAATTTCCGGCATATAAGACGACTCGGCGTATAAGACGACCCCCGACTTCGGAGCCAATTTGAATGCTTTAGAAAGTCGTCTTATACACCAGAAAATACAGTATCTATTTATCTACTTACATTTGGATGCTTTCAAACTGCTAGGTGGGCAGGATCATGTTGACCATGATGATCAGGATCATCGTGCCAACCATGATAATAAATATCCTCAATTACAGATACTATTTTTTTCTCTTAGCAGTGCATCACACTTGAAAATCCTGGGTGCAATTTTATTCTTTTGCCGAAGACTTACCATATATCCAGAATTAACAGAGTTGCAACAATTGCATAAACTCCATCAGTGAAACTTTCCACTCGTTCCTTACTCAAGGGTTCCTTAAGGTAAGAAGTAAAATACTCTACAGGGAGTTCCTCCTCTTGACCTGTCAACAAAAATGACCACGCTTAACAAAATTGGTTTCCATGTTAAGATGACAATTGGTTTGCTTCTTCATAAAGCCCACAAGCCCCTCCTCCAAAAGCACTATCAATTTGGATTATCATCATTCTTGTACCATAAATGCTTTGTTTACCCAACATTGTTGGGAAGTATTTAGGTAGTCTTTGTTTAATGACCATTCAGTGATGGTTTGAAGTTATGGCTGTTGCGGGCCCCCTTTAGTCATGTGATCAAAATTTGGGCACTTGGCAGTCCACCTGCATTTACAATCGTAGTGTGTGCTCCAACTCCTCCTGACTGTCTGTCTCCCGCCATCTTTGCTCTCTCGGCTGCCTGGACTCTTCTGCTGCTGCCTAGTCCTCCTCCTGCCCCCAGCTTACTTTCACCAATGTCTTCCTCCCAGTGATGAGGCTTCAGGGAAGACACACAAGAGCCTTGCAAAGAGCCAGTTTGGTCCAGTGGTTAAGGCAGTGGTTCTCAACCTGTGGGTCGGGACCCCATTTGGGGTCGAACGACCATTTCACGGGGGTCGCCAAACAACGCAGTCCGCCATTTTTTCCCCCTTTTCCTTAGCTGTGCTACTCCCTTTTATTCTATTGGCTTTTGAAAGCCAATAGAATAGACTCTCTTGAATAGAGTCTAATTCTATTGGCTTTCAAAAGCCAATAGGAATTGTCCAGGCTGTCTCTGCCCTGCTGAGCCCACCAAAAGTCCCATTCTGCAAACGGTGCTGCACCAGTTGAGTAGTCCTCGACTAACGACCGGTTGAGTAATCCTGGACTTATGACCGGTTGGGGGTCGCGGCAATAAAAAGGTTGAGAACCACTGGGTTAAGGCATCATGCTAGAAGGCGGGGGTTTGTGAGTTATACTCCCGCCTTAGCCATGAAAGTCAGCTGGCTGACTTTGGGCCAGTCACTCTCTCTCTCAGCCCAGCCCACCTCACAGGGCTGTTGTTGTTGTGGAAAAAATAGGAGGTGGAAGGAGTATTGATATTTTTGCCACCTTGAGGTATTTATAAAAATAATAAAGATGGGTTAAAAAAAAAGGCAATAGCTGCCTCAGCTGTGTGTATTTCATCAGCAGTGGGAAGAAAATCAGCCACCAACAAATATATAGAAATACACACCATTCAAAAGAGACAACAAAAAGCTAAGGTGGAAATAAAAAGACCAGGATACATTCTTTTCAACAGCCAACACCCACATAAGCAGGAAGTAACATCAGGCGAACAATCAAGCAGAAAGCAATATCCTAATCAAGGATCTATCAAGGAACGGGCAGGGCAAGTTACTGTAGATAACTCTCAGTAACACTGATGATGTTACCTAGTTGGTAACATCAAGGACTCCACAAACATTTCACTACAAAGTTGAGGAGCTTGTGTGAAAAGGATTGTACTGAGAGGAGCAGGAAATTATCCAGGGAAGTGACTGAACCAAAAGATGAATGCTTAATGATGATAAGGTTGTTGGTATACATCATCTAGTTCTTAAATTTCCCTGAGGAATTTACAAATATTTATAAACACTCACCAAGAATTCTGCTTCTAAACCATTTGGTTAGATGGCTGAGAAGTGGGAAAAAAATAATGAGCCCAAGGAACATGTACGACTGCAAGGAAATAGAGACACACATTTACTGAATATTTTTGCATTAATAGTAATAAGTAGAAAAGGATACATTTCCATTTGTCCTACTTGTCAGGCACTGTGTGTTCCCTAATTAAATAAAAGACTCTAAATGATTCTCTTGAATCATTTAACAAAAATGGGTTTTAGAGGAAAAACAGCAGTTAAGTCCAAATTCACATTTGTCAGTTAACACGTCATCACAGTGAAGAATAATGGCAATTCAGAGTCATGTACTTTACAATTCCTTGTACAGGACTCTTGACAGAGCATTCCAGTGCTTATGGACCTCTTAAGCTTATGGATCTCTGAGAAAGACATCTGCTTCTTTTATGTAGTCTGTATAAAGCAACAATTCTTTCCAATATAATATCAAGGTAACTTTTTCTTGCAATTCATAAAGAATCCTAATAGCAAGGATCATCTTCAACAGCTTTGTAGAGCCAGAAGAGAATTACTCTCACGTGAAGGAAAGCATCAAAAGGATGGAATAACTCAAAGTCCGAAACAGTAGAAAAACCATAATGTATAGATCAGGGGTAGGGAATCATGGCCCTTTCATGACTTATGGACTTCAACTCCCAGAGTTCCTGAGTCAGCCATGTTGACTCAGGAATTCTGGGAGTTGAAGTCCACAAGTTATAAAGGGGCCATGGTTTCCTACCTCTTGGATAGACCCTCATCTTATGTAATCACTAAATTTAAGGCCCACCACAACATAATGGTACAGCATTTGGGAAGCACTGTTCCAATTCAATGAACCTACCAATGGAAAGAAGAAAAATGAAAAAATGGCAGCCAAAAAACTCAGCGTTGGTCCTCTCAGGATGATCTTTAAGATGTGGTATTTATAAAATGCCTTATTTTCAGATTCCTGTATCTGATGATTCAGTAGATACGAATGTCTGAAAGCATATAATACAATCATCACCTGCAAAACAAGAAAATATTGCTGCACCGTTAGAAAGCAAAGAATTGTTTGGCTGTAAATTCAAATCACAGTACGGGTGCTTGGAAGATTTGCCTTGAGATCTAATAGGGATATACTGCACTTTGGATTCAAAGCTGAATAGGTATTTTGGAGCAGATGTAGATACACATACCATACTTTTGGGGGCCTCCTTAAAGAAGCCATATACTTTTCTGGGCTTATAGAGCAGCTGTGTGCCCACCCACATCAAAACACCTTATTGTAGCATCCTTAACTTAAACTGGGAGCATGATGGTTCAGAGATTAAAGATGTTGAGGTTGTCAGCTGACAAACCGGCAGTCTGGATTTGAGACCCGAGAGCTGCACAGCGGGTGGAACTCCTGTCAGTTGTCCCAGCAGTTCTAAAGCATGCAAATGGGAGTAGATAAATAGGTACCACTTCAGTGGGAAGGTAACAGCGTTCCGTGCTCGACATATAGTCACAAAACCAGAACACCTTTACTATGGTTGTTATGTCCCCGGGTCATGTGATCACCATTTACAACCTCCCCAGCCAGCTTCTGACAAGCAAAGTCAATAGGGGAAAGCTAGATTCTTAATAAGTTAAGGACTGTGGTGATTCGCTTAACAACCATGGCAAAGAAGTTGTAAAACTGGGTAGAGCTCACTTAACAACTACCTAGCTTAGCAATGGAAATTAGACTACCTGAACATTCTCTCACAAAGGAAAATAGTGTTAATCTTGTAATTACTACCCATATCATTTTAACTATGGTTTACTAAACTATACAGTACAGGTAGTCCTCAACATACAACACAACTGAGCTCAACATTTATGTTGCTAAGTGAGAAATTTGTTAAGTGAGTTTTGCCCCCTCTTATGACTTTTCTCGACACGTTTGTTAAAGTGAATCACTGCAGTTCTTAAATTAGTAACACGGTTGTTAAGTGAATCTGGTTTCCCCATGGACTCTGCTTGTCAAAAGGTCGCAAAAGTTGACCATGTGACTCCGGGACATTGCAACCGTCATAAATGTGAGTCAGTTGTCAAACATCCAAATGTAAATCACGTGACCATGGGGATGCTGCAATGGTCATAAGTGTGGAAAATGGTCATAAGTCACTTTTTTCAATGCCGTTGTAACTTTGAACGATCACTAAATGAATTGCTGCAAATTGAGAACTACCTGTACTGAAATATAAAACAACTATACCTGGATAACACCGAATACAACAGCACAGCTACTAAAGATAAAAAGGCCAAATGGTTCCTCAGGAAAAGATGCCATTAAGGAGAACTGCAAAATCAGAAATTTGATTCTTTCAGTATTTCAGAACATATTAAAGCAAGTGGTTAATCTGAGATCCTAGGACCAAATCTATCTCCCTGAATCCCTTTTGTGACCCTCCATGCCTTGCCTGCTCCAAATCAATCTGCAGAAAATTGGTGGCAGGAGTTGCTGTTGTTACGTACACTCCATGTTTGGCTTATGGTCACTCACATAACCAGTTGAGACCTGGTCAATTTCAAGAAACAACAAAACTTTCTAGTAGCAATGTATATTTGCTCTTCCTCACACCCACACTTACCCAGGTCCTTCAGAACTAGCAATAGCACTTAGACTTATATACCGCTTCATAGTGCTTTACAGCTCTCTCTAAGTGGTTTATAGGGTCAGCATATTGCCCCCCCCAACAATCTGGGTCCTCATTTACCGACCCTGGAAGGATGGGAGACTGAGTCAACCTTGAGCCAGACAGGATTGAACTCTTGGCAGTGAGCAGAATTAGTCTGCAATACTGCATTCTAACCACTGCACCACCATAGGTCTTATAACTAAAGTAATAGGTTAATAGGCACTAGCCAGAAGGATGGAAACTGCCAATTCTGGATCCAAGGATGACTCAAAGAGCAGGCTTCAGGATCCTTTTATTCCCCCCAAAGTCCTTGCTTTCCTGATTCACAATACTGTCAGCTATTCTTGCCTTGTTGATTTTCAAGTCGGGTAGCTGTTGATGGGGCTTAGATTTCCCATCTGCTCAGACCCAGCTTCCTTTGTCTGGTTCAGATGCCACTTTTTTCCCTTAACAATCTAGTTCCTTCTTAATTACTTCCCCTAAGTGATCTTTTAGACAAGATTCCTGGTTGTTTTAGGTGCTTACTCCATCTTTAGGTATGGCAGCTTCAGCCTAGTCTCATATTATCATTTTGAGAAATAAAATATATACAAATTGTAGTATGAGCTCTATAGTTTTTAAACATCGAAGAAAAAATATCCAAATTCCATTCCAAACATAGGAAGTACAGTATATGTGTGTGTGTGTGTGTGTATGTATGTGTGTGTGTGTGTGTGTATGTATGTATGTATGTATGTATATATATATATATATATATATATATATATATATATATATATATATATATATATAAACATTGTACATTATATATATTATATACATTATAATGCTATACATTATATATTATAACTATGTCCATGTTTCAGATCCACCCATTTTACTTCATCTGCACTAGCTTCTACCTTATGGAATATTCTCCAGCAAGAAATATGTGCAGCCTCCACCTTGTTGCAATTCTGGAAACAGTTCAAAGGTCTTCTGCTGCAATTTGTGTTTGATCCCAGATGATTGACTGCGGGTGCCTCTTTCAATTTTATTTGGGTGTTATCTTTGCTTTTTTGTGGTTATTTTCTGTTCTGGGTTTAATTATTTATTACTTTGCTTCTATCTGTTTCTTTTTGTTTGATGTTTGATACCTTCAAAGTCTGATCCTACTAGATCAGATAAGGTAACATGTATAGTTAAGTTCATACATACTCTTACCCATTGTGGCTCCTGCATCTTCAAAATGCATCCTGCATTGGATCAGCAGGTTTAATGTTTTACCTCTATTCAGTTGATCTCAGATGTATCAAATATTGGCTCAAGATTCCAGCATGCTCCTAAACTCTCTTAAATAGATCACATTTGCACAATGTATTGAACTACAAATCAGTCCCTGCACAGGTGAAAAACACAGCTTGCGTGGTCAGTTTCTGGTTCAATGCAATGTACAAATCTGGAAATCTGGTTACCAATCCAGGCAGTAGCCTAAAGATGTGACATAGAGTGTTTACTTACTGTATATGGCAAAAAAGTAATGCTCATCATGCATGCCTAGGAAAAGGAAAAAGTGATTTAATAGATAAAAAGAAACTGTCTCCTGTTCATATATACGCTAATTCAATTATCATTCTGTGGCGGCAATCAATCAATCAATCAGAGCAGAGCTGGAATGGGCCTTGGAGGTCTTCTAGTCCATCCCCATTCAAGCAGGAGACCCTATACCATTTCAGGCAAATGGCTGTCCAATCTCTTCTTTACAAATCTCCATTGATGGAGCACCCATCACTTCTGAAGGCAAGCTGTTCCACTGGTTGACTGTTCTCACTTTTAGAAAGTTTCTCCTTAATTCCAGCTTCTCTCCTTGATTAATTTCCATCCATTGTTACTTGTCTTTCCTTCTGGTGCTTTGGAAAATAAGTTGACCCCCTTGTCTTTGTGGCAGCCCCTCAAATACTGGAATACAGCAATCATATCACCCCTAGTCCTTCTTTTCTCTAGACTAGCCGTACCCAATTTTTGCAACAGTTTTTCGTATGTTTTAGTCTCCAGGCCTGTAATCATCTTAGTTGCTCTGCTCTGCAATTTTTTCAAAGTCTCAACATCTTTTTTTGTAATGTGGTGACCAAAACTGGATGCAGTATTCCAGATGTGGCCTTACTGAGGCTTTGTAAAGCGGTATTAATACTTCAGTTCAATTCTTTTCTGAATGGCAAAGATAACATCAGAGGATAACTTTACTGGCTAATATCACCCCCATCTTTGGGAAAAATTCCACAGGTCTGGAAATTAACATACTTTTACATGTACTTCTATTCCACCGTTACTTTTAAAACCATCCCAAATCAATGGCTCCAGTTAAACCTCAGAAGGGGAATGAGGGCCTTCATTTTTTTTAAAGAGCTATGAATGAAAGGTTTCAATACTTCTGGCTGAGCCTATCGTCTAGCTCAGAGGTCCCCAACGTTTTGGCCACCAGGGACTCATTACGTGGAGAGAGTTTTTTTCGTGGACCGGAGAGGTGTGGTTTTGTGTGCTGCCTGCATCCTGCAGATTGGGCTTTGCTTGTTTGTGCAGCATGCCACGGCCCAGTACCGTTGGGGACCCCTGGTCTAGCTCCCTGCATAATCTTTTGGTTTCTTTTATTTCATTTTGCACTATCATATTTTCTCCTTTAATAATCTGTATCACTTGCCACAGACATCAAATTGCTCTGGCGTTGCCTTTCAAAGGAAAACATATAATAAGAATACTTTTGCTAAGTTGCCAGTTGAAATGTACCTTTCCTTTTTGAAATGCGAAAGTTTCTAAGGCAAGAATCCTGGAGATCGCTCTTCACTCCTTAACAACCTAATTGCAAGATCCGCAAATCATCGAAGTACAGGTAGTCCTCAACTTATTGACCACAATTGAGTCCCAAATTTTGGTTGCTAAGTGAGACATTTGTTAAGCGAGTTTTGTCCCATTTTACAACCTTTCTTGCCACAGTTGTTAAGTGAATCACTGAAGTTGTTAAGTAAATCCGGCTTCTCCATTGACTCTGCCTGTTAGAAGGTGGAAAAAGGTGATCACATGACCCTGGGACACTGCAGTGGTCATCAATGTGAGCCAGTTGCCAAGCGTCTGATTTTTGATCACATGATCATAGGGATGCTGCAATGGTTTTAAGTGTGAAACATGGCCATAAGTCAATTTTTTTTCAGTGCCTTTGTAACTTTGAATGGTCTCTAAATGAACTGTTGTACGTTGAGGACTACCTGTAAATAAAAATACTACTATAATTTACTTATATCACTAAGAGTTTCTAAGATATAAAAAAACGCTTAGGTGTCTTTGCTCCCAAGAAATCTGGGAAGTTTGAAACCTATGGTTTAGAGAAATATGTGAATGAGACTAAGATACATTATTTGGTTTATCTCTAAATATGAATAATCTTACTATTATGGCTTAGCATCCTACACTAGACCTTTGATCTGCTGAAAAATCCTCATTTTGAAACTACCTCACTTTTGATTTCTATACTAAGGGAAGGAATGGGGTGGAGGAGCAAGTTATTTTCCACACAGAATTCCGAGACTTAGCGTCCACGGTGTTTTGTTTTGTTTTAAATTATAATAAAATCCTACAAATGCCATTTTTATGTATACTATTAATCACAAATTAAGATGTAATGAAAAGAAAAACCGTATATTCTGCTTTCCAAATCTTATTCCCTTCACACCCAAATGGCCATTTTGAAATGATATGACTTGAATTTAAAAGCTCTCCTGGTACAACAGCACATTTCATTAAAAAAAAATAAAAATGAAAACTCAAAACCCCAAATACCAACACTATGATTTGTCAGTACAATGATTTAAAAATATCAAGCTGCATTTCATCCCTTATTAAGAGCTGGGAACATCTATCATTTAAAAAATAGATTTAGGATTTTTAAAAAAAATCACTCACCAAATTTGCAAGGGCAAGTACATCATCAATGAGTTCAACCACCTGAAAAAGTCTGGAGCAAAAAACAAAACAAAATTATTGTCTTATAAAACAGACCCACAAAGTTTTGATTCATAACTAAACTCATTCAAACCGACAAATCTTAAACTTGGGGATAGTTATCAAATATTCTACTGTGTGGCAAAAATGGAAACAAGAATCGAGATGCAAAGGAAATGGCCAGTGAAAATTCAGGGATTTTAAAAAATTCCTAAAATGACTTTAAAGTCTGAAAATTAGACATCCTCAATTTCAATCATTAGGAGCATCAAGACTTTCTGGTGAAGTCATCCAACACATTGCTACTATTCTTGCTTGTTCTGTGATTTGGAGAAAGGAAAACACACTGCATTTTTTTTTTCTGGTATGTCTTACCTCAGTGTTTCTCAACCTTGACAATTTTAAGGCATGTGGACTTCAACTCCCAGAATTCCACAGCCAGCAATGCTGGCTGTGGAATTCTGGGAGTTGAAGTCCACATGCCTTAAAATTGTCAAGGTTGAGAAACACTGCCTTAAAGGAATTAGTGTTTCCTTCCTGTGTGAGTTTGCCGCAAAACACAAGGGTAATTGTCTGGAATTTTGCTCTCTCTCCCCCTTTGGCACGTGCAAAGGACTCATTATCTTACTTAAGTTTATCATATTTCCCCTGTAACGAGTTTCAGATAAGATAGCAGAATTCTTTCTCTATTTGTCATTTATTTATTTATCTACTTTGAGCAGATAAAGCCTTCTAATCTAGTCAGTCCTAGAGGCCGGCCTGGAAAAGATCTCTTCTTACCAACTTTTTTGGAAGTGGTTTGCTACTGCCTCCTTCCTATGGCTGAGAGAGAGAGCTGGTTTTCAGCCCAAGGCATGACTCCTGATCATAAGCCTGGTGTTACGGTATAACCACTACATCAAACTGGTTTCTTCACTTAATTCATACAATAACATAAATTAGAGAATTCTATCTCTTCTGAGGAAGGAAAAGGAATTAAGTACAGATGCTAGCAGTAAATCAAGCAGATACTAGAACAACTGTCATTGCTACCATTTGAGAAATTCTTACTCTTCCTTGATTTTTTTATCTTGTGTTTAGCTGATCTTGATTGATTTTCATGTATGAACTGCTTCAATCAACAATGCCATTTGCCCAAAAGAATATGAATGGCTGCATCTGCATATTAAGATCCATCAACATATCTCTGCTTCTAGCTACACATGATCCACAAATTCACTTGTTATGGTCTGAAAATCATGGTTAATGATTTATTATTACATGTCAAGAGGGCCAATACAGCAGGATCAACAAACCAAAGTTTAATGCAATAGGTGTAAAGCTGTGACAACTTGAAGGGTGATAACTCTTATATCCTAATGAAAGATTTGGAGAAGTACCGTATTTTCCAGCGTATAAGATGACTTTCTAAACCATGAAAATCTTCTCAAAAGTCGGGGGTCGTCTTATACGCCCAGTCGTCTTATATGCTGGAAAATACAGTACTTCATGATTGCTTCCTTGAGAACTGGGATGCTGATGGAATTTGTCTGGGTTCTTAAATGGCCTTATTTTGAAGACAAGTCTAACTGGTTGGGAGAGGTAAGTAATCTCACTCATAAGGCTGAGTGTAGCAAATTTTGCAAACCAGTCTGTAAAATTCCGTGAATAAAGTTTGTTTATAAGCTCAGCAGTAACTTCAGCATGGAGCAGAATTTTGTAGAAAGAACAAAGTGGATCATAATGAAAGGAGAATAAATGAGAATTAGGTCAAGTGAGATGCCCATCATCACATCTACTTTCTTTGGCCACACAGACTAGTTACTGGCATTTCTAATAATTTCTGATTGGTTAAGTTACAATTTCAAGGGCTTGATAGATGTACAGTATCTAAAACACTCCAAACTGCATACCTGACATGAGCTGCCCAGGCAACTGTTACTATCAAAAAGGTCATCAGATAAACAGCAATTTTGGTGGCTAGCAGCTGCTGGACATTCTCTCCAAGTTTCTGCAAAAAAGGCACAACCTTCATCACAAAGCTGACAAATTGTTCTTCCGTATGACACTACGTAATTCCTTTTCAATAAACAAATGCATGAAAAGATCCCTTCCATCTCTATTCTATTCTATTCTATTCTATTCTATTCTATTCTATTTTTTAAAGCAGTGAATGTCTCTCAATTGTTCCAAAGACATAAAGCTACTGTAACCTAGCTCACAAAATACAAAAATCAACAAATAAGAATTCATCCTGCCTGTAAATACTGGATAACACTTTAGGATCTCAAACTGGCTTATCTGTGTTTTCATTTTCAGGAATTGCAAATAAAGCTTATTGTTAATGATACGCCTTCTCTTTTGTTCAATCCTGTGTTATCCCTGATTTGGAAAGCAAACTCAAATATTCAGCGCAATTTCCAAATTATTTTATTTATACCTTGTGTATGTACACACATATATGTTTATGTATTTTATACTGTAATTCTACATTTATATTCTCCAGATTGCTAATTTTAATTTCTTCTTGTCAAGTATGTGTGGTTGAACAGGCTTTTTAGCGTATTTCATGTAATATTGTCTTTTTGCCATTTGTTTGGTCTGTTGTATTGTTCTTAACTATCCTGGCATTGTCAATTTCATTTTGAATATTTGAATACCAATTTTCTTGGGCTGCTAAAAGACTGCAATAAAGTTAAGTAAACAATATTATTCAAATTCTCTGCTTAAAATACCATACTCTTGTCTTTCAGAATCTGCTACCTTTTCTGTACAGTACTATGAAATCTATATCACAAATGCCCAATCTCCTGAAACAATTCTTCATTACATATTCAATTCCTGACATGCTCAGCCATGAACTCCTTGACATCCAAATTATCAGCCCCCTTCCTAACATTACTCAATTCCTCTGGGGAATTTACATCATTGCTAAAAGTGGTCAAGAATTAGGGGGGAGAAAAATATGTTGTAATCTATTTTTCTTTGTTATTATTCCTAATGGACTTTCATCTCCTTTTGTGTGTGGGGGGGATCAGAACAGCATATATCAGTGAGACAATAAACAAAGTTGGTTCCCAGGCTGATAACAATACTTAGAGCAGTGGTGGCGAACCTACGGCACGGATGCCAGAGGTGGCACTCGGAGCCCTCTCTGTGGGCACACATGCTGTTGCCCCAGCCTTGCTTCCCCCCGCAACCCCCTCACCAGCAGCCCCCCTGGAGGAGAGTCACCCCGAGCGTGGCCCACGCCGAGCAGTGCAGCCAAGGACATGGCAGCCAGACAGCGTAGACAAGACTCTGCCCTCACGCCCCATTGCTGCTGGGCGCGGGTCGAGGGTGTGGCCGCCATGGCGCTGCTGGGTGATCTGTAGCGGGCCTGGAGGTGATGAGTGGCCCTGCGGGCAGGCGGGGTGAGGGGGCGGGGCCAGTTTTGGGGCACTCTGTCTCTAAAAGATTCGCCATCACTGACTTAGAGATTTCCCTTTGGGCTGACAAATTGTGGCATTTTGTACTGCACCCACTATAGGCCTCACAGATCAAAAGAGACTGAATTTCAGTGATCAATAACAGCATACTCCATTATGTTATAACAACCTTACTGGAAATTCAAACTGCAACTTTAGTTATTAAACAGAATCACAACTGACCTTTATGTGGAAATGTGAAAAAGCAGTATAGTACCTGGTCTGGATGTATCTTTGTATGTGCCACAGGTAAAATCTGAAACAGAAAGATCATGTAGCTAAAGTAACGTACAAATTTTAATTTGCAAACATGAAATATATGTGCAGAAAACATCTATGCCTCTGAAAAGAAATCAAAAGCAGAAATCCTTGTGCTGTTACTTCCATACCTTTCCAATGAAAAAAAAATATGGAATATAATATTGTTTGGCAAGGATGTTGGACTTCATCGGAATTGCTGAAGATACTTAACAGTAATTATTTTCTAAACTGACAAATCTCAATAGCTGAATTACAAAATAATAAGAACCCCTTTTTGAAGTGTATTTTTATAAATGTGCATTAAAATTTTTTTAAAAGAACAAAAATTAACACAAACTAATAAAAAAGCAGAAAAAAAAGAAAGAAGCAAAATAAATAGAAAAAAGAAGACTTTTAAAAATGTGTTTATCAGCCTAAATTAAGGCCAACAATATCCCATTGAGTCCAGTTGAAAAACATCCACATTTTTGTAGAATCTTGTCACAAGCAAGGCTGGCCAGACTTCAAGATTCCTGTATGAAAGACTACTATTATAAAGACAAACAATCCAATATGGATGAAATGGTCACACTTAGGAATCTCTCTTTAAATGAATGGCTAATTACCCAGGCCATTTTTTATGCCACGGGCTTTTAAGAGTGCTGCAATAAAAGACAAATGATTTTAAGTCACTTTTTGGTATTAAGGCTTTGGCTGGGAAAATCCAAGATACAGGGAGTCCTCATTTAATGACCACAATTAGGACCAGCAACTCATTTAAGTGAAGTGGATGCTAAGTGAAACCACAACTGTGCTCATGACCGTACTTCAGTTTTCTTTGCTTTATAAACCTGCAAAGATAATAAATATGAGGACTGGCTGCAAAGTAACTTTTAACAGCATCGTAACATTTAAATTTGCTCTACAACAGAGGTGGAGAACTATGGCCCTTTTATGACTCGTGGACTTCAATTCCCAGAATTCCTGAGCCAGCAAATCAGTATATAGAGGACTTCACCATGCAACATGTGGGATCTTTGTTAAGTGAAATATGGTGATCTACCAAGTGCTTGGATTCACATACAGTATGGGTTCTCAAAACATAGTTGGGCATGGTGATTTATTTACAAGCCTCTCCCTCTGAGCAACAGTTCCCATCTTTGTGAATGAAGATTGAAAACAAAAACCAGAACATAACATCACTAACAGCAGGGTCGATGTGCAAATGCGACAGTCCAGAACAGAACTGGAGATAGCATCGCTTAAATATCTACTGAGTGAGAAAGCTGTATAATCTCAGGGTGGTTACCAGCACTGTCTCAGCAAAACTCTGGCAAAGATACAAGGAGGGTAAAGAGGAAGTTTTTTGCATAGTATATATTATAGGTAGTGCTCAACTTATAACAATAATTGAGCCCAAAACTTACCTTGCTAAGTGAGAAATATGTTTAATGAGTTTTGCCCCCATTTTACGACTTTACTTGCCAGGTTTATTAAGTGAATCACTGCAGTTGTTAAGTTAGTACAACACAGACATTAAGTGAATCTGGCTTCCCCACTGACTTTGCTTGTCAGGAGGTCGCAAAAGGCAATCACATGACCCCCAGGGGACACCACAGCCATCATTAACATGAACCAGTTGCCAAGTGTCTGAATGTAAATCATGGGGCTATAGCAATGGTCATAAGGGAGAAAAATGGTCATATCACTTTTTTTTAAGAGCCATTGTAACTTCCAACAGTCACTGAATGAACTGTTGTATGCATTGTACACACGGTGCTTCCTGAAGAAACGGAGGAGAGAAACAGACAAATCGATTTCCTTATGATCGACGGAAGCTAACCACTGCTTGATGCATTGCAGGAGAAAAGTTAAGATTTTGCAGTGGGTGCGCCGCAGCAAAAGTTGATACCTCACTCCCCTTCCCACCCCACCCACGCACCTCCCTATCTCCCAGGATCTTTACCGGCCGTATCTTCCACCTTATTTTACATTACTTATAAGAGGGCAGCCGCAGAATAGATTTTACTTTCTTTGCATCTGCACGACAGAAGGATTCAACCGAAGTCGCTTGCAACGCACAAGGAGGGAAGGAGGGGGAGAAACCGCGCCCGCAACATCAACCAAGCTCTTTCGGCACGCCAGCCTGCGTGGATCAAGTTACACGCCTGTTGAACTCCTGCCTGTCGGGGTGCAGGGCTCCGTTTCCCAATGCAAGAGGGCTAAAAGCCTCGCCGGTGCGCAGCGGCCTCTTTCACACTTACCATGACGGTGGCGATGATGGAGAAGATCGCATCGCTGTACGCCAAGAGCCGCTGCGAGGCTTGGGTGCCGCCGCCCAGCTCGCCCAGGGGCCGGTCGGGGCTAAGCGGCGTCGGGGCGAGCGGAGCACGTCCGCCCGCTTCAGCCATCGTCCTTCTGATTTTCGGAAGACGCGGAGAAACTGAACCAGCAGCTGCCTGCGCCGCCGCTTCCGCTTTCTCGTCTGCAAGGCGCCCGCCCTCCAACCGCTCCGCCTGGGCTTTTGCGCGGGGAGGCGCTGCCGGACTTGCACATCGGGAGCAGAGAAAGAGAGAAATCGCGGGATTAAATTTTTGCTCGTGGGTCTTTGCTTTCTTGGACGAGCGGCTCCCTCTTTCGGCGATTGTTTCTTGTTGCTCGCGGATTGTAGTTATTTCATTTTTTAAAAAATCTGAAACCAAACCTTGAGTGGCTCACAACCCAAGTAAAAACAACCACCATCTCAAACATATTTTCAACAGTGAAATTAAAACGAGCCCACCTCGGCCCCTAAAACATTGGCAAGGATTTGTGACCATTGTCCCAAAGGTGCTTTTCAAAAGACAATTTCTTGGGGTTTTTCCCCCCTTGAAAACGTTTCGTTTCTCATCCAAGAAGCTTCTTGAGTTCAGCTTCTTGAATGAGAAGCGAAACGTAGTCAAGGAAAAAAGTCCAGTTGCCTTTTGAAAAGCATCTTTGGGACAACCATGTCCTGGATGACTGAGAATCTCCATAAACAATCTCCTATTGTTGATTCTTCTTCTTCTTCTTCTTCTTCTTCTTCTTCTTCTTCTTCTTCTTCTTCTTCTTCTTCTTCTTCTTCTTCTTCTTCTTCTTCTTCTTCTTCTTCTTCTTCTTCTTCTTCTTCTTCTTCTTCTTATTCTTCTTCTTCTTCTTCTTCTTCTTCTTCTTCTTCTTCTTCTTCTTCTTCTTCTTCTTCTTCTTCTTCTTCTTCTTCTTCTTCTTCTTCTTCTTCTTCTTCTTCTTCTTCTTCTTCTTCTTCTTCTTCTTCTTCTTCTTCTTCTTCTTCTTCTTCTTCTTCTTCTTCTTCTTCTTCTTCTTCTCATCCTCATCTTCGCTTTCCCTCTTCCCTCCTCTTTCTTTCCTCTTCTTCTTCCCCTTCCTCTTTCATCTCCTTCTGCAAATGCAATTCCAGTACTTCACTCTGGCAACTTTGGCTGACCAGAGAAGCTGATAAAGACTGGCCCATGGTGGATGGGAGATCTCCAAAATGAAAAAAATAAAATAAAATAGCCTTGCTGGTTAGCACTGAAACTGTCACTCTGAGGCTATCATACTCCTTCAGCCATTTACCCTGATTTCTGGGGGGGGGGTTATAAATAGTTTGAATAGATCCAACCTATATTCCGAGAGAAAGCTACTGCATTCATAATGCATGATGCCATTGCTAAGTTACATTCTTAGTGATCTGATCAGAGATTTCTTCTAGAAAGCTTAACAGTTCAGAATTCAGCTATGAGCAGTTCTCATTACAACCCAGGTAACATCTCTGCTCCATGAACTGTGCTGGCTACTAATCAGTGCTGGAATTCAAATATGTGAACAACCGTTTCTGTGTGTGGATGTCGCTTCTGGAAGTCCATTCTGGGCCTGGGCAACAAAAAATTAGCTACTGGTTTTGCCGAAGTGGTGCGAGCTGGCTGAATCCCACCACTGCTACTAATAGGATTTGAGGTGCAAATCCAAGTGGTGGATATAAAGTCCCATAAGCCATAGGTTCTAGTTATCTGAGGGATTGCTTGCCTCCCATGAGTTCTACTCATCCTGTAAGATCAGAGTTAGGATCTTCAGGTCCTATCGACTAAATTGTGTCACTTAGTAGACCCAAGAAAGTGGTCCTTCTTCATAGCAGCACCTTTAGAATATCATTTTCCCCATATATTCAAATTACCTCTATATGAGTCTGGAAAATTGGCTATTCCTCCCGATTGAGTGTTTGTTCGTTTTGGGCTGCTATTCTTCTTTTCCGATATTATAATATTTCTTGCCTTTTTAGTTTGTAAGCCACCCAAGTTTCATCTTTTCATATTATTTTTATCTTGTCCAAAGAGAATATGAGCGATTATTGTGAGCCCCTCAAAATAACTTAGGAGATGAGCAGCTATTCTTTCTCTCTCTCTCTCTCTCTCTCTTTTTTTTTTCTTTTTCTTTCTTTTTTCCCTTCTTTCCTTTCTTTTGTTCTCTCTCTCTCTCTCTCTCTCTCTCTCTCTCTCTCTCTCTCTCTCTTTCTTTCCATCTATCCAATTTATTTGCTGACCATCTCATAGTTCAGGCAACTCTGAGTGGCTTACATCAAGATAAACAAACAATAAATTAAAAAAATGTAGGAGTAGGGCCAGACAAAGCAGTGCAGAGAAACTAAACAATTTTGGGTGATGTCAGACCTAACCTATCCACTGTCTTTGTCTGATTGGTAGAGCATTTCCCATTGGCTGCAGATATGTTGAAGGGAGATGAGGGTGAAGTCAGATGAAAAGACTAAAGAGGACACATCTTATGCCAGAGGCAAAACCCAACCAGGAATCAATTTGACAGGGAATCACAAAAGAGGCAGGATAAGAGTCAGGAATGTGGATGGTCAGTTTTATGCAGAGGCAAAGTAAGTTGCATGTGTTAAATATATAAATATTTATTTTATTTAATAAATATTTAAATATTTTAAATATGTAATACATATGGGGAAACAATTATTTTTAATAATATGGCTAGTATTCAGCAGACAATAGGGGGACTCAGCTATAGAAACTCACCCTCAGCATAGAAACTCACTGGCAATGTTTAGCTGGCCATTCTCTTTCACCTCTATCTACCTCACAACATTATTCTTTGGGGCCTACAAACACTGTCTTGAGCTCTACTCTGAAAGGTGGGTATTAATGTAATAAATAAGACTTTCTCTGAATCATTTGTGAAAAGACTAATCTACATATCCCTCTATCCATTTTTTTTCTTTTTCTTTTCCTTGCGTCTCACCAAGAGATTGCAACGTCTGATGAGTTCCAATGTAGTTAAGTTACACTGGCTAATTAAAGTGCACATTGACTGACTTGGAATTACTCGTTCATTTTATAGCTCTGACTGATGCTGTCCAAATAAAAAAGAGAAAGTGAAGTGTGTCAGAATTCTATTAATTCTTTTTCTTCCAGCCTCCAAAATCACTTTTAAATGATGCTTGAAGCACATCAAGTTACCAGTATGATAATGCAATTTATCTGGAGGATGTGACAAGCATTTTGTGAGTTACGAAAAAGCAGGTCAAGGGCAAACAAACAGCTACTTGGTGCAAAACACTGAATCACAAATTGACTAGCCAAATATAATCTGCCCCTGTTTGTTAGATAAATTCAGTCTATAAGTTTACAATTCAGTATATTATATCAGCTGAGAAAACTGAGTTAACTAAGTAAACTGTGGTTCAATTAACCTTCAGCCTGTCATGTAAACCCAATCAAAGTGTTTATATAATACTCTAAGCCAAATCTGCTACATTTTGGTGTAGAATGTTGTGTCTATCAGGCTAATTTATTGATTTGTTTTATTTATTAAAATTATTTTGTGATGGTAGGAAAAAACCTGAAGCAGTGTATCAAAATTATATGATTTATTTTAACTTATATTTATATAATTTATATTTATAACATATATAATAAAACAGTGAACACAGATTACAACAAGGGTAGTTTTACCTCTTGAAGTCTGTTGATTCTTATCTGGCTTCAGTTTGCTTTGACAGTTAGTAAATCAGATTCATGTGTATAAGTAACATGAAACAAGCTTTTGAAGAAACTGCTAATTTCTTTTTTTTTTAATTATAAATTTTTACAATTTTACAATAAAAACCCCTTCCCCAATCTCTCCCAACCCACCCCAAAACCCTCCCCCATTCTTCCCAGAGCTGAATACAGGGTTAACTATAACTTATAAGAAAAAAACTTTTAAACCCAAATAAACCTCAAACAAGTATAATTAGATTCAATAAACAAATTATTAAATACTTTAACTCCATTATATATAAAAAACAGAAAGAGAAAAAGAAGAAAAAAAAATAAAAAAATAATAAAAAAACAAAAACAAAACTATTCTACACTTCTAAATAATATCTTAAACTTTAAATATAAATTATTCAAAAGCTAAATAGTATTTTCTTATATCATACTTATATTGTATAAAATTTATCCATCTTTTCCACACCAAGAGATACTTCTCTTGCGATTGATCTTTCAAAAAAGCCGAAATTTTTGCCATTTCAGCTAAATAAGAAACTTTAAAAAATCATTCCTGCAAAGTAGGCAAAGATTCCTTCTTCCAATATTGCCCTATTAACAACCTTGCCGCTGTAATTAAATTTAACCTTAAAATAATCTTTTTGTCATCACAATCAGAAACAATACCCAACAAAAACAATTGTGGGGTAAATTTTATCCTTCTTTTGAAAATTCTTTGAATATTCCACCATATCTTGATCCAAAAGGCTTTTATGCTTTTACATGACCACCAGTTATGATAATACATTGCATCCAAGCAACCACATCTCCAGCTTTTGAAGAAACTGCTAATTTCTTGTGCCTGACATTATATAGTCAAATGGTTAAAACACAGGCATTGGCTACCAAGCTGCAAATCACACCAATATTTTTTTTTATTGGACCGAATCATTATGGGTAATTTCCCCACACAATACTACTTTTAATATATAAAACTGCTGAAGAGACTAGATTAAACCCTCCTCTAGTTTCCTTTATATAGGACACACCTTATGGGAGGTAAATGAATATTTTAGTCACAGCATAAAACGATACTGTTCAGAACCTGTTTAACAATTTTAGCTTTTTCTGTTAATATACTGAGCATTCCACATGACACTGAATTTCATGTGTCATATTTCTAAGGAGACAGGTATATGTCGGATACTATTTCCAAGAATGTAGGAGCACGCTTTGTACTCACATCGACTATACAGTAAGTTGCCTAGGACTGTAATTTACTACTGACTTCACTGGATTAAATTACAAGACTTGCACTGTGTCTGTAACCTTGGAACAGCAATGTCATAAAATCAAGCCGGCTGTCTCCTCTGAGAGAATGGAGATGATATAGAAGCTGAAGTCTAGGGGATAATTTAAGGTTTGATTTGGTATGATGATGGTCTGGAGGCCATTAAAGAGCCTTCATTTTCCAAAGCACATAACATAATATTAAAACTGCACTAACCTATTAAATTCAGTGGGGTTTATATGTATGCGAACCTATATAGGATTTCATTGCAATTCTAACAGTTCAAAGGCATGACTGTATAAAGTTAGAAGACTTTCTAAATTAACCCGACTACTAAAACTGATGTTGTTAACTTGATACCTTTATTACTATGTCGTCATCCTGGGAAGCTTGCAATCTGAATTTCTTAGAATTATAAAATAACAGAATTTGAAGAGATCTTGGAGATCTTCTAGTCCAACCCCATGCTCAAGCAGGAGACGTTATACCATTGTGGACAAATGATTATCCAATTTCTTCTTGAAAATGTCAGTGATGTAGCATCCACAACTTCTGGAGGCAAGTCATTCTACTAGTTAATCGTTCTCACTATCAGAAATTTCTTAGTTCTAGTTGGATCACTTTTAAAAATCTCCCATCCATTATTTTTTGGTCTGCTCTCAGGTGCTCTTGGCCCTCTTCTCTGTGACACCCCTCAAATATTGGAAGACTGCTACTATGACATTCAGATTTGGGAAAGATGAGAGACGTGGGAGCATGGGAAATGTCAGCTGATCAGTTAGCTTCCTTAAGACCAGCATAGCAAGACTCACTTAGGCATCCTAAAAAACTGCTTAAAACAGATTGCCTGTGGTTTGGGTTACGGTCAATTAAGATCTACTGGTTCAACAACAGTTTAAAGTTATGATGGTGCTGAACAAGGGGGATTTTGCAATAGGTCCATGTAATTTGCATCTGTCACAGCATCCTGGTGATCACATGGTCATTTGAACCCTTGGCAGGGATCTTGCAATTCAGGTGTTGCCATACCCTGTTGCCACATGACTGCCATTTCCAACCTTCTCTGCTGGCTTTCAACAAGCAAACTCAGCGTCAACGCTGCTAATATTGAATATTCTTGCTTTGACAATATATGCAGAACTGTCTGGTATTATTAGAGTTAAATCAGGTGACAGCAAAAGGGGAGGAGAATATAAGGAAAGCCCTGGAAAAAGAAACAGAAGTGAATCTTTGCCCTCCAAGTTAATTGGAAGATGTGAATCATGACCCCAAAACAGGGGAGGGAAAATGCCTGAAAGTTCTTTGAAGTGTTTCGTTAATCAGACATATGACATCATGCTAAGATCTCAATCCTTTTCAAACGACCTGGGGTCCTGAACTCCGTCCACTGCCTCTAAGCTTGAGAGGAGATGGTAAAGATTCAGGGGAAAAAATCTATCATGAGAAAAGGGAGTTTACTTGAAGATAGCATGCTATGGCAAGATGAATTTTGGCAGACAAATACAAATCAGTGGAACGGCAGCTAGCCAGCAGAGGAAGAAAGAATTTGGCAGAATCCGCTAACAAAATGGTGGAGCAATATCTTAGATGCTACGTTTCTTACCAGCAGACAAACTGGACTGACCTCCTCCCTTTTGCGGAGGTGGCGTACAATAATTCCATGCACAGCAGCACTGGCTACACACCTTTCAGAGTGGCCACAGGAAAGGAGTTCAGCCCAATACCTGAATACCTTCAGGTACCCTCCGATTCCCAGACACTTGACCAATGGGTGAGAGGGTGGGAGGAAGTTTGGAGAAACACAAAAATACAAAAACTGCTTTAAAAAAGACTTTTGAAACCTATAAAAAGCAGGCTGATAGAAAGAGGGCTCCCCAAAGAACATTCCAAGTTGGGGAAAAGGTTTATTTGTCAACTAAATATCACCTAGCCAAACCTTATTTTAGTCTAGTAGCGTGTTGGGCGAACTCAGTTAACAGGTAGCAAAAGGAAAACAGACGAAAACTTAAGGTCTTTCTGTATAATTCCTATGTATAATGTACGTCGCGCACGAGCCTCTCTCCTTTCGAAGAAACCAGGCAGGGAGGCAGGAATTACAAGAGTTCTCCGAGTGCCAAAAGTCATCGAGATGACATCACAAGGGTCTAAGCAACTTCCCGGAAGCCAACGTGGGCGTGGAGAACATTCCGACCAGCAGGCAGGAGAGATAAGAACTGGCCTAGCACACCGGAAAGAGAGCGGGGCGGCGGGGGAGGAGGAGGAGGAGGAAGGCGTGGCTTAGAATGTTGAGCAGGGCGGGTCAGAACCTTTAGTGGGCGTGGCCCGGTAGGAGGTAGCTTTCGTGCTTTCAGTGGTTTCGTTATGCTTTTAAGCAATTTTTATGAAAGGAATCGTTTCCTAGAGAAGACAACTGAAAATCCCGAAACTTTTTCCTACTTTGACAATTGTATTATCTTCCTGTACTTTATGAGAGCAAAGACAGAATGCTTTTCGTGGTCTTTTTTTAACGCCCCCCCCCCAACCTGGAGTACAAAGATCAAGTGTTGTTTTTTATTTTTAAAATTAAATTATCATGAAAAGGAAAAAAAGTAAATATACGTTCCTTTTATGTATTATTTACTGAATTCATGCGGCCATCAAATCGGAAGGATCACATGAACATTAAATATTGGAAAAAGGAAAACGACAGCAAGGAACGAGCTGGGTATATATATGTATACATACATAGACACAAGACAATGCTATACCGGACTAGGGCCCACTATTAAGCTTTCTCAAATTAAAAAGTAAGCGGAGATATAATGTAATACAACAATCCGCTTTTAGAATCTATCTATCTATCTATCTATCTATCTATCTATCTATCTATCTATCTATCTATCTATCTATCTATCTATCTATCTATCTATCTATCTAAGCTTTCCATATGTATATGCATGTGCATACTATACGCAGATATAAAGTAAAATCGAATTTCTTGCTTCCGAGTCCAAATGCAATGTCCGTGCTAAAGAGCAAAGAGCAGCGGGACGTGTACTGATCCCTTTAAAATCTTTACTGTCGGAAGGGCCAAAGTTCAAGAACGACGTTGCCCTTCGACTGAAAGCGAAGCGGGCTCCGGGGCAACTTTCGAGAAGGCACCCGACGTGCCGCCTGAACAGCGATTCCCGTCTTCACCTACCTCTTTGCGAAGGCCTAGCTGAGGAGGCGGAGCGACATGAGAAAGTGGGCGGGGCCCCGGCTTCCTGCTCTGACGAACAACGTTGGCGGAAGTGGGTTCGGTGCGGACTGGAGGAGCGGGCGAGTAGAGCGGCTGAGTAGTGGTATAATTGGCGGCGGCAGGCGGAACCGGCCGGGCTCGGCCGGCGCTCGACCCTACAGTCCCGGCGGAGCCGCCATGTCGCTCTTGCAGTCGGCGCTGGAGTTCTTGGCTGGGCCCGGCTCCTTAGGGGCCGCCAGCCGGGACCAAAACGATTTCGTGGGGCAGGTGGTGGAGATGGGCGAGATGAAGCTGCGGATCAAGAAGGTCATCGCCGAAGGTGTGTGGGGCAGGAGTGGGGCGGATGAGGGCTGGGAAGCGCTTCGAGTCCCCAGATCGTGGGAACGTCGTGAACCGGTGGTCGGGCGGCTCTCACCTTCCTCCTTCCCTCTCCAATTTTTTTTTCCTTTCCTTTTTCCGCCTTCTGCCTTTTCCATTTCAGTTCCAGGAAACATACCATAAGGCATCCCGATGAGCCAGGATGCTGATCAGCCAATATAAGAAAAATTCAGTATTATTTTTACCCCACTTTCCATTTTTATTACTTTTTTGTGATTAACTTTTTATACCAAATAAATCCATATGGCATTGTATAGAAATGGAAAAGAAAAAGACCTTGATTGGGGTGGAGAGAGGATTCTTAAATTTGTCAAGAGACCTTGGGAAGAAAAGGAAGACGGAAGAAGGGTCTTTAAGAGTGTAGCAAGGCCAGCAGCAGCCTTGTGTGACAAATGTGACATTTATGGGAGGGAGTCTTGCTGGCAGAGATCCCAGTTAAATTTTCCTTAAGCTGTGGTTAAAGGGAAGGAGCAGGAATAAATAAAATAACAAATAGTCTTTATCAGATACTGATTTGGTGTTAAGGTATTGTGGGTTGGCAGATGTGAGTGACCTTTTTTTTTCATTTAGGATTTTTCACATTCCATTGTCAGTAAGATGTTATTGCTTTCCATAGCTATCTGAAGAATTGTCAGTTTTATGCATTTGATTTTTATGCATTTGATCCTTTTAAGATCAGTTCAAGGTCTAAAATTTACCAAAGGAAATTTTGCTATGTCTCACAATGCTGCCTGGACATATTTACAGTAATGTTTCTGAAAAGAGAATTCCTCATTTTTTCCCATGAAATAACGAAGAATCAACCTGAAAGTGGGGGGTCATAGCAGATGGAGCATTTACAAGATGCTAGAAGTTTCGGCATGCAAGAGTTTACAAATATAATTTACATCTGTATGGCTATTTAACAAGATATTTGTTCCAGAGGACTAACATTCAGAACCATCTCAAACATATATTACTGGTGAACTGGGCATGATGTTGTGTAACGTTGTGGTTTCTAAACATATATACATGTGTTACATGAGTAACACTGACAAATGATCAGCTATGTATTTTCTCAAACTTTGATGGGAGCGAATGTAAAATTTGTACTTGTATTTTGTCCACCGTTGAATTCATGTCACCACAAGAGTATTGCTCTGTTGTTTCTAGATTTGTTGGGAATAATTATGAATCACTTAGTAGAGATTTTGTAACAGTTTTAATTCTTCCACCTTAATCTTTCTCTCGTATCTCTGTCTAGCTGGTCTGTGTGCTGTACATCTTACGAATGTAATATTTGGGTTCAAGATACTGCTTTTTGCTGAATATTATATTCTTAGGAAGGGCTCTCATATGTGTGTGTGTGTGTGTGTGTGTGTGTTTTTCTCTTTTCCTCCCTTCCCTGTCTTTTTGTGGAAAGTGTCACTCAAGATTCTTTTATGCTGTTAACTTTCTACTATTCAAAAGCTGCCATCAAAGGCTAAAATATTCTTTGGTGTACGGGATGAGATTCAAAGGCTTAACCTGTGCTATTAGCGTTACTGTTCATTCGAGGATGGATTTACTAGATTCGTGAAGCTTTTTCTGTAAAAGTATATTGTTTCATGTGGCTAAAATCCTGAAGCAGAAAGTTAATGGAGTTTGGTGAAGTTAACTATTAAATATATTGAAAGGGAAGGTGCCTTGGTGACTCATATGTCCAAACCAAGAGTTCTGATTTTTTTTCTTCCATCCCTCATTGGACATGCTGTTCCACTCCAGAAGAGTTGCCCCACTCTAATTATGCAAACTGCTAAGCAAGTCTCATTGACCACTTTAATGTAGTGTGTGTGTGGGATATGCATCCATAAATTATTTGAAGATAGGGACAATATTTATGAAATAAGCTGTGCTGCAGGGCTTAATTAATAAAGGTAGATTTTGAAAGTCCTCTGTTGATAAAAGATACAGTCCCTGCCCAGGGCTAAAGTGAAAGAGAATAAAGTTGAATGGTGTCAATATTCTGTTCTTACACTGAGTATTTATTTTGGTGAGGTCTTGAGCTTTCAAGCATTCTTTTCCCCAGAACTACTATTTTTTTTCAACCACCATGCTTTTAAAACTAAAATATTTTTAATTGCCACTGTATACATTTTTAGGGCATTTGAAAATGCATAGTCACTGGAGAGGTGAGTCTTACTAGACAGGGATACTATTGGACCTGCATGATTTGCCTTTTCCAGGAAGTAAATAAGACAGCAAATGATCATCTGGTTTCAGGATCCAAGTCTTAGAACTGAAATGCACACCCATCTAGATTTTATCTGAAATATGTTGGTCGATAGCTTTGTTCAGTTGTGCTTTGTCCAGCATCAACTAACCCATAAGGTGATTTATTTGGTTTTTGCTTAGCATATTGTATGTACCAAGTTACTGTGATTTGTAAAACATGGTTTATGGCTTTGTATATTGGGCAGTTTCAGATATTTATCTGAATTCAACTACTGTTAAGAAAAGCACATATAAGTATGATATGTGATCTCAACCAGGACATTTTCATATCTTGAATGTTATATATTTCAAAATGAAATGAATTTTAGCCATGAAAAATATAGCAGAACTGGCTGCATATATTTATGTAATTCTGAAAGCAGTACAAAGAAGTCTGCATTAATGGGCTCAAATCTTTATGCCTTGATACAAAATCTCCTTTGATTTATTTTCTTTCTAAGAGTTATTGGTAGAGTAGACTGTTTTCATCAGGACACTAATTTCCTGTTTAAATGCTCTCCCAGGTAGGAGTTTTGTTTTTGAAAATGATAATTGTTACTGAATTTTACAGATATAAAAATTTAAAACTAAGGAAAAAATTTAACTAAGGAAAAAATAAAATCAGTTTCCTACAAACTAAAATAAAAGAGAAAAAGAAAAAATGCAGAGGAAAAAAATAAAAAGGAAGAAAAAAAGATAAATATATAAGAAACTGAATATTGTCCAAATCATTCTTCTGTTTTATTGTTTGTGTGTCCATTTTAGTTATGAAGCTATCAACTGGTTTCATTTGTATATCCAGTGTAACCTCTTTTTCTATATTCTTGTAGCTTGTCATTTTTAAATCCACATCCACCATTCATTTATCCTCTTCTATCACATCTTTTAAACCCATTTTATAGTGGCATGCAATCTTAAAAGTAACCTCTGATTGCATTGCTCCCAAATATCCTTAAATTTTTCCAAATTTAAATATTTTGCTCCCTTCTATACTAGTGGTTCTTTTCTCTTTTAATTATAATCTTTAATTCTTTCTGGTTCCTTCTCTAGTCCTATGCTTTTCTCTAATCCAGAATGTTTTCCCATGGGAATATTTGTTATACTTAATTTCTAAATCTTTGCATATTTTTAAATTAAACTTCAAACAACACACGGGAAGTTTGTAATTAATTTTAAAATTTAATTTCAAATCCATCCCACCTCTTAGTCCATTTGTAACATTCCCCAATCAGTGTTGTAATCACTCTTTTGCTTTTTACTCTATAATAAGATTTTTTAAAAAATCCTTAAACTTGCGTAAAAATTATTTTGTTAAAGATTCATTCACCTGGTGTAATGAAATTTCGTCTTTTTGACAATTCTTGCTATCCAAAACGCTATTAAGCAATTTGTATGTAAAGAAACATAAGCCACAGATTATACAAAAATGTTTTAATTTTTTAAAAAATCCTACCTTTGACTTCTATAACATATGAAAAATTTACTCCTCAATTTGAGTGTTAGTATTATGAATTGGCTTATACTTTAGAGGACTGTACATTTAATTTTACACATTTTTAATACACGGAGGTATATTTTAATATACACGGAAGTATATCAGAAGTGTATCATTTTTTTCTCCTACAACTTTAGGATGCTCGTAACCATTGGGTTTTGCTTGACTTGGAAATTTGAGGCACAAAATATAATAAAAAACTGCCAATAAGTCAAAAAGACTAAGCCAAACTTAAATGAATTACTTCTTGTAGCACTGCGTAATATGAACCAACCCATCAAGTAAAACTATAATGAGTTTGTTTTGTCTCAGCATGTTGTATGAAATCAAATGTTACATTTTGTTAATCATAGTTATGGCTTGTTAACTGTGTTATGAATACAATGAATGCAGATACACTACTTCTTACACTTTTATTAATAGTTGCTATGGGGTTTGTGCATTTTCTTTCTAGCAAATTCTCATAATTTGAGATTTCCCTTGGGTTAATGTAAGTCATGACAAAAAATTAGCTGTAGATAATCAGCAAATCAGCCTCTAATCCTGGTAAGTAATCGATAACCATAATCGCCATTAAGGCTAATAGATATAGAATTTATATGAATGATAGAGAAATATTATGGTTTGCGTTACATCTGTAATAGGCATAATTATATGCTTTGACTTACTACTTTTCTGAAAATTATTTATAAAGAAACCATAATTAATACATTGGGAAAACAGTAATTGAGGCTCTAATATGAATTAAGATAGATAGAAATGCTATCCTTACAATTTATAAAGTTCTTCCAAAGTGGTAAATTGTGAGGGATGGGGGCGGTGTGTTTATCCCAGGAAACCTACTGTATTATCTATTGCTACCAGTAATTGATAAGTAGAAATTTTCACAATTTTAAGAGAAAGGTAGTAAATTGGCTGATAGATTTTTTAAAAATAGTATATCTTAAGATTTTAAGGACAATTTCTATGCTAATGTACAGAGGCTCAGCGTGCAGAGGATGCAACACTGATTATTAAAATGTGTCAGGAGCACCAATTAATGCCTTAATGACAGGGTATTTCAATTTTATGATGATGACTTGTAGAGCTTCAAGAATTACAATGGAAGGACAGAAAAAATAATAGCACCGCATGTAAACATGGAACTGTCTTCTATAACTGACTTTGGCATTTGGAATCTGGGTGCAAGCAGAAATTATTCTGGGTTGCTGTCA